ATTTAATTAAAATTATTATATTAATTTAATATATTTATATTATAATATTATATATTATTTATAAAGTTTAATATTACCGATTAAATTAATTTTAACTATTTTTATAATTTTTATTTATTAAATATATAAAAGATTAAAAAAATTTATAAATTTTTTTTATTTATTTATATAATTAAATTAACCAATTAAATAAATTAATAATAATAAAATTAATAATATTAATCTCGAATATATTTTATATAATTATTTTATAATTTTATAATTTATATAAAATAAAAATATAATTATTATTAAAATATATTAAACTTATATTATCGGTTTAAATCGGGGATAATTTTAAAATATTAAATTAGATTAAAAAACGTTTTTAATATTTATTTTAAAAATATTTTTTAAAAAAGTTTTGGTTAAAAATTAGTTTAATTATGCGTTTATAAAATGTAAAATCTTTAAATTTTTTTATAAATTTTTTTTTTAATTAAATAAAAAAGAAAATAACTTTTAAAAATATAAAATTTAATATAAAAAAATATTTTAATTTAATTTTTTTTCAATAAATAATAATGGTAAAAAAAAAATAATTAAAATAATAAAAAGTTTTTTTTAAATTTTATTAAACTTTAATTTAAAATTTTAATATAAAATAAAATAAATAATAATTTAAAGTACATATATTATTTTAAAATATTAAATCTTTTTAAAATAAAAAAAAATTATTTATAATAAAAATTATAAAAAACTTAAAATATAATTAAAATTATTAATAATTTTTTAAGGTTTTAAAGTTTTTAATTCTTTTTTTTTTTTTAAAAAAAAATCTTAATTTATTTATAAACAATTTAAAGTATATATTTTTTAATTTAACCGAATCTTTATTAATATATTAACTTTACTTACATATAATTATATAGTTTTATAATATTCCTTATTTAATAAATCTTGAAATAATTATTTTATATCTTTTATTAGTTATTTTCTTTAATTAATAGTCTCTTGGCATTACTGTCCGTGTGACACCCAGCCAGTTCTCCGAGCGGAACATCCTTTAATATCTCAGAGACGGATATTAAACTCTGAAACTCCCTGAGTGCCCAGTTTCTGAGTTCCAATGCGGCATAAATATCCGCTTCGTACGCTCGGATCGACCGGTTGCTGTCGATATCCTGAGGATCCATCGTCAAGTTCTTCGCAAGCCTGACAATCAAAGCTGAACACACAATACCTTTTACGTCATCGAGGCTAGTTGCGGCCCTTATTATGCTTGCGGAATTCATGGCGGCCCTTTCGTTTTCACGGTTATGTGAGCTAAGGGGGGTCTGTGTCTGGGTGCCGTACACACTAAGTGGTCCAAATCTAGCATCTGAGAACCAATAAGGAGGTTCATCACCATTGGCCTTGATCGAACCACCGCTAGCGAGGCCAATAACTGGTTGTTTGCCAACCTGGCCTGTCATGGCGGCTCCTACTACTGCGATAAATTGGTTCGCTGTTAGTTGTCGTATACCTGTACGTAGTAATTCAGGCAACCTCATATTCTCAGCGGCGTATCCCGCGTCCCTTACCCAGCCAAGATCGATACTGGTTGCTTTGAGGCCTTGGGCTCGACGGTAATATGCCATGGCATCCTGGTAATTACAGCCTTCCACTTCTTAGCATATCAAGAATATTAATAATATCGGTGTTGTGAGCTAACCTGCGTTATAGCTGCTTCCAAGGACCAAGCCAATAAGACCCCCTGCCGATGATACGCATATGAAGAAGTCGAGATCGTCAGGTAGCATATGATGCATATTAGACGTAACATTATATTTAGAATGTAGCGTTTCTGACCATGCATCGAATCCTATATCTTCAAACATCACGTACTAAACCATGTTAAGAATATATTAATCAGTAGGTTAGGTAGTTATCTGATTCTTCAAAACTTACCTGGAGGGCCATTGACATAATAACGACTCCGCGTACCGGTGGGAATTTCTCCTTAGATAGGTCGTTAAGCACATCTTGGCATTGATCTACACAGCCAACATCAGCCGCGAATACTTTCACCCTCACGCCCATGATGGAGAGCTCCTGGAGTAGCTTTTGTGCTCGAGGATCTTTAGCACCAGATCGAGATGTGGTTACTAAATTGCGCGCCCCATTTTTAGCCATCCACATGATCAATGGCCGGCCGAGTCCACCCATGCCGCCTGGGATGATATAAGTAGCATCAGGGCGTAGCTGGAATCCAGTCAGTTCAGTAGGGGTTTCTTGGAACTCTTCCGTAGCTAAGATCCTGTTTAGAGCCTCGTTAGGGAAAATGCGTGAAATGTAAAGAGCGCCATCTCTCTTAGCGAAGTAATTATCACCGTCGGGTTTCTCTCTTTGGAGGCAGAGAAGCTGTAGGATGGTGTCGGTTACATCTGATTGTCCGCATGGAACGTCCGGGTCAAGGTCTAAAGTCGTAAACCTCGCCTCTGGAGCTTCGAACCTGATTGTCTGTGCCAATCCCACAACCATGTTGAGCTCGGGTATACGTACGTCAACAAAACTCCCACCTTTAGTTAACCAGAGAACACCCTCGGAGTGGAGCGTTATATGCTTAATGGCATCCAACTCCTTATTCCCGAGCGAGCTCAGACATGGTCTCTCAACCTCGCAGCAAACTAAGCATTGTGTCGCGCTTAAGTCTGACGTTCTAATATCGAGAAGTGTCATCTCCTTAACAGATACTCCATCTTCTACCAGTCGATCTGAGAGCTGTTTGATCATCGACTTCGTTTGGCTGTTTTCTGTAGGGGGTTTTATAATTATAACCTTACTTGGGAACTTATTCCTGGTGGTGTAGGGAATGCTAGATCCCATTATAGATGAGGAATAGCCAGCATTCTGTTGGTCACGAAAGCACCACTCGACGCCCAAGTAGCCCAGAGAGCGGAGGCTTAGGTCCCATTCCTGTTCGGGAAGCTCTGGACCCCAGCGCCGCTCATCATTCTCACCTAATGTGATTAGTATGTGCAACATTCAAAGAAATATCGCGGGTGAATCTTACCTAGCCACCAAGTAGGGAGAGTCCCAAACACAACAGAGCGTCTCGCAATCTTGTTTGTCAAATCGGTGACAATGATATGTCCGCCCCTATTATCTTGGCATTAGAGCGTAATGGAGAAGATAAATATGGCTACCTACGGTTTTAGTAACTTCTTGCAGTTCGCAAGGGCTGTTGCGATAGATGATGTCGTATGTAGAACCTGGAAGGAGACAACAAGGTCATACGATTCTCCTTCTATATTTTGCTGCAACGGATCTTTCTCAATATCTAAGACCTTATATTCCATCATTGGACCCCATGCCTTAAGATTCTCCTTGGCCTCCGGAAAGAAAGCGTCGCTCGCGTCAGTATACGTGTATTTTTGCAGTCGGCCCATAATATCATGCCCTAGGCCAGATAAGATGCTGCTCGTAATGCTCGTTGTTCCCGCACCGATCTCAAGAATGCGAAGTGGTCTCTTGTGTGACAGATGCTTGATGTATTGGCACTGGACAGCTACTGCTTGTTTATATGAGATACCAGTCCGGTATATGTTCCCTGGGAGGTCGTCCAGGTTTATCGCATCTGATGCTTGAATCTTGCCCTCAAGGATGCCGCAAATATTGTCGTTAATGCGAAGTAGCATCTCTCCTTCGAGACTTGCTTTGGCAACACGAGCCAACACCATTTTTTCCGTGCCCTCATTTGCCAATATCCATTCAGGTGACTGGCAAGGTAAATTTCCTTCTTCGCCCAATTCACACTGCCTTCTAGCATAATTGTAGTACATCTGGTGATGGAGTGCCATCTTCTCAACATCCGTAGCGTTGAATTGTTGGACAACCTTCTTACAGATAACATAGGCGGCCCACTCGAGTTCGCGAATCTCTGAGTATTTGGTCTGGAGACCATCATAGCAGACTTTCCTCAGCAATTCTTGTACCGCGTCTGCTGAGTTCTCTACATCTATACCCCACGTCGGATGAGACCCTGATTTCCCCGAGGCGTTTATCTGAGCTCCGTTGTCTAATCGAGGGGCTTCAGGGGCATCGGTCCTTGTGATATGAGACATCGCGTCGTAGTTGAAGGGGGGGTGGTCTATACGTTAACGAAAATCGAACAACTGGCTGCCTGGGTAGTCAGTCGGTAAGTTTGGGGAAATGGTAACTTAAGGAGCGTTTCCTAGTTTATATACAACGCCGTACAGAATTCATACATATCAGTCACTTCAAAACTAAGCATGCAGAGTACTAATACATGTTCATTGATTATATATAACCCTACTAATAGGTTCGAATATCTTGCAAAGAATTCCGGGACCTTGTAAAGAGGTAGTATTGCCGTTACTCCATCATGCCGCCACCAGTAACAGACGTGTATTATCCGAAAATAGGTTACCTCGCATCTACTTATGCTTATCAATGAGTTGTAAGGAGCATATTATGACGTGTTAGCGCATACTCCAACAACTATCCTGATCATAAATGAAACCTCTACGATAAATATATAAGCTCGAGCGTGGGGTTATATTCTATCATATATGATCTATCAACATCTTAGCAAGTGTCGCAGATGTAGATATTTACAGTTGCGCCTCACTCTAATCACGCACCCATAGATACATAGACCAAGAAATAGTAGCGTACCATGCTTTAGGAATAGCAATCCGAGCTTCCTAAATGAGGTAGCCCGTGCCACCAAATTCGGTCCTCAGCTGCGTTGCGATTGCGAATGACGTTTCCCCCTATATGTACCTTCGTGTAGTTCAAGATCCGCGTGTATTTCACGAACCTTACTTACCTCATACAGACACCTATTAGGTGCCTAGTTACTTCTCAAAGAGCTTCTATACATGTAGATCACTCACCGTTTCGGCTCCGAAAAAGCAATAACTGCAAGATACCTGTTTATCATACTTGTCACCATGCACCGGTAAGCGCCCATTAACTTTTTAAGACCACAAACACCCACGAGCATTAAATTTACATGCATGTATGGTACTCAAGAATAACTACGACCAGCCATTAGATTAGGAGGGCTTGAATAGCTACCTACTAGGTATCGAAGCCCAAGGTATTAACACAAAGCCGAGATAGTCCAACAGCCTACCTATAAGGTAGCTTCTTCCCTTATACCCCAAATTGCAATATGTATATTCTCTAAAATGTCCAATAAGTTAATTATTGCTTATCTAGCCTGTGCTATCTTTAAGAGACGGTTATGAGAGTTTCAAATTATAATATTCGTAAATGAGAAAGCACGAGTATATCGGTATATAGAGAATTCAGTATTAACATTATAGCAATCATCAATTGGGCTAGAGAATGAATTGTCCACTAATATTCAAAACCACCGCATACATATATTAATATAGGAATACCAAAATAGATGACTAATGAAGACAATTACCTCTGGATATCTATGTAGTATTGTAATGTAGTATTGCTTTCCCCACGCGATAGTGTTTTGTCAGAGTCTCATTGCAGCTCAAACGGGGAGTCGGAGCGGGTTCGCTTCATATATACTATACCTATAGGACCATTCTATCTCCGTAGGTACCCATAGCGAAGTTCACCATGATACGATTCTCACTAGTACAATCATCTCCTCTCAAAAGCCTCATAAGTTTGAGGAGACATGCGCATAATGGAGCCCGACGCCCAAAACTCATCGCTCAAGAGTAAATCAGGTGGTATTAGTGCTGTCGTGGATGTGAAACCCGCTATCTCCGATGAGATCGGCGAACCTGAGATACTTACGAAAAGCAAGATGGATTCTAAGGAGAGGGCCTTGGTGCGCAAATTGGACTACTATATCATGGTAGGTATCTATTATATAGTCTCACATCTATAGGGGTTAGGGAGAAGCTTACTATAGAGACAGCCGACTATATGCGTCATGTACTTCCTGAACTACGTTGACCGCAACGCCATCGCGCAAGCCCGCCTGAACCATTTTGAACATGATCTCGGTATGTCGGGTAACGAGTTCAACACGGCAGTCAGCATGTAAGTACCCTTTACATTCCAATTAAAAGAAAACTGTTAGTTCATGCCTGCACTATAGTCTCTTCGTCGGATACGTGCTCATGCAAGTTCCGAGCAACATGTTGATTACACGGACCAAGCCCGGGCTTTACATGGCCGGGTGGATGTTCCTCTGGGCGGTAGTTTCCGCCTGTACGGCTGCTGTGAAGAGTTATGGCGGACTCGTGGCCTGCAGGTTCTTTCTTGGGATTGCGGAAGCTCCGGTAACAGACCTATCTCACTACAACTCGTCTCTGGTGTAATGTGACTAACACGACAAGTTCTACCCGGGTGCTACGTATATCCTGGCGATCTACTATACGCATAGTGGTTAGTTACTCTCAGGTAATCACCACTATATATCAAATCTCAAGTTAACCATTTCTTCCTTAGAGATGGCCATGCGGGTCGGTCTCATGTACTGTGGCCAACTTCTCGCCACCGGGTTTACCGGCCTGATCTCGGCCGGTGTCTTCGCTGGGATGGACGGGTTACGAGGCCTTACCGGCTGGCAATGGCTCTTTGTAATTGAAGGCTCTTTCACCGCTCTAGTTGCGGTTCTAGGGTTCTGGCTTCTACCAAACACCCCGGATGATACGTTTTGGCTGAACGATGAGGAGCGCAAGTTGATACGAGCACGCATAGAGGGCGACAAGATCAGCGATGCTCTGAGCAAATCTAGTGCCTGGGAGGGCCTTAAGGAGGCCTTTAAGGATAAGAGAACTTGGCTCTTCTGTTTTATGCAGATGTTTCATCTATCAGCCTGTTCTTTCAATGCATTCTTTCCAACGTAAGTCTCTTAACCCCTTTTATTACCAACCTTATCGCTAGTTTGATATTCTGGTCGTTACAATGATGCTCACACCATCCCAAATAATAGGGTTGCGAAGACACTCGGCTACAATAACACTGTAACATTATTATTGACGTGTCCCCCTTTTATACTCGCGGGAGCTGGTAGTGTCTTAGTCGGTTGGAGCTCTGGGAGACTGAATGAGAGGACATGGCATATAACAGTAGCATTAGCTATTGCGATTATCGGGTTCGTCATAGCCGCTAGTACACTCAATACGGCTGCACGTTACGTTGCTTGCTTCATCTTCCCCGTCGGCGCATTTTCGGCCAATTCGGTTGTCGTCGGCTGGGCATCATCGACTTTGAGCCAAACAGAAGAGAAAAGAGCGGTAAGTGTGGATGGGATTTAATACTATACTCATAATTACTAGTAAGGGAATAAACTAAATAATGCTACAGGTCGTCCTTGCGATAACTAATGTCTTTGGCCATATCGGCTATATATACGGCGCATACCTGTGGCCCGACACCGACGAACCGCGGTACGGCATCGGGTTCGGCGCTTCTGCGGGATTCGCTCTCCTCTCGATCTGTTGTGCTTGGGTTGTCCGGACGCTACTCATACGAGAGAATAGAAGAATCCTGGCTTCGAATTCAGAGCGTGTCAACTTGTATAGCTATTGATCTGAGGGATATAAGAGTAGTGGCTGATATAGACGTTGATCTTCAATTGAAAATGTCTTAGCTCATATATGTATTAATACATAGTAGCAATGCTAACGAAAGCATTCTAGAATATTTACCTTGGGTACTTAGACCTGATTGGATAATCTCACATTAAAATGAATGAGTATAAAAAGGGGGGAAAGCGTTGGTATTATACATCTCACTTTATGCACACCTAACCTAGGTAGGTGCCGTCTCGGTATGACGCAACTCCGAAAGAAGCCGATAAGCCCTCCGATATCGACACTGAGCTATCGATAACTTCCCGAATAGCTCTTAGTCGCTTACAACTCGCCAAATTTCTCCCAAGTCGAGAACAATCCGATCGCAAAGGCGTTTCGAGCTCAACTGGCGTAGTGAAGCTGGCTACGATACCTAGGCATAGACCTTACGCCAGCGAAGCAACCCAGCGTCGAAAATGGCGACCCGGCGCATCATATCGCCGCGCTCACCGTTTGGCCTACCCTTCCGAGCTATAATATCGCGGTCGTACTCCTCGAGCAGCGCCGCGCACCATACGGTCCCGTTAGCATTCGATCACCATACGCCCCCGAAAGGCGGCCACGATCATAAAGATTCGCCTATAATATTTATGCATGGCTTGTTTGGGTCTAAGAAGAATAACAGGAGCGTGAGCAAGTGAGTTGGTTCGGCCCGTGCCCTGCGAGCATGCACGGAATTCTAGTACTGGGTATAGATTATAAAGAGATAGGTAGATAGCTAATTGGATTTTAAATATTAGAGTCCTCGCTCGCGATCTTAAGCGTCATGTCTACACGGTGGTAAGTCCACCACCAACCTCTGCCAGTAGCCTCTTCGTCTCCATCTGACCCTCGGCCCTCACTACACAGGACCTGCGCAACCACGGCGAAACCCCCCACGCGCCGCGCCACGACTACCTCGCCATGGCCGACGACGTCGCAGGCTTTATTAGCGACCACGGCCTACGGGATCCGACCCTAATCGGGCATTCCATGTGAGCACCCTCCTTCTTCCCCCCACAGAGAGAAAGTCACTCACAAAATCCAGGGGCGCCAAAACCGCCATGGCGCTCAGCCTAAAAGAACCCTCCCTAATCCGGGACATCGTCTCAGTCGACAACGCACCAGTCGACGCCGTCCTCGGTACCTCCTTCGCGCACTACATCCAGGGGATGCGGCGGATCGAAGAAGCCGGCGTAACGCGACAATCCGAAGCCGATAAGATCCTGCAGGAATACGAGCCCGACCTGGCGATCCGGCATTTTCTGCTGGGGAACCTGTCCCGCCCGCCTGCGGAAGACGGTACTGTGTCCCCGACGCAAAAGTTCCGCGTACCGCTTGATGTCTTGGGACGCTCGTTGGGACACCTTGGGGACTTCCCGTTTAAGGACCCCGGGGAGAGGCGCTTCGAGAAGCCGGCGCTGTTTGTACGCGGCTCGCGTAGTACGTATGTGCCCGACGAAGTAATTCCGCTTATTGGGCAGTTTTTCCCGCGATTTACGCTGGTTGACATCGATGCTGGACATTGGGTTATTTCTGAGAAGCCAGAGGAGTTTCTTCGAGGTGAGTTGAGAACCTTCTTGTTCCGTTTTCAGAGCTATATACTAACTAAAATTCCACTTGCAGCGGTCATAGAGTTTCTCACACCAAAGGAGTGAACGAGTAAACAAATGAATGAGAATTAGAACGAGCTTTGCATATATTATATCTGCTTGTATAATCGTGTATCATTGCATCGGGGGGATATCATATAGACAGAGAGAGAAAGAGAACTATGTACATAGCCACCGCATCGTAGGCGTTCATCGGCGTGCATGAAGATAGACAGATTTCAGGTTTCATTACCTAGCAGGGGCAAGCCGAAGAGTAATTTGACCCGAGACCACCGAGGTTCAGGCCTGTATTGCTAGACGCGGGCGCTGCGGCGGCGAGCAGTTCAGGTCGCTGGACGATGCGGTCTACGACCTCGACGAACGGCTGTCGGACGTTCTCCCGTGTCTTAGAGCTAACCTCGCAGAACCCGGCGCCCTGCGATTCCGCGAACGCCTTGCCCTCCTCGAAGGAGACGGCACGGCCGCCTGAGGCCACTTTGTCTAGTTTACTTCCGACCTAGTACTATAATTAGTCGTAATGCCACATACATATACCATAAAATTTGCACGTGAGGGTAGTGATACCAAGTAAAGCACGGCATCGGGAGATGCGTTAGATCTCGCCTCGTCGATCCACTTCTCCATGCTAAGGAAGCTCTTCCTGCTCGTGATGTCGTAGACTATGATGACGCCGTGGGCACCACGGTAGTAACTAGTCGACAAGGTGCGGAATCTTTCTTGGCCGGCCTTTGGGTATTGTTAGATATGCTGCATAATGTAATATCATGGTTAAAGTAAAGGGAGACGGGGTGCATATTAAGAACTTACAGTATCGAATATGTTCAATCTATATGCTTTGCCTCGGACGGCGAGCTTCTTCATCTAATGCACACGGATTAAGTATTAGCCAGTACTCGTGGTCATGTGAATAAATCTAGCTTGGCATCTTAGCCTCACCTTGAAATCGATACCAATCGTCGCCGTCGTCGACTCCGGATCAAACAGATCATCGCAATCTATAAAAGTCTTAGAATCGCAAAACCAACGCCATCGATTTAGATAGTTCCACAGAGCCACGTAAAGCGACATAACCGGGTTGGGGCGGGCAACTCGTACATCTTAGCAGCACTACTCATTCCGCAACGGCAATTCATCTCGTTAGCCTCATGTTCTAGAAACTGTCATGTTGGTATCCGCCCGCGGGTATTTACAGGCAGACCCGGGGATTCGGGTATGGATATATGTAGGTAGGCAGGGAGGTATTTAGATTAGGTAATTAATTGTATGCATAGGTACATACGTGCAGACTTGCCGGCGCCGGAAGGCCCGATGATCAGGACCTTGAGCACCGGTAGCGAATCCTCCGACATTATTCTAGGTATCTTCAAGCAGTCGGCCGATCTTTTGTCTTTGGAGCGAGGTTAAGAAGCTAGGCGTGATAGGAATGCGCAAGTAGCAAGCGACGAGGCAAAAAACAATTTCGGTAGTCTCGGATGAGATGAAGCTTTGTAGGTATGAGATTTGTAAATTGTAGGTTTGGAATGATAATGATGATTAAAGTTCCAAGGTTACCGCTCCTTGGTTAAGGTACATGTACCTACTTACATACATCCATAGGAGGTACGTGCAAGTTCCATCTGATGCGCTGGTGGTACCGGCGTACCGCACCATACCGCGCTTGATTTGGTCATGCGAGCGATAAGATACATGCTGTTTTAAGTGGCGGCTTTTACTTCGCGGCTGGATTAAGCTACCTAGGTACATACAACCTTAAATAACCCTCTTAAAAGTCGGACATATCCCCCTTCTTCAAACCCGCTTTGTCCATGACTCCATGTCGGTTTACCGGTGGAGCCTCTCACGATGGGACCGAACGGTATATTCCCCCGTTTACCCACCAGAGCATCCGCTACAGAAACAGGTCAACGTCTTGGTCTTAGAAAGGTCTTCCCCGCCAGCGCTAGTGATGACACTACGAGTACATTCTCTACTAACAAGCATATATCCCACTCCCGCTCCCGCTGATCGTAAATGACATGTCAGCATCATCGCAATTCACGGTTTAGATACCGAGTCGCCACGAGCATGGACTTACAAAAAAGATGGGAGCCAGTCAGTAAACTAGCTCGAGGATAGCGACATGCTGCCAGCTGCCGGCTGCCGTCCCAGACGCCAGGATTTACACATACGATTGGAACGCGAAAGTGTTTGACAATGCTCCCGTTCAAACATTGTTGGGTCATGCCGACAACCTCCTTTCTCTTATTATAGCAGCAGAGCATGGCACCTCAAGGCTCAAGTCGACCTCTACTCTTTATCGCGTCTTGTTTTGGAGGGCTTATTTTAGCCGAGGTAAGCTATATCCAGTACACGTAAAACCAGGGCTGATCATCGTAGGCCATCTGTCGGGCGGCCCAGGCAGGTAGTAAATGCCGTCAAATACTTCAGTCTACAACCGACATCGTCTCCTTAGCGACTCCTTTTCAGGGAACAGATGCAGCTAGTCTTGCATCGTGGCTTATAGTTGTTAATGGCATCATGGGCAAGGGCGCATCACCTCAATTAATCAAGGATCTAAAAGAGCGTAATGATTGTGTTTCTAAACGAGTCCAGAAGTTTGCCGAAATCGCCAACAATAATTCCACCCGATTTCCCATTTACTGCTTCTATGAGACAGGAAAACCCAAAATTGCAAAAAAAGATCCTTCCATCGGGGATCTCGGATAAGTGGCTACGCGGTTCCATAGTAAGTTCATAAACCACCGCAACGAGTAACACGGTTTAACGTCTGCAGCTCGTAACCCAGTCTTCAGCCTGTCTCCATGGCTTTGATCGTCTGGGTCTTGGGAAACCTCATGTAATGATGAATAAGTTCGAGGGAAACAACTGCCCTGATTTTAAACAGGTCAAACAAGCTATACAGTTTCTCCTGAGGGAGGGACCAAATACCCTAAAGCGCCGAGAGAAGAGTGAGATAACTCAGGAGACTACCCAAAGACCAACCGAGTCGGATATGCAGGCCGCTACTAAGGAGCAGCGAACCCGACTCCTGAACAGTCTCCGATTCCCGAACATGAATGAGAGGAAGAATGATTTAGCTGATTCGTACGGGGAAACTTTCCGATGGATTCTCCGTACAAATGATACCCCAATGGATAAACCTGACGGCCTCAAAGATAAGTCATGGTATGATTTTGAGGATTGGCTTAAGTCTGATAACACCATTTACTGGATCAGTGGCAAGCCTGGATCCGGGAAGAGTATATTGGTGAAATACCTCATAGAGAACCCTCTCACAAAGGAAGCACTAGCCAAGGGGGGCAAGGGGGCCAATGATCCTATGATATTGTCTCACTTCTTCTGGAAAGCCGGATCTGAAAAACTGCAAAGGAATATTAAGGGATGTCTATGTTCCATCCTTCACCAGGCTATTCAGCCCGAGACAGTTCCTTTAGACTCGATACTGACTACTTACAAGTTTGTATCAACCAAGGAATCGGTCACTGATTGGTCACGTAAGGAGCTTAAAGATATATGTTTCGCAGTGTTACGTAGGTAGTTATCCATCTTCAATTTACATATTCCTCGATGGCCTTGATGAAATATGCCTCGAAGATCGCTCTTCTCTCATGGAACTCATGGAAACCCTCAGGGAGTTCGCAAATACCAAGATCTGCGTGGCTAGCCGACCAGAGCCGCACCTCCAATATTCTCTTGACAAATATCCACACCTTAGGTTGCAAGACCTGACACTCAGTGATATGAAAAAATACGCGTCTGCACAAATACAGCCGTATGTTTCTAATGGACAACTATCAACATACGTCGGGTTAGATGTCACCAGAATGCTTGTTGGTAAGGCGGAAGGCGTCTTTCTCTGGCTTCGTTTAGCATCCGATAGCTTGGTTCGCGGACTAAAGAATGACGATTCAGAGGAAATGCTATACCAAAGACTTGAAGAAATGCCCAATGACTTACACGAATTCTATAATGACACGTGGACCCGATTAAACGAAGATACAAAACTATACCGAGAAACTGCCGCTAGATATTTCAATCTGGCCATCGCTTCACGAAGGGAGGGCTCTGAACTTCGGCTACTTCTCCTGATGGCTATAACGATACATATGCAAATCCCCAATCAACAGCAGCTTTGATGAACTCGGTTGTTTTTGGGAACCTCTGCTGGCCCTGAGTGCAGACCCAAGTGCCAAGGGGATTTTTTATCCACGAACGGAATGCAGTTTGCCCTCACAACTAGATTTTTATAGCCCCATTGCCACGTACATGCTCGAAATATTTCAGAGAGAAAAAGACACGCAGCAAGAAATCAATACTAGGTATAGTATAGGCAACTTCAGAGGTTCATAGAAGCCGGAGTAGACCTGCGAGAGCGCATACCGCTTCTTATCAATATCTCTAGATACGAATTAGAGGTGGGAAAAATCCAGTGGGGAACAAGTTATAGATCATGTGTGACTTTGGATTTGGATCTAGCGTTCCTGGTCAGCGCGTACTCTGAGCGCGCCCGTAAGAGAGGATCGCCACTCTCTACAGATGAGATCGTTTATCAATCTCCTGGGACCGCTTCGAAGGACACTTCGCCTCGTATAGCACTGATAAGCATCGGTGATGATGTTGCAGGGAACCCTTGGGATCGATATCAGTGCTCAAGCAACGAAGCAACCGAGCAGCTTGTCGCTTTCCTAATACAGTTCCTATACGGTGACGAGTCCGAAGACTTAGCCCAGAAAGCGCACCAGCAAGTGTGCAAGATTGCTAAGGAAATTAATAACGAATCAATTGGATATTAAAGGGTAGTGGCCAAAGACATCGACATCGAGGAATTTCTAGCAGAAAAGAATTTGGGCTATTGCTTTGTTAGGTAAACGAAAAAATCGGGGCAGTTAAATCGAGCCAGTTCCCTCTTACGCACTGCTATCAAGAGGTATCTTAAGAAACTAGGTCTGGTAGACTGACTAACACTTGCGTTGAGCCTTAGTTCAAAGCTGCCCTGAACAGCATTTTGTCAAAAAGGGGCACATCCCACCAAACCTACCGAAGAACACCTCAACTTCCAACGGCTTGTAATTCAACAAATTTAAAGCCTGACGAATGATCGGATATATATTTCGAAGGCCCGGATCAAGGCCTGTTGGTAATGTGTTTTGTTTGAAGTAAACATGATGTACGGCGCCTTGGATAAGGGGTGACTTTGCCTCAACATCTGATTTTCGTATCGAAATCACCACTTACAACAACTCGACTAAATTTAAAAAGAAAAAATTTCATAATAATTGTCTAAGAGTTTTCGTAAAGTAGATTCAATAGTGAGATAACTTTGTCAAATAAGATGCTTTTATATATGTTAATAGTAGTGCGCCGGCCCTGTTTAAGTAAACGTAATCTAGACCCCCCTGTCATGATATCTTCAAAAGCGACCTTTAGTTTGATATTGGCATCGTCGGGTCATGGATCTATTACAGACGTAGATGCCCTTGTATATAAATACGATAAGCGGCTTGACTTGGCTATGAGACATGCCATGTATCTGGAATATCATACTTTCAATCCATAAATAGGAAGTTCTACATTATAAGTGTGACCTATCGGAGAAAAAACTCACAAAGCTATTATGGACCTACAATCCCATGACGCAAGGAGATTCGCTTCATAAAAATTCTCGTGATGGTATTGGTATCGCACTTTTGCACCGTTAACTAATGACCTCCTAGACCATTGGGACACTGGATAGGTAGTCTGTCTCTACCAGAACATAGGAAGCCAAATGCTCATATTCACATAAAACAGCATCACGTGTGGAACCATCCAGTCGTCAGCTAACCTTTCTCATTTTATCTGTCCTGAGGGGCCTGCTGTAACCGCGGCTGTCCTGCCGCGCCGAATGCAATCAGAAGTGAGACCTATTGCCATTGCACAAAAACCCACGCCGTTCCATGACCAGAGTTCAGAGTTCATCATAATTAGACCTCCTCAAGGACCCGTTCCTTGAACTCCCGCTCAACCTTCTGACCCTCCTCGTTCGTCGTGGACTCTCCGTGCAGGTTCATCAGGGCACCAAGGTCGAACTTGGGCGACTTAAGGAGCTTGACCTTGCGGATGTGGACCTAGATAGTAGACTCTGTTAGTATATACTGCTGCACATTCCAAACTACAAGCATCAGGGCTTGCGTAGAACCAAGTACGTACGTTCTGGAGGGGGTAGATTCCTTGCGTGGCCTTCTCAATCTCACGGCCGATGACCTCGGGGATTAACTTGGAAGTCAGTTGTTGCAGAGTGCAGGTGGCAGCCTCTCGCTGGATGATCTCGACCATCTTCTTTCGGATGGCACGGATCTGAGATGAAGCAGCGTAGGTGGTCTTCTTGATCTGGTTGGGCCGTCGCTTGGTGAAGGCAATGGCGAAGAGACGGAGGAGGTAGTCATCGGTGGTCTTGACCGTGACGTTGGCCTCGATCAGACTTTGCCACTTTCGTACGAGGGATCGTAGCTTATCGGAGGTGAAGTCAAGACCGTGGAAGTTGGTCAGGCAGTTCTTGCCCTGAACCTCATCGACGCGTAGCTTGACCTTTCGGAATGCGTGGTCCTCGTCCTTCTGAAGATCGGCTAGGGAAACCTCGAAGATTCGGCCCTTGAGGGCATCGTTCGCGTTCTTGAGACCGGTGGTTCGGTTCACAAGGGTCTTACCAACACTACACATCACAGTTAGATATTAACCAGCCTGAGCGCATCGGGATGAAAATTTCGTACTCTCGGATGTTGAAGGGAGCAGGGGCCTAGAAGGAATTGCAGTCAGTTTAAAAGAGTCCCTATGAAATCCGTCATTGAACAGCGGTCGCTTACCTTGATGGAGTACCAATCCTTTCGTGCGAAAGGGTCCTGGGCCTTCTTCTTCAGACCCTTCTTGCCCTTGGACAATCTCTTGTTCCTATAGCGAGCGAATGATTAGCACTGGATTTCCTCGTCTCGGGGGGCGGAGAGTTGCAGGGCGCCGGAATGGAGAGGCGCAGGATCGCAGAGATTGAAATGGTTAATGGAAATGTAATGTACTCACTTTCCAACCGCCATGTTTGCGAGAGGTCAATATGGCTCGCAATTCAGGACGATGTTGAAGATGTGTTGAAAAGGACTTTTTTGGTGTTGCGTAGTGGATGGATCTGGCAGTGAATTCTAGTGCAGCCAAAATTTCTTGTTTGTGCGCGAAAATTGAGGGAGTGTGGCACGGTCACGTGTATTTTTATCTTTGATAAGCAAATGTTTTTTCAGATCTCTACTAGCGAAAAGGTACGTACCGTTATTAGGGTCTGTTCCCCTCAAGCCATGCACCTCTAACTTCATATATATTTTAGAAGCGCATATTAGTGGGAGTGTATGCATTCAACAGGGTATATTGAAGAATTAGGTCGATTTTACATAAACGAGGTATTCTCTACAAGCAGCAATTTATGAGACTTTTAGGTTTTATTAATAACACGGGTTAATACTTTGGAATTTCCTCTACTTGATTAATAAAATTCGAATTGATACTCTATACTATTCTCCAACATTAGTAAATTCTACCTCTGTCTTGAGTGCGCCGTAGCTAAGCATCTATTAGCTACGGCGTCGCCAATCACCACCGCTACGTCTACAGCATCATCGAACGAATTCTAAAACGTTGCTCGATTCTTAAAAGGTTTATTTATTCGTATATTTATTGCAGATATTAAGTAAGATATAACAAGGCGAGCTAGAACCCAGCCCAACGGGCAAATCTAACTTTTATCTCTCTTGTACTATCCCATCCTATCCTATCCTGTCCTGTCCTGTCCTGTCCTGTCCTGTCGCTGTTTCGAACGGGGGTATCCCATTTTACTCCTCACAACCCAGTAGATCTCGCAATCCATTAAGTTTCTCTCTTTCTCTCTGTGTGTGTGTGTTCTGTATCAATTCCAATGTTTTCGCCGAGCGCCTGTCCCAAAACCACCACCACCACCAACTACCTCCGTCAGGCCTGATGATACATATATCCTGGTGACCCTTGCTGCCTTGCGAGGAAAACCAAACATTAAAAAAAACAAGCAAGCAAAAAATAACAATGCTCCGGCGCCTGTTGACCCGTTGTCATGCTTTATTGTCCGCTCCCGTTAATCGCGTTATTGGAAGGAAAAAAGAAAAATAAGACGAGTTCGTATTGTATTGGGTGAGATGAAAAAAATTCGGGGAACCCCGCGGGTCCCGCCCCCCAACACGAGAGCGCTTCGGGGGCGCGGCCACGAATTAGGAATTAGGAATTAGGCCGTCCTGTCCACCTTCTCCTCGTCTGGATGTTCGCCGACTTCCCAGGCGTCGAAGCTGGGGAAGCTGAAGTAGCATACCGAGTCTAGTCGTCAGGTCAGCACAGAAGTTAGGAAAGGATCGCCCTGATCGGCTAGACCAGGGTCGGTGTATACGCACGTGGATCGCGGGTAGAGTCTGATAGATGAGCCTCGCGCATCTCGGATGAGTCTAGGGCGAAGCTCCGTGTTGATGATGGTGACGAGTTGGCATTGGATATTGCGACGCGGCTGAGTAGGTCCGTTGCTCTCCGGCTTGTGTTCGGGCTCGTCAACAGTCCCTTACAAGCGTTGGAGGTGGTGATAGAAGGTTCTGTGGCACAAGCTCTAAGCAAGCGGGGCCGTCGTCTTTCCGTGCTCTTCGGCCTTGGTGACGATTCCCGTCGAGGGACGATGTCAGGCGAGTATCTGGTAGTAGCCATTCCGGAACCAAGGTCAAGATAGCAAGTAAACAGATTATGTGATTATGTGATTATGAGATGGGGTTGTCGAATACGGAGCTTGGTTAAGCTTGGTTATAGTCTCTTAAAGCTTGTAATGTGAGTGGCAAGTTTGGTGAAAACGATGCAGGCTTGAGGAGCAAAGCTCCCCATCTATGAATGGATATTTCAAACGTTTAAGACATCACGCAGCAAGGCAAAAAAGACCGCTAATACCAATAGCTCTACCGGCTGTTGTGGAACGACATCCCCAGACGGTCGGTTGCGGGCAATGCCACATGTCACTCACGAATGGGGACATTTCGTATGTGGTGGTAGCTGTATGGTCTCCGTTGGCCTGGGTGGTTTGGGCGTAGACGGCCTGCAGCCGTGTTGGGCCGTCCTGCACCAGTAGGACTGGTAGGAGAGGTGGAGTGGGGAGACTTGTTAGCAACTGAACCACTCATGAAGCTGGTCCGGTTTAGTATCTCTTAACATCTGCAACCCATCCTTGCATTTTCCATAATACTAGTATCCATTTTTGCCCTATTTAATACTGTTTTAATACTGCCCTAATACCTGATACCTAATACCTACCAAGCAATCTAGGCAACCCAAGTAGTCTTACCCCGTTTTTACTAGACACGACAAGTTTCAAGTGGCTGCTGTCAGAACTATTAGAAGGGCTAGAGCCGGCGACCTGTCAGCTTCACTATCATGATACGTAGAAAAGGAGGTCAGCGCGAGCGTAACGCGAATTCCGTGATATTCCCCTGTACCTTTATCCTCTTCCCCCCCTCTTCCTTGTGCCCTTGTATAATCCATGCAGATAATCAACCCATCAATCCACTTGGAGCTTCGCAGACCACTCTCCCACTCTCCCACTCTTCCTGCCTATGCATCTCATCATGCTTCTAAGGCTGATGTAGACGAACCCTCAATTGAAGCTGCAAGATACACTTTTATACCGCACGACAGATAATCTGGTAAAGCTGACGTGCTACGACGTAGCTCTACTGAATTCATGCCGCTTGGACATGCTACAATTGGATCGCTGTCACACACTGTAAGATACTACAGATGCCACTGCAGTCACAAGGACGAGAGAGTACAAAACAACACACCTCTCTTGGAGTTCATACATTAGTCTCACGCGTGGCAATAGTAGAAGCGGGGATTCTAGGTCATATCAGGTTTTCATTTAGTAACTGCCTATAGCTACCTACCTACGTAGTTTCAACTAACTCCTACACCGGTCGTAAAAGCAAGCCAGCTCAGTTGGAGTATTCAGTGGTCGACACTGTCATTGTTAATAATACGAAGTTGGAAGGGCCAGTTGTTCGGGTGGTACTCACTCTTCCCACATCCGTCCCTGGACGGCTTTCAATTCTTCGGCAGTCATTCTGTTGCCGGTAGTGAAATATCCTGCGAGCCGTCAGCTATCTTCCCGGATCCGGTAGACTACCAGGGGTACAAGTTTACCGGCTGTAATCTTGGCATCTATCTCGACCCGTGAATCTGCGGGGATTAAGTCTTCGGGAAGTTCTACCCGCTCATGAATAGGGATACTATACTTGGTTAGACACGCCTTACCTTGGTTTACCGTATGGGGAATTGACTTACCCCTGGCCAACGATGGCATCGTACTTCATACTACATTGTGACACCCTAACGTTAGATCTGATCCCTCCACCATTTATAGTCGGGTAACTCACTTGCTCATGCTTAGCATTCTATCGATCTTCTTTATGCCGAGCCAGTGGAGTATATCAGGCATTAGAGCCTGGAAACGCATGTCTTTAACTCCAGCAACATTTTCGGTTCTTTTGAAATAGTCCGAGGCACGATCTTCGCCGCGTTTTCTAGCGTTGTATACAACTATTGGATGTGGTTAAACTTCAGCTCAGTGGTAAAGAAACACCTAGACTCACGGTACTACTAGATGTCAGTATTTTAACAGCTACAACTCGGGGGTACAATACCTTAGTTACTTCACCCAAAGCTCGTCCTTCTTTTCTGAAGTAGATGACAACGCCACTGCCGCCATTCTGTGCTTCCTTGACGGCCTCTTCGATGCCGAAGATAAGATAGGGTCTGCAAGTGCAGATATCGGAGCCAAACACATCACTACCGTTGCACTGCATTCTCTGTAAGCCAGTAACCTCCAAGCCAATAGCCACAGTGCATGAATTACCTCATCGTGAATGCGCAAGGCTAGTCTGCTCTTTTCGTCAGACATCTTCGCCGGGTCCCCGAAGCAATATACAGTCAGCCCGCCTATAAAACGTTAGTACCGTCATTTGATGTTCCTTTGAGGTAGGACCCGAGATACCGATTGGAGGTAAGAAGACCTTAATATCGCCTCGCGTGATAAGCTATACATATTGTAATTAGACATACGCTGGTTATCAATAGTGTGGTGGACGCTTACTTCTGGATAGCTACCCCCAGTGTGTTCGAAGAGCGAGCGCCTTAGAACGCCCTCATCTGCAAGGTTTAGCCATAGGTTCCGCCACGGAGGTTGATCCTTAATACGCACCTATGCCGAATCTCTCAGCTACTCCGGGGAGGTACCAAACCTACTATAGTAAGCACGGCTCTTTTCGGTAGACTTGGGAGTTCAATATTCTTACTGGCTCAACTGCAAACTTGGTCACTGCCAGCTCTCCCTGTGCATTTAGGCAAACTTTCCCATCGGGAACACTGATAGTAGATTAGTGTTATTAGTTTGTGACCAGACAATACCAGAGGAAAACATACAGTCTCCCTCTTCGAACGCTTTCCTCCAGCTCTGGAAGCTAGTTCAAATTAATACGATTCACAGAACTACAGGGTTAAAATTATTTACCTTCATATGTGCTTTGGTGATGGCAATTGTGGGACGAATATCAACTGTGATCACTCATTAGCTTGCTCAACGTATATATCATTCGCTCTCCGGGCCGTTAGTTACCGTCCTCCTTTTCTATAACGTCGGCGAAAAGCCACGGGGCCAAGTGACCCCAAGGATCCATAGCGACGATCTTTTTCTTATCGCCCCATTGAGGAAACGGGCCAATGTTGGCTGCCGGCTCGGTGTTGGTGAAATCTGGCCTATATTGAGAGTTATAAATTAGGCTTCAGCAACTTGGTCAATGACGCTGGCGTAACCGTACCTATGGTTGGCGTTCAGCTGCTTGCTAGCAAGTGCAAGAGCAAAGTAGATGGAATAGGAACCGCCATGTGCTATGTCATCAAGTTATGTGAGGCTCCAAACAGCTTAATGGTAGATCATGGCTTACCTCCGATAGCTAGAACGTCGTTAGTAGCTAAAAAAGCATACAATAAGCGATAAACTTACCGTTGCGCTTTCGAATTGTGGATGATGACCGGGAGACAACCACCGGGCCTCGGCTGACTGCATCTGGAGCCCCCCATTGAAGAGGAAGTGGATTAATACCAATCTGCTTGGGATATGTACTAGCTAACGGTTAATACGGAGCTGTTAGGAATCTCACGAGGCATAGAACTTACGTAAGTATAATTCGAGATGTAAATCCGGATTTTTGTGCCTGAGATGCTTCTTTCGTTGTAGGCGATGTGTTGCCGGAATCAGCCTCGCCAGCAGCCAGAGTCGTCCGGATCGGTGATGTCGGAGCCACAGCGAGGGGTGTTGATACCCTATTGATACCGAGACTCGGCACTTGGCCGGACGGAGCAAGAGTATCAAGTCGAAGGGAGACGGATTCGACTTCCGATGCCAATTTGGTCTGGTTCTCCTGGATACTCTTCAGGGCCTCAAGGACGTCGGCCATGCCCACAGAACTGCTTGTACCCGAGTCTGCCATTGCCACAGCTTGACAAGAAGTAATCTCAAAGTCTAACGAATGGGGGATAGAGTTATAGGTGAATAGAGTAAATATATAAGTAGGGAAGGTTAAATTAATCCCTCGCCGATAACCTTACGTTTTGATTTAGTATTGTTATGAACGAGTTGGTTGTCTAGTAACTATGTGAGGGTAAGAATCAAGATAGCAAGTTGTTGGAAGTTTAAGGATACACGAAGTTACATCAATGTAGGAAGATGCATGTAGCGGTATGAAAGGGTCAAGACAGCGCCTAACATTATACGAAAGTATATAGTACTTGGACCTACAAGAAAAGATAATTTATTAGACTTAACTTTGGCCGGATGAGCTGGAATGAGACCAAGCAGACAAGTATACGTACATGTAGTTGTACAGAGCTCTCCTACCTGATAAGGTGCCCAAGGAAAAGGTAGGCACCTGACTGTTTAATAGTAATAACCCACTAGACTAGTCATAATCCCCACTAGTTCGTACCTGCGTCTGCTGTGAACATCCAGTCTCCTTCATGCTCATTGGCATTGGAAATATTCTTATCTAAGAGATGTGCAACTTATGATTATATCGAGTTGTACGGAATATAAATGCGGTAAAGAAACCCCGCCTTATTAGGTATCCACTAGTACCTACTATATATACTAGCCCATTCGTTAGCTTCATTGATAAGCGATAAGAGAGCTTTATCCAAGAGGTGACTTTAATAATAATAATCTTGTGCTAGGCGAAGCCTTTGAGCGCCACATAAAGCCTTGAAATACTTTGTATTTCGTCCTTCCATACAGTTTTTACTGTTCTGAAGGCGAAACGCTTTGCGTAAAAGTAAGAATCCCACCATTTGTGAATTATACTTCTATTTATCTAAAGTTGAGTTGTTGACAATCGGAACTTTGTGGTATTGAAACGCGCACTGTTGTCTTTACGCGACAAGCCGACGTACGTCATTCCTTATAAAGCCCATAGCACCTTTCCTCAGTTCAGCCTTCTCCATACAAACTCGCAACCGATCCACCTTCTGACCAAATCAACTACAGACCGTATTCCAAACGGTATCGCGACACTTGAAGCCGTGTCGCATTTCGATTCGCCATGGTAAATAACCTTCTACACCAAGCTGCGATATTGAGTAGTCGCTAATATAGATGGCTATTATAGGGGAAGCGCAAGAAGAGTTCGAGAAAGCCTCAGGGCAAGAAGAAGAACGATCCCCTACCTACTATATTCACGTGCTTATTCTGTAACCACGAGCGATCGGTCACCGTCGAAATGAATAAGAAATCTGGCGTCGGTGAACTGGAATGCAAAGTATGCGGCCAGAGATTTCAATGCGGAATTAACTGTAAGCAGAATCGCATCGGCTACCACAGATAGTTGCTAATGGTGGACTAGATCTTTCTGCGCCCGTCGACGTCTATAGCGAATGGATTGATGCAGCAGGTATGTGGATCTTTTTTTAAACTGATGTATTGTCTACAACGTTGCTTACGCGGTTCTAGATGCTGTCGCAAAAGACGATACTACTGGAGGCGCCTCTGGCTCAGCCCCGGGTTACCGGTTAGGCTCAAAACAATCGGCAGCTGGTCGCTATGATGACGACGAAGACGACCGCGGGTACGAGGGAGAGGGTGTTGTGGGAGACGATGACGAGTACTGAGCAGATATGATACTATACTTTTGATGAATTAAGCCTCACTTTGCCGGATCAACGCGATAAAATCAACTCGGTAGTGATAACGCCTACATCATATGACATGCAGTTATTGCCGTTAAGGCACGTGTTATCTAATGTCTGCAACCCGTCTGACTACACGTCGGTCCTCCATAGACTATACCGTCTGTCGTGGAAGTTGTCGCCCTTACTCTTTACAGAACGGGCAGTCATCAGGGCTCCAAATAATGATGTATACTACTAATAGGCGTTAAATTCTACTTACTCTTGTCTTCCGAAGTCCGTGGTTACGATTAATCCGCGTTACATGGTGTAGAACCGATCCCCGAAGTCACCCAAGCCTGGAATGATGTAACTAAGAGAACGTCAGTGAAGGCTTCCATAGCAAAGCTTTGTCGACATACTTCTTCTCGTCAAGGCCCTACAAGGTATCCGAATTAGTATTTGCAATGGGATGAACTTAGGAGAGCAGACAAGATTTCTTACCTGATCGATGAATGCTGTAACAACCCGGAGCTTGGGGAACTTGGTTGCGAAATTTTGGACTCCTTCTGGGCTGGCGATCAGGTTCAGGAAAAGAATCCTCTCTTCTGGAACGCCACGTGATTTTAGGACTTCGACGGCCATGATAGCAGATCCACCTAAAGTATTAGACCTAGGTTAGTCCTCTGGAAAGTGAGAAAATATGATATAGGTAGCTAGCAGTCTGACCTGTTGCAAACATCGGATCAAGTAATAGAACCCATCTTTCAGCAATATCCTCAGGCAATTTATCGTAAAATAGCTTCGGCTTTGCTGTCTCTTCATCTCGCTGGATTAAGATTTTGCCAATCCTAACCGATCTGCAGCAGTCTCGAAGACCTTGTTCCATAGCTTCACCAGCCCTCATAATAGAGACACCGCAAATTTTCCCCTGAAACATGAGTCCATCGTAGGTGTGACCAACCGGGGTAGTTACAGTGTGTTCAACGACGGGTAGATGGTTGAGCCCTTCCTCGACAAGTAGACGAATTATTCGGTTCGAGTAGAAAATGAAGTCAGCTCGTTCCGTCTTTCTGTCACGGATCTTCCTATCCCGGAATTAGTTCCTGGATAATTCGAGTACTAAACATATCGTAAAACGCTCGAGTCGAGTCGACCAACAAGGAAGCTACTCACGTGAGCAATGCGATGAGCTGTGGCGTTTGGGGCAATGTGATAACATTGTCATGTTCAACCGCCGTTGAGACAGTGGCGATAGGTTTTTGACTAGGCGAGCGGTAGTCGGGTCCTACGCACTGCACAGGGCCGACTTGAGGACGATTTCCAGATTCAGTAGCCATTCTATATCTTCTAGATGAGTCGTTTAAATGGTGTAAACCCCCGCAACACTTGTACGATGTCTGGAAGATATAAAGATCCTAGAAACACCTAGAGATATGATCCTACTCGAAGAATAAACCGCCGTCACACAGCCTAAGCGGTCAAAGGGGTTGTCAGGAGTTTCCTAGTTATCTACAGTAGGTGTATGCAGATGTTCTGCGCCGAGGGAGAGGGAAAGAATAGAGAAATACTCCAAGACTTTATAAGTCAAGTGATTAAAACGAAACTAAAGGGTCAACCCTGACATTTTAGCAAATAGTATAACGTGAGAGAAAGATTAGGAAGGCCAAATTCCAATATAAACCAAGATGCTCTAAATGGGTAGGTAGGTATCTCATAAAGCGATAGCTTTAAGCATAAGTCGAGGCTCATTGGAGCTGACTTGTAGAAAAACGAATGATAAGCCCTAATAGGAAATCTGAAGTGGGCTTGGCGACAAGTGATGACCGGACACAAGTACATACACATGTAGTGGACCCCGCCTGCAGTTCTTTACCACATCTTTTATCTGGCTTATCTGGCTTATCCGCCTATTGTAGCGCCTTCCTTGTTTCAGGCTTCAGCTCAGCAGCTTAGAAAATCGGTTGGCTAATGTACTACCAACTAGCCGAACCAGTCAACAAAGAGCTGTTGCTTTACTTTAAGTTATGTTGTGGTTCGATGAAGCTGATAGATGGATGCTTCCGTCTTTAACTAAGGTAACAAGGCAAGACCAACGCGGCAAATACTTATTCACCCGTACCTGCCAAGGAGGTATTAGGTTCAATGCATTGGAGGATATCTTAGGTTCTAGGGCGTGAATCCCGGTGAATTCTGAATTCAAGGTATCGCCCTTCTTCCTTCTTGCGACCTCCGCACGTTTTTGGTTGCACTTCCTTGCCCGATCATCCACTTAGCGGTCTTAGCCTAACAACATCAAATCAGCTTCGCAATCCTTCCTATTTATCGTCCCACCCTCAACTAAATAATTCGTCACTCACCACTACTTACGGTAGTCCGCTGCAAGGCTACCATAAGCGCGTCTCTCAGCTATTAACATCAAACTCTACTACTATTCCCATCTCAAATCTCCCACTTTCAATAATCTGCTGCCGCTATAAATGATCAATCATCTTATGCTATTGACATTTCAACCTGCTTCAAAGGTGTTTAACCAGGTATCACCATGTCTATGAAGCAGGATTTCAGTGCTCCCCGAAAGAAAGGACTCACCACCTATGGAAAAGCCGCTCGTAGAAGACAACCGAAGGCACTCATTACTCCCAGCGACTTCCCACCTATACCAGAGGATGATTCCGTCTTGAAGCACAAGGCCACTGTAACGCGCCGCCGACCCACGCTACTCAGTTCCCCACTACGAGATCCCTCTTCGCCGACATCTCGAGGTATTGATGGATTGGCCGACATAAAGACGAAACCAGATAGCTCACAAGACAACACACAAGGTTTTGATCGGAAACGTAAGATATCCCAAGTGTACGCGTCTAAGGGGCGAGCACAGGAATCTTACCAGGCTGGCCAGCGCGATGTCTCCCCTGATCACGTACGACGTCGGTCGCACCCGTATACTTCTACTTCCACCGGTACCCGCCAAACAGCTCCCTCTACTTCGCGACAACGCGCCCGTCCAGTTCCATTAGAATCTATGGATACTGATGCGGCCGAACCAAGACTATCAAGCCCGCCGCCTACGCCAACATTACTAAAGGGTTCGAGACAGCCTAAGGCTGCAGGTGTTAGAGGTTCAGCAGGATCGACTTCGGATTCAACTATGAAGGGGAAGGAAAAGCGGGATATTATGCAGCAGCGCATACCCCTCCGCTTTGCCCGTGAAAACATCGCAAAACCGAAGGGGTCGAGTCTCCTTTCAGATAGAGCGGACAATGAAGTCCGGTCGAACCCCCAACCAGTTCCAGATAGTGGCACTAAGAAGCGCAGAAAGCGAATAATCGACACGCTAGTTGAACAGAGGAAGGATGACGAAGCCGAGACTGTCGAGGAGGCTTTCGAAAGCCAAGAGAGTTCAAGCCAACCAACTTTAAGTCACCAAATTAGTGACGTCTCAATGGCAGACTCTCAATCCTTGCCTCAAACCCCAAGCCGTAAACCCGCAACAACGCAAGCAACTAGCACTAGGACTTTTACCCGCTCTAGTAGTGCGCTTAAGTTTACATACGGCCAAGGTAGAAAAGTACTAGAGGAGGAGGTTGATTTACTGGAGAGCCTTGCTCTACCCGAGATGTCGGCTCCTTTGAAGGGGAGACGCTTAGAACTTGGAACCCCAAAGAAAGCAGTCAGTACTAAGGGGATCATTGACGACGACGACGACGCGCTTAACGGTTCGCCTAATTCAAAGCTGCGGGATATCCACGAATTAAGACAGGCCGGGGCAAACTCTCGTGTGGCTGATACGATGCAAGACTTAGCCGACCAGATTGGTTCTCCAGGTGACAAACCTTCATCCTCTCGAAGAGCCGCATTGCTCCAGATAGCAGAGAAAATCAAAGATAAGACATTTATGCGGCAATGCCGTGATCACGGTGTTGAGGCAGCATTACTAAAAGATGTGGACAGAGAGACTGATATCATCTCTGGGTACCTGATTTTATCAATCCTCGTGACGATACTTGCAAAATGGCCTTCTTCGCATACACAACAGCTCGTCCGGCTTGGTAAACCTGCGAACCTATTTGCCCTTCTCCTTGGCGTTACTAAGGACGTCAAGGTAATAGCGCGAGATAGGAAGAGCAACTTATCCAAGAGGAGCCAAACCTCCCTCATTGCCGTTCAGACTACGCTATGTGAGCTATCCATCTGGGGAGAGGCTAGCCCACCACGCATCTCACCGAGAAGCCTTGCCCTTAAATGTCTACACCTACTTATTACGCAGAATGCCAATGCAGCTAAGGACCCTGCGGTCTTCTCTCCAGCTGTAACAGAGGCTCTATTCACAGTGCTCTCGGAAGCGGTTGAAAGCACAGAGCATTGGGACTATCCCGCAACAGCGGAAGCGATTGACCTTGCAAACACTCTATCAATTCTTGACTTCCACGCTGTCAGCCTTGAGGAACCGCAGCGTTCAAACGCTGACTGGACTACTCGATATCTACCCATTGTAGCCGACGTCTTCAGCGCTTCCTCGCGAAATGTAATACCAGATGTTCCAGCCCAAGAGAGCGAAAGCAAGCTGCTCGAGAGTGCTATCCTGAAGCTCACTATCAACTTGACGAATAATAGCTTAGAAGCACCGGAAGTGTTTGTATCAAAAGGACTAATTCCTGGTTTGGCGAACTCGATATCCAGCAACTTCGCCCGCATTTGGGCGTCTTTGTCCCAGGATGCTTGGGTCGATGGGATCTTAGACAGCTTAGTCCTACGGCTGGGAATTCTGATCAATTTCTCGGAGCACAGTTCCCTCGTCAGACAAGTCATTAATGATTGCCACCATGATAATCAACGGCCAGTTGACGAATTGATACGACTATTCCTAGAGAACTATCGGAGGACAGCAGAGGTGAGTACTGAGCAGCCCTATTTTATTGTTCTACACTAACAGGGGGGCAGGCCGATTCAATGGAGACTAGCCATTTGAATGTTGCCTTTGGATACTTGTCCGTATTACTCGGCTATCTAGCTCTACATCCGCCAGTGCGACAGAAAATACGGTCGAACCACTCGACCAAGAGTATCACGCCTCTACTTGATTCTTTACGCGAGTTCATTACCCACTACAAGAAGGTGGAGCAAAACATAGGCGAAGACGACGATGGCTCACGAGACCACAGTAGTTACATGGAGCGACTTCAGGACCTAGTACGACAACTAGAAGACCAATCAACATATGATTAATTCGGAGTTGGCAGACATTGTCGAAGCAGGTTGGATGCATTGGATGGTTTCCTCCAAAGGCATGCCATATACGCAGTATTTACCGTTGTAGGAAAATTTGATTTTCAGTATGGGATACAAAGGGGGGAGAGTTGAAAAGCGTATTATCACGAGGAAAGGTTTAAACCATTTTGGTCCTTAGGCGTCTTAAAGAGAGGGGATGTAGACGTCTGCGATGATTTTATTGACATTACCCCAACGGAAGGTTTTCCGGACCAAGTCAAAAATACACAATCAAATACCCTTGAAGCAACCCACAAGGCATGACGATAACGGATGAACATGGCGGATAATGCGGAACAGTACAAGCGGCAGGATACCCAGGACATAGGTATCTAGAATCGAGTTGAATGGAAGAAGGGCTCGACTCTAGGATCTAGTGTTAACAAAGCTTTGCAATTCATATCTATTACAGCTATTATAAGCCTCGAGCCGCAGGAATGCTACCTTAGTACCTAGTACCTTACCCTAGTAGGTACCATTTTCAGGCACGTTTGTATTTTACCGGAGTCTGGGCCAGCCCCGCGTTCATCCGCAGAGTCAATGATGGTTCTATTACAGGGGCTCCCCTTATTGATTTGTTCTCAGGTAGGTACCTTAGGTAACGTAAGGTATGTGTTATTAATAGGAACTCGATACATTGCAGGTGCCATCGCTAGCCGTGCTGTGCATGTTTCCTAGGTTAACCTTGGTTAGCCGGTATGCCGCTATGGCTTCCACTAGGTTATGTACATCAGTATGTAGTATGTACCTACAGTACACATGTAAGTACTTCATACAGTTGTACGGCGGCATGTGTACTTATATCGTAGTTAAATAGTACTTTAAATGCTATATATCCCGTACCTACCCCGCCTATGCCCTATTTTGAAGTTTTAGAGCTCTTGGTAGGTTTGAGCTCTTCTGTTCCCAGTCCCTGAAGCGCCTGAGCGATCAGCTCGTTCCAAGTAACAGATAAGGAGAAAAGCCCCTCCCTCACATCTCTCTTACTCTGACCTCATAACCCAATGGTCCTTAATCTCTACTACGTGATATTGGGTAACATCTGCACGTCATAAAACACAAATGTGTGCCTGATCAAAGAACGTTTAATAAGGAGATCAACGTTGAAAATAATTAAAAAAAGGTGCGCTCATCCCGCGCCGACTCAGATCCCTAGATCAATAAACCAAAAATCAACCTTACACAATACGACACAATATCACAATACACAAATACACAAAGCGCGCAACGCACATACCTAGCAACGCACATACCTAACACATACCTAACACATACCTAACACATACCTCCCGCACGGGAAATATTTACACTTTCTTGTTCCTCGTCGCTCGTCCCCCGTCCCCCTTCCCCCCACGCCGCACACACCCGACAAGCCCCGACGTGCCCCGACGTGTAATGCAGCATTATTATCCGTCATGCTCATGTGAGGTACCTAACATAGATAATACCTGCAGTACACGACAATCCTTAGTTGTGCCTCATCTCGCCTCTCCGTAAATGCCGTCACCGTCAAAGCAGCGGAAGGTTGCCATCGTTGGCAGCCGATCCGTAGGTACGTGTTTTATCCTTCTAGTGTTCTTCGTGGTACCTTTATCTACATACGTCTCCCCTGCCTAGCCCTGTCCCTTGCAAGTTCTTTTTTTTTGTCATGGATTGTGCATACAATACGATGCGTGTTAATATAATATATGACATGTCTCATGGCCACAGAGCTAAGCTAACGCCTCGTAACCCCATCTTGCAGGCAAATCTTCTCTGGCGGTGCAGTTCGTCGACGGCCACTTCGTCGAGAGCTACTATCCCACCATCGAGAATACCTTTAGCAAGGTCATTCGATTTAAGGGTCAGGACTATGCTACTGAAATTGTCGATACCGCCGGCCAAGATGAGTACAGCATCCTGAACTCGAAACACTTCATCGGCATCCATGGCTACATGCTAGTGTACTCGGTCTCCTCGCTACCGTCGTTCGAGATGGTGCAGGTCATCCGCGAGAAGATTCTCAACCACCTTGTTTGTCATCCCCATTAATTAATTCCTATAACTCTTCAATCACGTTCAATGACATAGTAACTAACTAATTGGCAACTCCAGGGCACAGATTGGGTCCCAATTGTCATAGTAGGCAACAAGAGCGACTTGCGCCCCGAGCAACGCCAAGTTAGCCAGGAAGACGGCAAGAAGCTGTCGGAGAAGTTCAACTGCGGATGGACTGAAGCCAGCGCGCGTTACAACGAGAATGTCGGTAAGGCCTTCGAGCTCCTGATCGCCCAGGTGGAAAAGTCACAGAACCCGAACGAGGCAACGAACGAGGGAAAGTGTCAGGTGATGTGAAAAACAACAATTTGAAGGAGGAAACCAAGGACAGGTTTCAAAGGAAATACTACTACGTTGGAATACCAAACGAACAAGGACAGCACAATGGAACGTTTGGAACGTTTGGAAGGCTAGAAGGGGGATCTCTGAGCCGCCGCAGGGTGGTGGAATCTAGGTCTAGGTGCTACTGTGTTTTCGGACAGGTTACTGCTACTTTTTTCTTTCGGCTTTGCATTATGAACCACACAGGTTACTAGTTATGATGTCTTGAAGGACAGAGACGATAATTGCCATGACTTGTATATACTAGTCAGAGCTTCAGGTCTGGTTAAGGAGTTAATCGGAATTGCTTTATTGCTACCTCATAGTATAACAAGCTTGACATTTGCTATTAGCATGTGGCATTAATAATGACATCTTAATTATGCCTAACACAAAAAAAAACATCACCAGAATTGGACCTTGAAGTTTTGGTATAAAGCAAAAGGGCAAAAGGCACCTCAAAAGCTCAAGCGTAATGGGAATGCATAGGATACCTAGGTACCTACATGCAGTTACCAGGTACATGTATTCAAGTACCGAAGAGAGAGAAAAAAAGAAAAAAAAGAGCTGCAGATAAAGAGGTACGTACCTCACCTATCATATCGTGCCCCGCTGCTGCGTCGCGATACCCCCTTCACCCTTCTGCCCCTCTGCCTCGAAAACCACCCCACCAAAATTCAGTCACTCCTTTAAACTGCACGGAAAGGAGTATTTTGACATCAATCTTACTTCAAAGTCGTCTTTAAATCCTCAATCATGCTCGACGTTTTAGATTTCATCACCGAGAGGGGTGGCAACCCTGAGAAGATCCGCGAGTCACAGCGCCGCAGATATGCCAAGGTCGAAGTTGTCGACGAGGTAATCGAGATGTTCGAGGACCATCGCAGAAGTTAGTCGCATACCCTCTCGTACCAAGCAATATTCGCGATTGACATATCGTAAAATTATAGCTCAATATGCCGCGACTCAGATAAACAGCAAGATCAACGAAGTGCAGAAGCAGATCGGTGCTAAGAAAAAGGTCATCATTCCTCTGAGTCATCGAGACGTCTTATATATATTCTCGTGTCTAAGTACTAACTATCAGCGTATATATAGGCCAAGGAAAACGCCGATGAACTACTTCAACAGAAGGCCCAACTCGAAAAGGAGAAGAAGGCATTTATCGACTCGGCAGCCCAGAAAGATATTGCGCTAAAAGCCAAGATCAATACTATTGGCAACATCGTCCACGATTCGGTCCCTATCAGCGATAACGAAGACAACAACGCAATCCAGCGGACATGGGCCCCGCCGGGAGTCACGGTAGAGAAGAAGGACGTACTCTCGCATCACGAAGTTCTCTTACGGCTGGATGGTTACGATCCTGATCGTGGAGTCAAGGTCGTGGGCCACAGAGGTTACTTCTTAAGGCAATGGGGTGTATTCCTCAACCAGGCTCTGATCAACTATGGTCTAGAATACCTTAGCAGCAAGGGTTTCACTCCCCTACAGACACCCCAATTTATGCTCAAGGACTACATGGCGAAGACAGCTCAGCTAGAGCAGTTTGACGAGGAATTATACAAGGTAGTCGACGGCGAAGCGCAAAACGACAAATACCTCATCGCGACCTCGGAACAGCCCATATCCGCCTTCCACGCCGACGAATGGATGATAGCAAAGGAGCTACCTATCAAGTACGCGGGCTTTAGCACGTGTTATAGAAGAGAGGCCGGTTCCCACGGTCGTGACGCTTGGGGTATCTTCCGTGTCCACCAGTTCGAGAAGGTGGAGCAATTCGTGCTTACGGACCCCGAGAAGTCGTGGGAGATGTTCGAAGAAATGTTCACAACCTCTGAGGAATTCTACAAGTCGCTTGGATTACCGTACCAAGTCGTAGCTATCGTCTCGGGGGCGCTGAACAATGCAGCTGCCAAGAAGTTCGATCTGGAAGCCTGGTTCCCCTTCCAGGGAGAATACAAGGAGCTTGTGTCGTGCTCAAACTGCACTGACTACCAGTCGCGTGCCCTAGAAATACGGTTTGGTACCAAGACGCAGACGGACGCTAAGAAGAAATACGTCCACTGCCTCAACTCGACGCTTTGTGCCACCGAGAGAGCGCTATGCTGTATTCTTGAGAACTACCAGACCGAGGATGTAAGTGTATAGTTAATTCCTAAATACATACCGAGGCTAACTTGTTTCAGGGTCTCCGAGTTCCCGAGCCGCTGCGCAAGTACATTCCGGGCGCTCCCGACTTCATCCCTTTCACCAAGGAACTGCCCAAGGATACAACTTCGGCAAAAGCTAAGGCCAAGGGAGAGAAGGGCGCCAAGCAAAAGGTGGCTGCTGCGGGAGCCGCAGTCGCGGAAGCTGGTGAGAAGCTGAAGGATTTGGCGGTATAATTAAACGAATATTGACGACAGGTTCGGATGCCGAGGAATGCGTACTATCTCGTTAGAGGTGATGCAGTTGAAGTGCAATAAGGAAGATATTTAAGTGCAACCCATGCGTTTAGCTAGCGTAGCAGCACCGATACCTTTATACGATAACAGAATAGAGACGAATTGCTCATGATAGCCTTAATATTTTAAGACATGGGTTTGTGAGGCGTACCGTGACAAACTATGGTAACTAAAAGCAGCTCAAGAGTTTAAACTAAATGTGATGCTAATGCTTAGGAATGAGATGAATAGGAGGGGTGGTAAAATGATAATGGCAAAAGAGCATCGATGTTTTTGCTTCCATGACAGGGAATTTCGGTTCTGTCGGCTCACTATTGGGCCCCTGTAGCAACTCGAACATTAGGACAACTCTTTATAAATGGATCTATAAACGTGCATGTAACTTTTGAATATATACCTATTGTGCTTCTCTTAATCATTGTATAATTATTGTATTCTCTTTGTTATATCTGCATTAGATACTGCAATAGACAATGGTATTAGTTCTATGTACTTCTCCCGCTAGCTAGGTACCTCCTTAGGTACCTAATGCAATCAACCATAAGCCTTTACATTCCGAACCTTCCAAAGACGTCCTCAGGGAACACGAGGCATCAGCCGCACACGGCTTCCCTGCTTCCCTGCACCCTGAAGATATGCCCACTTATTCGTTCTTTGAGAAGGAACTATTCCCCCCCTTAAATAATACGAACGAATATGTATGAACCCGATTATGGGCAACAATTCAACCACTCACTAAGTGCGAAACTGACCTACTTCACTCATTATTATTTTTTTCTATCCTTCCGCAAATAAAAAATAGCACTGGTATTAAATGCATAGGTAGTTGAAGCAAACGACCAATCAACCCCCGTGGTCAGGATCCTACCTAACGCATTTACCTAACGTATTACAAGACGCAGGCGCTTACGTCTTTATTCAGCCCGGCGAGAAAGGAGCGAACATTGCATTACGTTCTAGCTTTGTTCTAGCAGCTAGCGAGTTAATAATTAGAAGCGGAAAGAGTAAGAGCATCATTATCTTCACTGCAGCTAGCTTATTATAGTTGTTATGTCGGGTGTATTCAACTGCCCCTTTTGCGGATACAAGGATTCCGTCGAATACAGCATCCTACTTGTAAGTCCCGTAACCCCCCACTCCCCCGTCGTCCTCTCATGCCGAGACGACTACGACGACGACTTCGTTCTTTTCTCCGGGTGCTCATGCGCTTCTCGCAGCACCTGGAGGTCCATCATAGCGAGGGCAAATCCCCGTTCGTGCCGGATGAAGCGCATAATGCAGCTAGGCCGGAGGTAGAAGCTACCGTCGCTAAGGAGGAGCTTACCGAGTATTTCCAATGCCCGGTCAAGAGCTGCGGTGAGATCATGCACCTGGATCGGTTAGACGACCACCTCGAATTGCATAACGCGGAGCAGGTCGGGAATGTGGCTGAAGGATCGAATGCTGGCGAGCTAAGGAGCGCGTCGCCGGAGAGCGGCTCTCAATCTTCTCCTGCGCGAACCCCGGGACCTAGCCGAGCCAAGCCCGATGTACCGGTCGGCCCTGCTCCGAGCGCTCCACCGCTCAACACGACCGGGGACTACCACATAAAATCATCTAAACCCGTTAGGAGACTTGGAGTAAGCTTTCTTCATTTCATAATCTAATCCATCATTTCTTATTCATACCCTCAGATATATTCAACATATAGGGAAATATCAAGTGAGTTGACATGACGTCTAGAAAAAAGAACTCGGCGCGTACTACAACGAGGAGAGAATGCCGCGCTGGCTCGAGGATTTGCTGAGGAAACGCGGGTATAAGAGCTCACAAGGTTGGTTCATCACCAGCTTGTCGAAGCTCGTAAGAGCATGCGTCTGGCGCATATCAACTCACGAATACTCCTAGGCGTAATACCCGTCCTCGCACAGCTCCTGCATCAGAACAAGTACACGCAATACGCGTATCTCTGTCACCCGGAAACGCAACACATCTCCAAGCTTAGAAACGAGGGTATGTATGGCTCACATCTCTACATCTACATATCTCCCTATGTAGGGTAATGGCAATCTAACGACGATTGTTTGATAGGCAGCTTCTGCGGTTACAGGAATATCCAGATGCTGATATCGTATATCGTTGGTACGGGCACGACGGGTGCTGCGGCTTTCGAGAACACTATCCCGAGTATCTTCCAGATCCAGGATCTCATCGAGAACGCCTGGGATCAGGGTATTCACGAAGATGGCCGGACAGAACTCGGTGTCCTTAGGGGCACGCGCAAGTATATCGGAACACCAGAGGTGAGTTCAACTGCCATTTTCTTACTACCTGTTCGGCTTCAAGGACAATTGATGGAAAATTATTCATTCGCCGTGGATTAATATGCAGAAGCCGTTCTAGCTAACTATTACACCTCCCAATAGGCCCAGACGCTGTTCGCAAGTTTAGGTATACAGTAAGTTCTATTGGCTCTTATTATATTCGACGAAGCCATACGCGTATAATGCTCTCTTCTCGTACTTAAATACTAACGTGTCGCTCTTACCTTTCTTCTAGATGGGACATGCAAACGTTCAAGAACCGTCCGGGAGAACCGCCTACTGCTTCGGAGAACAGGATGTACGACGCCGTGGAAGAGTATTTCGCGACGGCGCCAAGCGTCAATATGCAGAGTAAGGTCCGCAACACGATGCGACCACCGATTTATTTACAGCATCAGGGTAAGCCTCTCATAGTCTTTTCCTTTCTCTCACTTATAAACACCATATCAAGATTAAGGAATGGGAAGATTAACACACATAAACTTCCCAATCATTTTTTTTAACTCAGCTTGCTAACACATATACAATTCAAAGGCCACTCTATGACCATCATCGGCATAGAGCGTCAGCCCAGCGGCAACCGGAACCTGATCGTCTTCGACCCGTCCTATGGGGACCCGTCCAACATCACGCGACACATCGACGGCACAAGGCCCGTCGAGTACAACCATCACCCGGACCGCGCGCTCAAGCTCTACCGCCGCGGCCCGAGGTACCTAAGCAAGTATCAAGCTTTTGAGCTCATGAGGTACGTACATACCCGTAGCTAGATTTTCCTATCTCTGTTAACCCTACGCCATGCGCGTGGCGCTTTTCATATTACGAGTCCTGAGTCCTAGGCTGACGCTTACGTATACTTCCGGCGTCTAGGCTAAAAGAATAATCAATCATCTTCCAACTTGAATTTTTTTTCTTCTTCGGTCGCGTGACCAAATCAACTACCTAATCCCGGCACAGCAGACATTTTACACAGTCGGATATCTTCGGCGTCTAAGGAGGCGGGTTATAACGGAGTTGAGATATTAAGCATACCGTATTGTATCCAAGTAACGAGTTAGCGTTCTAATATGTAGAATCGAGGCGGCTAGTGAAGCTTTAGAAATATAAAATGCTTTATTTATCTATTCATCCTTTGGTAGCCGTGATACCGTATAGGGGTTTCTCGCACGTGAGTATGTCTATGTGGTAGGTATGTATAATATGAATATTTAAGTCAATTGTGCGCGTCTAAGCGCCGCCTTACGCCTTCATACCGCCACCCTCGATCCACGCGCGCAGCTTCTCGAGCGCCTTGAAGCGGTGCGAGATCTTGTTCTTGGCGGCCTTGTCCATCTCGGCGTAGCTGTGGTCGTTAGTTTACTTTTTTCTCTTCTATTTTCTTTCTTACACCGTGTAATGCCGGTTGTAGATGGGAACGGGGCAGTGTTAAGGAGAGAAGGAAAAGGGGGAAGGGGCAAAACTTACGTCTGTCCGTCATATTCGAAGATCGGATCCCAGCCTAGGGGAGAGAGGTAGTTAGTTATTTGCTATACTCGCCTTGGTGTAAGTTAAACCGAGGGAATGAGGGGGACGTGTCATACCGAACGTCGTAGGGCCCCTCGGAGGCACGATCTTGCCCTGCGTGCGCCCCTGGAACAGGAGGACTTCCTCGCCGGGCCCCTGGCAGAAACCAAAGGTGGCGACGGCCTGGGCGGACTTGTCCTCGTAGGCTGCGAGGAGGTTGTTGAGGCCGGCGTGGCCGATGGATTGCATGAACCATTTTCTGCGCGGGCTGTTAGTCGGGTATCTTTATATATATATATATTTGTACAGAGGTAGATACACACATCTACCCCCGAAAAAAAAAAAGCGAAAAAACAGAATGGAATGAAATAAAATAAAATAAAATAAAGTAGAGTAGAGTAAGAGAGAGTACATACATATACGGCCCCGGCAGCCCGTTCAGCGCGTCGAAGCACAGGCACGTGTCCTCGACGAGGACGGGGCCCCCGACGGCGGCGGCGGCGGCGCGGCACTTCTCGCGCGTCACGTCCTCGAGGGAGCCCTGGATCTCGGGCAGGTCGAGGGGTTGGTTGCGCACGGCGATGCCGGCTGGTTCGAGGATGGCGCGGACCTCGGAGAGTTTGTTGGCGTTGCCGGTTATGAAGTTGAGGACGGGGGCGGACATGGTGGGTGTGTGTGTGTGTGTGTGTGTGTGTATGAGGATGAGGATGAGGATGAGTGGGTGGGTGGGTGAGTTTGTGTTGTTGTTGGTGGTGGATTGATGTAAGTGTTAGAATAAAAAATAAAAAACCTACAAAATATCTGATTTAGAACGACAAAAGTTAAATCAATAATTCGGTAGATACCCCCCTTTCTAGAAACTGATCTATCTCTTCGATCGGAAAGTCTGTCTTTTTTATATCCTTGAGGAAAAAAAAATATAAAGGTCCGGTGTGACGCACCGGCAACATGCAGACTAATGCAGTAATGCAGATAGTTTGTACGTGTTACTTAGCTGAGGCTAAAAAGTTTTGTCGTTTGCGGCTTTTTGGTGCCGTCTTATTGGCGGAGAGACTTGGCTGGCTATAGACCAACCAACCTTGGGATCAGCCCAACGAGGCGAAGTGCTGGATGCATAGGATTACTGTGGTTTTTACACATGTTGGTTGTTGGTGAGAAATAATATAGGAGGCTGATTTGCACTTTATTTTTTGAGAATATTATACTAAATATCACATCACGAGCCAAGGAGGAATCACGGGTATCTCATCACATTCACTAATTCAACACATCCCCTACTGCCCCCCATCCGCAGCATGATCCTGCTTCCACTGCCTAATCCACGCCTCGATGCGATCGACATTACTCTCCATCTCGTCGGTCGAGTTACTCGTCAGCTCGACGATGATCTGCTCGTCGTAGCTGTCCCGCGCCTCCTGCAGTAGCACCTCCATGATCTCCGAGTCTATGTTTTCTTGTAGTTTTGCTTCGGGGTATTTCCTGCGTCTATTAGCATGGGGAGAAAGGGACGAGGAGAGTAACAACAGCAGAAGGAGAGGCGAACCTTGAGGATAACCGGTCGTATAACGTGCTCGAGTCCACCCGCAGCACCACCACCAGGTCGATCCAGCTCTCGGGGAAGATCTCGCAGCCGTGCCAGTCTATAATGCAACCACCAGCCTTGATATTATCTTCTTCTAGCGCATCGAGTAACTGCCATCTTAATTAGCTCTCATTCCTGCTCTTAGATCCATCCACCTTCATCTTCACACCCGCTCCCCCTAAGTAGAATAAAAGAAAACAGGCAAGAAACTGCATAAACTCACCTTATCCTCATCAACAATCCAGCTCTTAAACTCGTCATCCCAACCCTCATGGCACTCCCTATCCTTAACCACCTGGTTCACCGAGACGTGCCGCAGCCCCGTCCGCTCCGCCAGCACCTCCGCGTGCGTCGTCTTGCCGACGCCTGGCGTGCCCGTGATGATGATGTTTGGATCGGTGCGCATTTTTGCTTTTCCTTTTGCTTTCCCTTTTTCTTTCCCCTTCTCTCTGTGTATTTCTCTGGGGAGAAGCTTTCTCTTCTTTCAAAAAGCCGGTCTGGCTTGAATTACTCTCTTCAACTTTGGTACCAGAGTGATTCCAGTGAGAGAGTATCAGTCAGGGGCGAACTCAACAGAAGAATGCTCAGAAATGAAAATCGACGATTGAAATTATCAATTGCTTAAAACAGCCGTATGTTGATCGAATAGTGCTTTTAAAATCCGATAATTTACTTCCGAATTAATTGCAGCTACAAGCTAGAGGTTTAGTTTTCGTTTTTTGGTTTTTGTTCTATTACGTACCTCTGCCCTTATAGCGAAAACCTTCACTTAGCAGATTTTTATTTTAACCTGGGTCACGTGCATGTACCCGTCGAATCAGGTCGCTTTATTATATACTACTGTTAGACGCAAACATTCATTTATCCATCCCTCTAACACCAACACCAACACCAACACCAACACCATCTTTATGCATTAAGAACGAAGAAACAAAGATATTAAAACTCGAAAACAATTATAGAATTGGAATTGGAGATTAGTAGAGTAGTTTAGGTAGTTCATGGACATTATCTCGTAATTCAAATACGTAGTAAATACGTAGTAGTAGGCTTTGCGTACGCGGAGAGAGAAGAACGCTACCTCGCAGAGTTAAATAATAAAAAACGCATCATCTCTTCTTCGTTTCGTCAGCATGTACAAACCCATACACCTTAGCTAGATGCTACAGTATCACACGTCTCATTTCGTCTCTTCTCTCTTTTTGGTATACACTCTCCTCTCTCCTCTCCTGGCCCGCCACGGGAACTGGGACGTCTAAAATCATCATAAATATAAAAAAAGGCATCAGCTCGCATGCATGCATCGTTAAAACGCCCCCGGTCCGTGGTTCGTGCGAGCCTTTCTAGTTCAATCATGCCTCGATATCCATTAAAATATCCACTTTGGCTCGTCCCAACCGCCACATCTCCCCGTGCGGTCGTCTACGGGACTCGAAGCTGCCTGCTGTCTCAGCCTTTATATGAACCGTCTATGCTGACATGTTCGTCCCGTGCCCCTATCCGCATCCGCCCGGACCTCGCCATATTCTTACTGTTATGGGAAGACGTGGCATCTTAGATCCGGCCGGTCGCAAGTTGCCGGTATTACGGTTCTACGCACTGCCGGTTTCAACTTCGTCGACCTCGGCTAGTTCGCCATCGCCGTCGTCGTACTCGTCCGCTTCCATCTTCTCCTGTTGCGCGATGGCCTGGGCAGATACTATCTCCGCCAACCTCTTTAGTCGAGGAGTTTGTAACCCTGTAAAGAATCTGAGTTAGCCGTCGTCCATCTTGGGTATAAGCACGATAAACTTACATGATGGGGTGTATGTCTCCAGAGCGGTAATAGCGCGGGGTTCTGCGATCTCATACGGTCCACTGTCATCCATATCTACCGCCGTCAACAAGAGAACGTCGCTCTTCTCCGTTACCCTCGATGCTACAGCCTTCATGATTTCTCCGTTGATGGGTTGCTCGTAATCCGCCACTAGATATTGGTTTAGAAGCTTCTGGATTTGGTTGGGAGAGAGCCTGTGAATATGAGTCAGCTACAATAAGTTCTTCGAATCTCAGTCTGTTCTATACTCACATCCAGCAGATATCTTGGATGATCTCAATATCATTCAAGGTCGCCTTCTTGAGCTGTAAGAGTTTCGTTGCTTGCTAAATTGACTGTTAGCCGTAGCCTACAAGTACTCGTTTTCGGTCAACTTACCATAAGATGCTCAAGTTGCAGAGTGCCTTCGGGCATGTCGTGACTCTTGCACCACTCTTCAATCCGAGTAATATTGTAGTTGATTTGCAGGCCACGCTTCCACGAGAGGAAATTCCTGCGCATGAGTAGGTCGTTGAACGCGGTAACGCCCACCAACTTGAGGAGCTCCGTGACGGTTTGTGTAATGATAGTGTCTTCCAAGTAGTAAGCCTTCATCGCCCTGAAGACGTTGTTTAGCAGACTTAAGAGGTTGTCCATGCTGTAAGCAGGCTGCGAGTTGGTCGCCAACAACTTGCCGAGGAATCGGTTGCTTTCGTTCGTAACGAAGCCCGGTAGGGATTGAGACTCAATAATAGCAGGGATGATCATCTTCTGCAGCTTCTTCTTGAGAATCTTCATCCACGTATGATAGATGTTGAATTCCAAACTCTCAAGATCGTGCTTGACAATTTCCAGCAGACGGTCGTACTCATAGTTGTCCGTCTTTTGGGCCTCGTACCAATCCTCGGCAAGGAATACAAATGATAACATCTCGTGCACGTTAGACAACCAGAAGGCACCTGGGTTGATCGCGTCATCCCCATCGTAATGCATAACTTCTTGCTGGATCGACTGCATAACGTTTGCCAAGAATCTCTCCGACTCCTTGACGAAACCATTGTTCCACATCTCGGACGTGACGAGGTTGATGAGGTAAGAGGGAAAGAGAACTTCCTTGTCCGAAGGAGGCGGGTTCGTGTTTGGCGATGGGATCTTTAAGTTCTTGATCAGACCCAATGTCACCTCCTCGTTCAAGCCATCTTCATCGGCAAGCAAGTTCTCCAATTCCATCTCGATAGTGTCCGCGCCCGGGACGTAACCAGCGCCGGGCCTGGCGTTGGTAACTGCCATAGAGACTGGGCGAGGGTTGTACGCCGCACTGAAGCGGTCCATTCCGCTGGGTTCCGCGCCGGCGCTCCTGCGCTTGGGCTTCTTGGACGACACCAAGTTGATGAGGCCGTTGGGAGGAGCGGTAACACCGTTGCCGTTGGTAAGCTCTCCGTTGAGAGGAGCCGACCGCTTGGCCAACTCGAGCTCTTCGGCCATCTGGGCTAGTTGATCCCGCAGGGTCATCTTCTCGTTCTCGTGAAGCGTGCTCTCCCGCTTGATGCGTTCCAACTCGGCATTCGCGGTTCGTAGAGACTCCTTGAGCTCCCGCTCCTCCTCTTGCATCCGCTTGACGCTTGAAGTTGACTCGTCGAAGTTGTGCTGTAGCTTCTTCATCTCCTCCTCCATGGCCTGCAGCTTGGCTACGGCGATACCAGCCTGGTTGGCCTCTGCTTGAAGCTCCTTCGACCTGGTCTCGAGGGCATTGTGACGGGTCTTCCACGACTTGATTTGGTTTTCGTAGTTTTCCACCTGACTCTGAAGATTCTTGTTCTGAGTCTTCATAGTACCCAGGGACTGCGTGAGTTCGACGACCTTGTTTTCCAACTTGTACGAAATCTGCTTCAGGTCGCGAGCCTCCTCGCGTATCGTCTTGTATTCTTTCCTGGCTTGCCTTCCGCGCCACACGCTCTGTATTAATATCACCTTCTTGCGGTAATTTCTCCACGTCTTGACTTGTCGCCTCGACCGCCACACTCGCTGGATGAGAAGAACAGCATTGCCCACGCGAGTTTCCATGATCTCTCTCCTTCGCAAGTAACCCTTGGCAATAGCCTGTACGAGTATGACACTGTTGCGGATTCGCAAGAATTCCCTGCGCTGCTTTTGCCCCTTCCACACCCTCTGTATTGTTGTTGCAGCCTTGACCGTGCGTAATTCCCGAGCTGCTTTCCGGGTCGTGTAGGCTCTGACGAGCGACTGGAAAGTGATGATAGCACTTCGTGCTTCGAGATACTTACGGCGGTAGTATTTGGCCTTGAGATTCTTTTGGATCAAGGTAGCAGCCTCGGTCATGCGGCTCTGGCGAAGGTTTTCCAGGTGCGCAAGCATACCCGCACGGAAGAAGATCTTAGTCAAACCTAGCTGGTAGCTATCGGTTCCAGTGCCTGTTCCCGAACCGAGTGCCTGGGCCAGGATCTCTTTAACTAGCTGCCGAATCTCAGTCTGCCACCGGCTTGACGGTATCAGTAAGTAGTACCGTAGGGCAAACTCCTCGTAAGTCCAGCGTCCGGGGTAACCAGCGCAACTAATACGGATAGTCTCGAGCACACCACAAGCCCTCAGTTGACTGAGCACCATGGGTCCTTCAAACTTCCACGCAACCTTGGCCTCGTTCGGCTTGATACAACGGATGTAGTGGACATTGGTGTTTCCAATTGTGTTCATTAATTCGATAAGCGAAGAACGGAAAATACCACCAAGGGTAGGCTTGCGGTTGACAGCAACTCCTATCTTCCTACCCGCAGCGGGCTTCGCAACGGCGGAGCCCGAGGCAGCGACGTCCTTTTCGCGGACGGCCAATGCTGCCGCGAGCACGCTACTGAGGAACTTATTCGTCGTCGCGCGAAGAATCTCCATATGCTCGTCAGGCACTGTATCCCTATTCTTATCGATGAAACCCTCCGACTCGTACGTGACATCGACAGCATAATGGCAGACGGTGAAGGAAGATTTCCCAAATCGAGGCTTCTTGTAGAACTTATTCTTATTACTAGAAAAGTTGTGATGGAGCTTCGTAACGAATTGCTCATCAGCGCCCATAGGTAGCCTAGACTCTTCGTCGAGAAGAGATAGGATACCTAGTTTACCTTCGATCAAATCGATACACGGCTGGTTGTCAGAGAACTCGATAAATTTCCAGTCGATCTGTTCTCGCACGTATTCTTCTTGTTCTAATCTGAATACGTGCGAGTTAAACTGCTGCTGCAACTTCTCGTTGGCATAGTTGATACAGAACTGCTCGAACGAGTTCTTAGCAAAGTGCTCGAAACCGTAAATATCAAGTACGCCGATAAAGGAGGAAAGACGGCTCAAGACTTCCTCGGTAGCAAGACTCCTGTTGATGATCTCCACCAACCAATCGAAAAGACTCGAATAGATGTACTTGGCTACCGAGTCTCGCACGACTAGAGCTTGCTGTTGTGTCAAGTTCGAGACGATCTTCTCGCCGCGAGTGACAAGCTGCTTCTTCACAATCCACTTGGCGAAGTTTGTGGCGTCGATTCCAAGAATGGAACAAGCTTTCTCTAGAGCAGGTTCCGTAGGGGCCAGTACACTATCATTCCTGGAAGCACCGATCTTAACGTTACCCAGGTGTAGCAGACCGGCGAGGAGGTTGAAGATACCGGCCTGCTGAGCTTCATCGACACCGATTGTCTTCAACGAACTCTTAGTGGCAGCAAATTCGGCCTTATCGTCCATCCCGTCGATCGTAGGAGAGTTTCCCTGGTTAAGGTAATCAAACTGCTCGACCGGTAGTAGGCTAAGTTCCTGCCGTTCTTTATCCGTCGCTCCGGCCAGTAATTGATAGAAAATGTGGTAATTTCTTTCCTTCAGGGGCTGGAATACCAATCTCGACCGTTCGAGGAGGTATGTTCGGATCCTAGCACCAATAATGTTCGTCTTGTTGTCGAACATGATCTCTATATACTTTCCAAATCTTGACGAGTTGTCGTTTCGGGTTGTCTTAGCGTTTCCAAATGCTTCCATGATAGGGTTAGTCGCTAGAATTTGCTCCTCCGTCTCGCTCATGCCTTCGGAGCCCTTCTTGACTCGACCTCCTGGGTTATCTGGGGATTCTCTCGTGGCAAAGTATCGCATAATGTATTTGGCACTGACGGTTTTACCAGCACCTGACTCTCCTGAAACCACGACGGTTTGATTCCTGACGTCTTTGATCATTTTTCTACATCTAGGGTTAGCTACATATGGAATATAATGTTCAGGTGCATGTATGCTCACATGAAGGCTTCTTCGGCGATGGCAAACAGATGGGGGGCTTGCAACTCCCTCTGCTTGCCAGCGTAAACCTGGACCATACCCGGGACATAGAGAGAGTCGACGCGAGCAAACGGATTTGTAGCTATCAGCACTATACCGCTGTACGTGTATATTTCTTTTTGCGCATATCGTAGGCGGATGGCCTGGAGCACTACACAGACAGGATGGTCAATATCTGGGTCCAACATTGGACTAGGAGATGTTGGCGGGGTCATGCATACCGGCCGGCTCGTTAAGATAGGATAGATTTGTTAAATCATCGCTGGCTTCGAGCATCGCAGGGTTCATCAGCGGTGGTAAGGACGGATCGTTGGCATTTTGCAAAGCCTCGGCCGAGAGCTCTATCGTCTTGGTCTAGAAAGCGGATTAGCGGTCAGGGTTATGCTTTGAAAGCCGTCCGACGCCATGCCAACTGCAAACTTCGCATACCTCTTCATTCTCGAGCTTGAAGACCAAGGTCACCTTGTCGCCATCGACGGTCTTCTTGACAACCTCGGATGCCACCCAGCCCTCGGTGGCATCTGGCTGCCAAGCTCTCGTACCAACATCGTAGCTATGCGACATGAGAGGCTATTGATATAATTCGGGTGGGAGAATATAGCAGAAATCAAGATCGGTCGCGTCGCGAAAGGCGGAAGGATATTAGGCCACTTATTAGGGGGAAGCGGTAAGTAGCACGAGGCATTCGTATCGGTCGCTCGAGTTTCGCTGGTTGGACAGGAAGGACAAGCGAGGAAATATGTACTGAACGAAGGAAGCCTATAAAAGCCCACTAGAGAACGGTGTACAGAACGGAGAAAATAGGGCCTGGAAACTGGAAAGGATCTAAATGGCAGGCCCTTCAAGTAGATTATGACGGTGATGCTCACAACTACTATGTAAAGAAGGAGAAAAATAAAATAAGGTGAAGGCGAGGTTTTGTCGACGGCGTTGTGTGATGTTGTACCGCTGTATGTACAATGCAATACCTGCAATAATCTGTAATACCGGTACCTAATGTATGTATTGTCACTTTTATCACTTGATCATGGATGCTGGATGCTGGATGCTGCCCTTCAATGATTGAAATTTAGGGGAGGTAGGGGATAAAGGAGAGCGCGTTACCTATATCGGCCTAGTTCGAGGTCAGTAACAGGGGTTTGTTTTTCGAGAAAAGGGTCTTCCAGCCATTTTTAATTCTTTCAGTTCTTGACGGACCGGGCTTACCTTGTTCGGGGGTTGAAACCGGTGCGGCTAGTAGTACAGCTGGTACAGTTGGTACAGTTTACCTACTAACACAGTTCTAATACGTATTTAGGTATTTGCCAACGTATCTTTTACCTATTAAAAATGTTGCTAAGGCGGTGGCTAAGGCGGTGCGTCTTACATACCTACCTACTGTAGTACAACTGGAAGTCATCCACTTTTCTTCAAGTGGGTGTAATAGTACATTCAATGTTGTTACCTCCGCTTCTTCGCCATTCACTCTTCTCCCTTTTTCGTGCAGAAAGGTTGCGTGCAACTTTAGCGTTTGACAAAGCGCCAATTCTGCAGGTCTATTTTCGTTAATACACTGTTTCCAGTCAATCAAATTAAAGAGATGACAGTATGCACCTGTAGGCTGTAGGTTTGTATGTCGAAAACGATGTACCTGCATACATCAGAATACATTATCGGAAGTGGGATATTTTATATTTTACAATATCTCACTTTATAGTTACATTTATGGTTACAATTCGGATGCTACCTACATCAATGTCTAGATTTCATCCATCTCTCCTAATGAATATACCCAAGCCATATAGAAATATCAATCAAAGATGAAATAAAACACACATGTAGGATCTAAAAGGTGCGAGCGTACCAGGTGCTCCATATTCCCTCCTCCTAGCCTCCACGCCATATCTGCCTCCTTTCCAGGATCCTTGACCGTCTAATGAATTAGCGAGAAGGTAAAAAAAAAAAAGACTCAAGGTTTCTCCCGCCGATGTCAAGCCGGTCCCTACCATTAGGTACTTACTTGTCTGTAACTAGATCATATATATGTACATCATTTTCTACATATTAGGTCAGCTTGTCAAAGACCAGAAAGACCAGGTAAAATATTAAACATTACTAAAAACTAAACGTATGCTTCTCTCCCCGTTGACATTATAGGAGGCGGATATCAAATCCATTTATTCTGGATACAAAATCTGTGTTTGCAGGGGGTAGCAGCCCGAACCTGGTGGTGCATAGAAACCCGACACTCACAACCAACCCTCATCCCCAGATCTCCAAATGTGCTGACATAACACGATACATACGTGGTAACGTACGGGTGTCTATACGCTTGGCCATCTCCAACGAAATGGTTGTTTCATCTTTCTGCAATCCGGAGCCTTTCCTTCTTACGCGGGTCAAGCACAAGCCACAAGTTGGCAAGTCCATCTAAGGGGAAACTACTCACAGTTCAAGCCATTAACTAACTTATTAGTTAAATACTTCGAGTAGAAGCATCGATAGCACTGTATATCTTTCCCCCCTCTGGTTCTTCCCGCATCTCACCGGTGATATCCGTGGATACTAACCAGCTTCGTGCGGCTCTTCGTAATAGGAGATATAAGACACTTAGCGGAACGTCCGGAGCGTCGAGTTATAATAAAACCATGCTTTATAAGTAGCCGCCCAGATAAGTTTATGCTATAATAAATGATACACCTATGCCTTGGGCTTTTCTGTTGAACCTCATGCCCCTTTTCCCAACCGTACTGATGCAATTTTCTTGGGTATCCGTCTTGTCGTAAGTTGAATTTTACATACCCGTCATGCAATAATTATTTGTTTAGCTCAACACCTTCTCATCACTAGAATTCTCCGAATCCGTCTGCTACCCGCCACAAACTGTTACCTTTCCTAATACAGCACGCGGGTCATAACACGGGCTTGCAGACTAGGTTAGCTGTGTACATATGGAAGATGGAAGATATAGATTAGTACTTACAGCTTAATGCTTCGAGCGAATCTTGAATCTCCTTTAGATCGCTCGTCTGGACGTCACTAACGTCCGCCATAAGATAGGCAAGCTGCGTACGTTAGCCTGAAGCGCAATGAATAGATATATATGAAGGAGTGTAAGGACGTACGTCTCCTTTGCTGTCGCTAATCTGCTTATCGACATTGTGGTTGCCGAGAATTTCGTTCACTGCTTAGGTGTAAGTATCCAGATATGACCACGTGTACTGTTACTTTACTAACCCTTACGAAGGACACCAGGCACGTTCTTGTGGATGTAGATGATCTGCAGCGAATTAGAGGTTGCCATAAAAGTGTACGCGGCTAAAGACTTCTTACTCGTGCGTGGTTGGGCTCCTCCAACGTTAACGAACGCATGTTGACCTCGGGCATGTTTACGCTGCCCAAGGTAAGGCCCAGGTTGATATATCGAACTAAAGCATCGCCGACTATGTAGTATTCGCGTTAGCATGGAAATCTCAAGCTATTATAATGAGATATTTATTACCTTCTACGCCGATTGCTCTTTGGGCTTCTTCGGTACTACCACCAATGTGAGGGGTGAGGATGATGTTGTTCAGGCTACGAAGGTCCTCTTCCCAGCCATTCAGGTTGTTAATGAAATAGTCGCCGTTTGCGCGCGGCTCGCTCGGGTAAACATCTAATGCGGCTCCTGCGATCTTGCCGCTGCGCATGGCGTTGATTAGGGCGGGGATGTCAACCACAGTTCCACGGCTAGCATTGATGAGGTACGCGCCGTCTTTCATATGTTTGAGTTGCGCTGCGGAGATCATGTTCTTGGTTTCGGGCAGCTCCGGGACGTGCAGAGTTATAAAGTCGGCCTCTCTCAGGAGGTCTTCTAGTTTGGGTACCTGTCGAGCCGTGCCCAGTGCCATCAAGTTCACGACATCGTAATAAATAACCGACATCCCCATGGCTTCCGCAAGGACGGACAACTGCGAGCCAATATGTCCATATCCGATGATTCCTTTAATGTAGTCGAGATTAGCTCTTAGTGTAGGGGCATTGGTGTATAGATGAGTCTAAGTGGTGTAACACATACCAAGAGTCTTGCCACGGATCTCCCAGCACTTGTTGCTCACTTTGTTCCAGGTGCCCTTGTGCATCTCATTGGACCTATCGCCCAATTGGCGGGCTAGAGATATGATCTCGGCAATGACGAGCTCGGCCACACTACGAGAGTTTGCAAATGGCGAATTGAAGACGGCAATGCCATGATGAGCAGCATACTCCAAGTCCACCTGGTTCGTACCGATGCAGAAACAGCCAATCACTAAGAGGTTCTTGGCCTCGCGAAGGACTTTCTCGCTTAACTTGGTTTTTGAGCGAATGCCAACGACATGAACATCCCTGGCAATTTCTATTAGAGCCCTGCTATTTACTACTTTTCTTATACAATTTGAAGTAATAAAACTCACCGGATCTTCTCTATGAGCTGATCTTCAGGCAGTGAGCTCTTGTGGAATTCGACTTGGTAACCCTGACCAGTCAAAATATCTCTGCCGCTCTGATTGACATTCTCAAGCAAGAGGATTTTAATATCTTGAGTATTAAAGGGCTTAAGTTGCTTCGGCTGAGCTCGCTGGGGAAATGCCCCGCCAAAGCTGGATAGCGGGGAGTGAAATGTGGCAGCTGATGGTGAGACCGACAGTTCGGACTCGGGAGCCCTGAAGATGTTCTGTGCTTGTGACATGGTTTCGCAATTGTATTATTTGAGAATATGGAATGTAAACGTAGGAAATAACGAAGAATGGCTAGTTATGTAAATATAACCAGAAGCAGGTACGATTTGACTCAGAGTCAGGAAAAGTTTTGAAAATGGCTATTGTTAATTTGTTAAAAGTTAGAGCGTCGAGGAAGGTATGTACCACAATTTATGGCTTAGCGCATACGTAGTTTGCAAGCTGTAATACTAACATCCATGCGCCCCGGGCATCAGCCTATCGCTTCACGTAATAAGCCACGAGACCCAACTTTTTTTTTTCATCGACTGTCATAAAGGAATAGAAAATAAGATGGTGTTAAAATCTAACTCCCGTAATTTAGATCCCGTCATCGGACGTCATTATAAAAACCGTGAGTCACGGGTACGTTGTAGTATAGAGAACCTAGCTGCTATAGTCTTCTTCATGTCTTCTTTAAACAAAGTGGTTGAACCATGATACAAGTTAAATCTGCTTCTAAAAACTGCTAGTTTTGAATGCCTTTTTTATCGGCCATCAATGACCTCGGGAACGGTTCAATATATCAATGGGACTTGTCGTTAAACTTGGAAAATTAACTAGTTGTAAGGATATGTACCTAGGTAGGTAAGCACTCGGGAAATATTAAAAAGGGGGGCGTTTATTTCACAAATTTGTGCGGGCAGCACGTGGAGCAACGATACAATACGCAAGGGGAGAGCAAATCAACTCCACGTGCAACATCCGATGTACATATATGCAAGACGCGAACTTCCGTCAACTTTCATATGATTCTTTGGTTGAATGCACTATCGACGAGCCAAGCAACTTGACCTTTTCCTCCCCTCGTGTCAGCCTGAAGTATGCCTATTTAGGTCCACCTCCAATGCCTCTGTTCGTAAAATGCGACCACCTTTCCGGCCAACCGACTACTCCAGACCAGCCTCATGCTGGAAGAAAACGAAGAGAACTACCAAGCAATACAGAACGAGATTCCGAAAGCAGCCTAGAACCTAATGGGAGTGACCAGTCTATTTTGCACATGATTTCACGACCATTTTCTGGGTGACCTCTGCAGAGCGTCGACAAATTCGCAATATTAAATCTGTCTTGGTCGAAAGAACAATAGAAGGGATTGAGTTAGGAAGGATAAAATAGCCTCAACAGCCTTTACTACCTTCTCTCCTTTCCAACTAGGATCCGCGACGTGAATTAAGTAGAGAGTGTTAGAGGAAAGGGGCAAGATTTAGCTTTGCTTGCACTCTTGCGCCTCCTGCTTCGGCTTCGCACCGTCATCCTACATCAAATATTAGCCGAGTATTCCTATAATAATCTGGAAGGAATGGTGGACAAACATCGTCATCAGATTCTTCCTCCTCGTCATCGCGATCTTCGCTGAGGTCATCTTCATCGTCGTCCTCGTCGAACTCTTGGTCGTCAAGGTCGTCGAGTTCCTCAAAAGCCAGAGCCTCACCCGTAAACCAGTCGATAGCCCGGGGGATCAGCTTCTCCTTGATGTCCTCACCGAGTTGGTAGTCCAACTCCAAACGCTCCTCGATGTCCGAGGCAGCGTCGTTGTCATCATCGTCGGTGGGGGCCTTAGGGGGCGAGAAGAAGTTGAAGAATGACTCGGTGGGAACCGTCTTCTTGACGATACGAGTTTGCTTCGTGTCTGTCCGAGTTAGCGAATAATATCAGTAGATTAGCTTTATGGCGACTTACTCTTGTTTCGTTGTTTCTTGCTCTCGATGCGAACAGTGAGATCGCGACCCTCCTTCCACTCGATCTTATCACCCTCGGCATGGTCGTAGATGAAATCGCCACCATAGCCACTCTCGTTCTGGTAGAAATACGTCTTGGTGATAGTCTTGTTAGTGAAGAACTCGTTCTCGGCAAATTCGAAGATGAGGCGGAATCCCGGCTTGTCGAGATACTCCATCCGAATATCAGTCAGGTAGCGGAGGGCAGCCTCATCACGGTCGGTGATCATCTCAGCAAGAGAGATCTGGTTCTTCATGGCGGACAGCCAGAATTCTGGGATTCCCTTAACGAGCTCAGCAGTCTCGGAAGCCGCCTTCTCTTCTCCCTTTTCGGCTTCGGCTTCAGCTTCAGCTTCGTCCTTCTCATCCTCCTCGTCTTCACCAGCCTTAACCTGCTCGTCAGTAGGTTCATCCTTGCCGTTGACGATGGCAGCACGCTTCTCGTAGAGAGGAGTGAACTTGGCGAAGTACTTCTTCTCCAGCTGGAGAACTTCTTCCTGGAACTCGGCCTCTAGCTTCGAGTGATCTTTCTGGATGCCCTTCAAGCCGGCAACACGACGACGAACGACGCTAGGCAGAGACTCTATGTAACCGGAAGATCGACCAACTAGGGAGCCAAGTCGGCCTTGAATCATCTGAACCAATTTAGGGTTCTGGGCAAAGATAGAAGCGGCTGCAGCGCGATCGAGGTCCTCTGTAGCGCAGACGAGGTTAGCAACGAGAGACCCGCGGAAGCAATTCCGGCGGGGTTACGGATTAACATACCTTCCTTGATGCTAGCAACGCCCGGTTGTTGGGCATGAGAAGAGATGGGGGCATTGCTCGCAGGTGTATTCTGCGGAGTACTGCGGAGAGAAAATCAAGAGTCAGTGTCTCGGAGGAAAAGAAAAAAAAATTATAGCTAAAAGGCGGGCTCTACATACGGAGCAGGGACTTCTGCACGACGATTCTTAATAGGCTCCGCCATTGTTGATGGTTCCGTCGCCGATGGTGCAGACTATGATTAAATTCGCAAGCGAGTATATCGATGTCGGGTCAAGCACTTGGCAGCCCACAAGGAAATAATTAGAATGGAGGCGACAAAGAAAAATGCAGGTAGAAGATTAGAAGTATGAAGTTATTGTGTATCCAGCTGAATGGTGAAGTCACAAGTAATGGACTTGAAGAACCCGCACACAGTGTGTTAAGGTATAACGGGTGGGCGGATGCGGTGATGAATTTGATTGATGAAACGGGAAAGTTGAACTTTGATTCAAGTCCAACTGTGAGGAGGAAGGTGAAAGAGAAAGTTGTAGTAGTGAAGTAGTTGGTTCACAGCGATGGGGAATTTGATGAGAGGGCAAGAAGACTGGACTGGTCTGGTGGGAGAGGCGAAGTGGGGGAAGGCGGCAACCCTGTCACTGTCCCCTCCAAAGGTTGTAAGTAAAAAGAAGTTGTTGGGTGCCGCTGCCGCCATCAAATAATTTTTTTCTTCCTTAAATTTTTTTTCCTTCAGGGCACTTACACGTAACAATTCGCCTGCCTACGCCTACAATTTCTTAGCCTGCAGCCAATGGCGACGCTATTATGTCTGAGAGCAAACATTTGATACCTAAGACTAGGTACATACCGACCTAATTGGCACCTACCAACCTAATAAAATTGAATGTATTAGGTATACAAGGTGTCATTGTATGCCTAGGTACATATGCCCTTATGCAGCAACTTACATATGGACGTATTGAATGGCCGGATATCGAATGTAATCCGATATAATCAGTTCAGGTTGTGCACAAGCACACAACACACAACTGCTAAGAATGCCTAGCCTAATGTGGGTAGGTACTGGGTAGGTACAGACAATGCCTAAACCTGATCGAAAGCGGTGTACAGATTGTACAGATGTAGGATGCACGTAGATCGACTCAAAGAATTACATACCTAGGTAGGTAGGTACCTACATTTCGTAGTCTATCCATACACCGTTTCTCGGGTCAAGCCAATAGTTTTCCAACTAATACACAATAAATGTACCTAATGCATTGGATACACTAGATGCCTTCTACGACTTCTACGACGCGCCGTACGCAGGTAGCCACGTCAACTCACGTAAAGGTAGTGTAGGTATGCTGCATACGCATATACATGTACCTGGATATAGCAGTACCTTAATGATGGTAGAAACTGTAGAAACTGGATTAGGTATTTCGCCTTACCTAATTGGGCAATACGAAACTTTAATGGCAGAATAGAGTGCTTCTCAGTCGTTGCCTAAACTTTCCCTTCTTCCCTTATCGTTATCGCATATTCTCAGCCTTATCGTTATCGTTATCGTTGCTGCTATCGTTACTATCGTTGCAGCGTTGCTATCGCTATCATTGTCCTTTGCACGTCTTGAGCTCCTTCAAGCTGTCAAGGAATTAATTGTCCCAGTGTTGCTACTATGCATAGCGTCATCTTCCACCTTCGCAGTTCTGAACGGTGTGGTTCATTAATGGATTGAGCTCGAACCTGAACTCGTAGATTCCCCCTACCTGAAGCTTCAACAAAGGCTTACAAAGTAGACATATAGTGTTTCCATTGGTCCTCGAGGATCTGTCGCGCTTCGATACTTCGATAAACTATTCAGGATGTGCCCTAACATTCTAATCATTACCCGGCTGGATCGATAGTCATAGTTGCAAGACCGCGAAGGCGCTCCTCTAATTTCGGATCATATCGGCCCTTTTCACATGTGCCTCGATCACGTCGCCTGTTAAGCGAAGATATTTACGATCTCTGTTGTAGTTACGGTATATTGACTATGGAGGAACCTAACGATGATGCGCAGCCAAGGCGCAGTGGTCCTGTAGCCATGTACGGACTTAGCTCTAATCAGAGCAGCTCGAGTGTATTCGAGGATGTGGAGATGGCACACGATGAGGTAGGCTAATTGCACTGTTTAACACTAAGATTGTTTATCCTAAGCTTTGATTGCTTTAGTTATACTCTGGTCCCATCGCAGAGAGCTTGCCTACAAGCCTCTCGGCCTTTTCCCACCGTCGCCAACGCGCAGATTCGACAGCAAGCTTCGCGTACTACAATGAAGAGGAGGACGAAGCAGAACCTGGGTTCATGTATGGCGAAGACGGTGCTGTACCATTTGACATCGACGAGATGCCGCTTGACTTCGAAGATGAAGAGGAAGAGGAAGAAAGTAGTTCGGGAGTCGATCTCGAGAATGGCAATTCGTACGATGATTATGCTATGCGAAGGAGATCTTCAACCCAATCGAGGAGCTCTGTTCATGCCAGACTTCTCCGAACAGATAGTGGCGTTACGGATGCTAGCGGTCGAGGTTACAGCCGAGTCAGCCAGAAACTACACATGGTCAACGAGGATCTCACCATTGTGATAGCTGGCTTTCGTACGAGTAGACCTGGCTACACTACATATGTTCTTCTGTGTGTTGTGACGTTGGGACTTGCATACCTCCTTCTGCGATGGCTTCCCCGGTGGCAGGTGAAGTTAATCGGCGAGCCATGTCCGCTTCATGATAGCCAATGGGTGGTGCTTGAGGTAAGTTGTGTTGGAAACTCGTCTGCCTTAGGCGCTATGCTTACCATGCTATAGAACCAATGGGGTGAAATGACTATACTAGAAGTGCAAACGCAGCCTTACAACCGTCCCCTTTCAACCGTATTCGGTTCACCCGATAAGATTTATGCCCAATTGCTGGGAGACGATGCTGATCCGCTATTGCCCGAGCTCCGGGTCCTCAACTACCGATACGTACGCTTCTTCTACCATCCATTGAAGGGTAAATTCGTTATCTGTAACGGGTGGAAGGATCCTACATGGACTCGTGTACGAGCACTTCGTGCTGGCATTGATGGCGAGGAGAAAGACCACAGGGAACGCGTCTTTGGGACGAACCTCATCGATATCGAGCAGAAGTCGATTCCTCAATTACTCGTAGATGAAGTAGGTTGTTGTTGGTGAGTATTGGTATACCGTATAATCTAACAGGCTCTAGGTTTTCCACCCATTTTACGTTTTTCAGATTGCAAGTTTGATCCTTTGGTCATCAGATCAGTACTACTATTATGCCATCTGCATCTTCATTATGTCTGCAGGTAGTATAATAGCAACCCTAATAGATACACGCGCTGTTAGTCTTCCTCCACCACGAAAAGATGCATCGTCACTAATCTCCATTAGACAATGCGGCGTCTTCGCGATATCTCCCGCTTTGAGTGTGACGTACGAGTCCTTCGCAACGGCTTCTGTAAGTAGAAGACGGCTATTTCGATCGTAAGGTATATAGCTAACTATCTCTAAGGGGCCCACGTTTCGTCAAGCGACCTGGTTCCTGGTGATGTATATGAGATTAGTGATCCCAGTCTCACCCAGTTTCCTAGCGATAGCTTACTCTTGAGTGGAGATTGTATTGTCAACGAGAGTATGCTTACAGGCGAATCCGTGCCGGTTTCTAAAATTCCCGCTACCGACGAGACGCTTCAGATTATGAATCTTAGTGCCTCCACAATCTCTCATGACGCTGCTCGTCATTTTCTCTTCTGCGGGACAAAAATCATTAGGGCAAGGAAGCCACAAGATAACGGCGATGATGAAGCCGTTGCCCTCGCCATGGTTGTGAGGACTGGCTTCAATACAACCAAGGGTTCGCTCGTCCGCTCTATGATGTTCCCCAAGCCGTCCGGATTTAAATTCTATCGTGACTCTTTTCGATACATATCTGTTATGGGATGTGTCGCGATGCTTGGATTCGTTGTATCCTTTGTCAACTTCATTCGTCTGGGGCTGACTTGGCATGTGATACTTATCAGAGCATTAGACTTGATTACTATCGCTGTTCCGCCGGCCCTTCCAGCTACACTTACTATAGGGACAAACTTCGCTCTTAGCCGCCTTAAGAAGAAACAAATATTCTGCATCAGCCCGCAGAGAGTCAACGTGGGTGGAAAGCTGGATGTCATGTGCTTTGATAAGACGGGTACGCTCACCGAAGATGGCTTAGATATTCTTGGTGTTCAGCTAGCATCTCGGTCAGCAAAGCGATTTGACGACATCGTCTCAAAAGCGTCAGATTTGGTCCCTAGCACAAGTTTGGATGCTGGTCCTGGGGATAAATATGACATAGCTCGTGCTGCTTTGTTCACGATGGCCACCTGCCACTCCCTTCGCTCCGTCGATGGTGAACTTGTTGGTGATCCGCTAGACGTCAAGATGTTCGAGTTCACCGGCTGGACATTCGAAGAGGGTAACCAGGGCGGTACCGATCAGGAAGATGACGAACAAGGGGGCTTCTCTCCTTCTGTTGCTCGCCCTCCTCTGGTACCCCTTTACGATACAGATGGATATGGGACTGCCGAAGGCCAAAATGTAAGTTCTACTGTATAACTGGCCTTTGAGTTCGTCTAATGTGTTTCAGGCGCCAATTGAACTCGGGGTATTGAGATCTTTTGAATTCGTCTCTCAATTACGGAGGGCCAGCGTCATCGTGCGGGCTTTCGGACAGCAAAGCGGAGATATTTATGTCAAGGGTGCACCTGAATGTATGCGGGATATATGTCGACCGGACAGCTGTAAGTTATCTCAACCTCGGGAATTCTTCGTTATGTCTATACTAATATACTACGTAGTCCCGGATAACTATGATGAACTCCTATCCTACTACACTCACAAAGGATATCGAGTTATTGCGTGCGCTACTAGACATATCAAAAAGCTATCATGGGTAAAATCCCAGAAAATGAAGCGCGAGGAGGTTGAAGCCGATCTTGATTTTGTCGGCTTCATCATCTTCGAAAACAAGCTAAAGCCTACGACAGCTGCGGTGCTTAAGGAGCTCACAGAGTCAAATATCGGCTCGATCATGGTTACGGGCGATAACATATTGACGGCCATCAGTGTCGCGAGAAACTGCGGCCTTATTGAGAAAGATGCGCATTGTTTTGTGCCTCACTTTTCCGAAGGTAAGTCGCTACGAACAACATACATTCATAATCAGCCACAGGAGAAAGACGACAGACGAGTCTAGCTTGTCTAATACTAAATCATGAGAGGTTTCCCATATGAGGTTATTGACCGCTAACATAAGATATATAGGGAACTCTCGCGATCCCAATGCTCGTTTACACTGGGAAAGCATAGACGACCAAGCATATCAGTTGGACGACCGAACCCTACTGGTAAGAGCCTATATAGTGACTATTGATGATTTAAGCTAATTGGAATGATTGTAGCCTTTACCTGTTCCCGTAGACCGTGATGCTTCATTACCATACGATATAACCAATCTCAGAAACTACTCCCTCGCAGTAAGCGGTGACGTCTTCCGATGGATAATTGACTTTGCTCCGAACGAAGTCATGCAAAGGGTGTGTAATATAGCTTTCTTAATCAATCCAACAGTACCCTCCTGATCAGGCGAAGAAGCTAATGAAACATTAGATGCTTGTTCGAGGCAAAGTCTTTGCACGTATGTCTCCAGATGAGAAACATGAACTTGTAGAGAAACTTCAGAGCATAGACTATTGCGCTGGATTCTGCGGAGATGGGGCGAATGATTGCGGCGCCCTCAAAGCTGCTGATGTTGGAATATCACTGTCCGAAGCGGAAGCATCTGTTGCGGCCCCATTCACGTCGAGGGTATTCGATATTCGATGTGTTCCCGACGTGATTCGGTATGCTTACCCCTTCAGTCGTGAATATTGAGCACACCCATGTCGCTAACCTTGGGTCTAGGGAGGGACGAGCTGCTCTAGTAACTAGTTTCAGTTGCTTCAAGTATATGAGCATCTACTCGGCTATACAGTTCACTTCTGTGAGCTTCCTTTACGCCTCAGCTTCGAATTTAGGAGACTTCCAGGTAGGAATACTTACAACAACAGCACACGCTTTACATAGTGGCTAACTAGTTTTTAGTTCCTCTTTATCGATGTTCTCCTTATATTGCCAATTGCTATATTCAGTAAGCGAAACAGAAAACATGAGATGAAACGAAATTGCTAATTCGCATACCAGTGGGCTGGTCTGGCCCGTTCCCAGTTTTGAGCAAGAAGCGACCGACGGCGAATTTGGTGTCGAGAAAGGTTCTCATACCCTTATTATGCCATATGGCCGTCTGTATACTGGTACAAACTGCCGCGTGGCTTATCGTGCGGGAGCAAACCTGGTAAGTCCGCCTTAAGGAATTCTCTATAGTACAGTACTCTAATGCGAATATCATAGGTATATACCCCCTCGGGTAAATCCGAACAAACCTCATATCGTAAATTCGGAAAACACGACTTTGTTCCTCGTGTCTTGCTTCGAGTACATATTCATCGGTGTGGTTCTTAACGCCGGCCGACCATTCCGACAGCCCATGACCCAGAACTGTAAGTCCTCGATGCTCTTGTATGCATCCGGTGAAAATGCTAACCATCCATATAGGGCCCTTCATGGCCACTATTGTTACGGCTCTAGCTATTACTATATATATGATCTTTATACCGGGCCACTGGATTAGAAATCTGATGCAACTGACCAAGATTAGCCCATCGTTCAGGCTTACACTACTAGGATTAGGCGTGGCATATCTAGTCGCAGCATGGGTCGGGGAGCACTACATCTTCTCTGGCATTGCTCGAGGAGTTGGCGTGGTGAAAACGGCTATCACTAAGAAGGCGAAGAAGCGGAAGCAGTATAAGATCATATTGGAGCAGATGAAGGCTTAACCTTTACCTAAAATTCGGCTCCTTACTTGAGCTTACCAAGGTTAGAAAATTAGATGTATGGGAACTATAGTGTTCGCTAGGTATAGAATACTTTTGAGAAGAATAGGTAGATAGTGTGCATTTAGTATTATTGTATGTCCCGAATAGAAGAAGTGGTATACCACCAAAGCAAAATTGATCCAACATATCGAAATTATAATAGTGGTTGGTTGGTGATCGACTTGCTCTATTATCGATTCACAGACTACCTAGCAACTAAATTACTATACGAATGGGATATACGAATAGGATTCTTGCGGTGAGATGAAGGATAGACCATTTCTATTCATCTCACAGTAAATATAAAGCAGTCAACTACAGCTACTACCTCATCTCTTCAATAGCACTTGAACTACAACTCTTATACTCACCTGTCTAGGTTGGAATTTCACGGTCTTACAATATGGACACACAAGGGGCTTTCATAACACGAGTAAAGAGTAAAAAATAGGGTATCTATTCCAGAGTAGGGTCTTGTCGAGCCTCTCATGCATTACCGAACTATTTTATTCCGAGCCGGCATCCTTACCCTCGCCCGCAACACCGTTCTCAAGCCCAACCGTCGTCCTAGGCACCTCGAACACGACGGCACCGTTTTTGCCCCCCTTGATTTTCTTCCACATGCCTAGGCGGTGGTCTTTTCCCACTCCGACTACGACGCATAGGCCGTCTTTGCCACGCTCGCCCCGCTCGAATAGAGCAATGTCGTTGACTACACCTTTGACTAGCCACGAGGCGGCTGTGGCCCCGTTCACGCCGTTGGTTGTTGTCTCTGTGTCTTCGGGGGTGTCTGCGGTAGATGGGTTTCCTAGGATTCCTGCTGGCTCGATTTTCCTCTTGTCATCGCTTAATCGCCAGACTCGGACGTACCCGTCCCAACTGCCGCTCAATATGAGGTCGGAGTAAGGTAGCGTCCGGAGTGCGGTGATCCACCTAGGTTGCGGAGGCGGTACGACTTTGGGGGTTGGGGCTATTTCGGCGGATGCTTCCGTCGGCTTCAATGGTTTTTCTAGGCCGTGAGCTTGTGTTAAGATGAAGAGCGGCTTCTTCTTCTGTATGCTCCATAAAGCTAGAGAGCCGTTATCACTGCCCGTAATGAAGAGCTCATCATCGATCATCGCGACGCGATCCATGCTGCCTTCCTGGGCTAGCGACCGCGGGTCAATCTCTGGCTTCTGCTTCTTGTCGATCGACCCACCGCGGAAGACTAACTGGGTCTCTTCGACGACTTTCCATAAGCGAGCTGTCCGATCTCGTGCACCTACGCTCACGCAACGTTCTTGTGCTAGGGCGTCGATATCGACTACCTCGTCTTGGTGACCAAAGAGGGTCTCGATGTATGCCAGCTCATCTAAACTCCATACTTTCACGGTACGGTCTTTGGAAGCTGAATATAGTTGGTTTGTACCTCGTCGGAACGCTAGACCTGTTACGGCGTCGCGGTGGTGTGTAAAGACGCGCAGGGGCTTCAATGACTTGGCGTCGTAGACGATTAGACGTTTGTCTGCACCGCCCGTGACGACGAACTTGCCGTCTTGAGAAGCTGCTACGCATAGGATATCGGCTATATGGCCTTGATAGTTCTTATCATTTGCCTTGGACCGATTCCCCTTCCGCAGTGCAACCTTGGTTGGCTGCCGACGCGGAGGAGCAGGAGGCTTTTTCGGCTTCTTCTTAGTAGTTTGTGGGAATTGGTAGGCGGGCAAGTCTTGTAACTTCCACTTGACCAAGCATTGGTCCTTTGAGACCGTATACACGTACGGTGCGCATATGGCAATAGATGTAGTTGCGAGCGTATTACACCGGAAGAGAGTATGGGACGCCCGGTCGACAGCAAGCTCTGAAGTAATTTTCCTGTACACTTTTCCTTTTGTTTCGGCTACATCTTCTTGTAGACGCGCTGCTATTATATCGCGGTCGATATCTTCAGCATTGAAGCCCGTCTCGTCGACTTCTTGCCGGACGTTGTCGAGATACCTTTCTGCGAGTCTCAACCTCTTCTCTGCCGCTGTTTCTCCCTCGTTCTCCGATTCTGAATCAGAACCAGGCGCATCTGGCTGTGCTGCGCCATCTTCGCTCTCAGATTCACTACCTGATATAGACTCATCTCGTTCGACTCGTTTTCTAGGTGCAGGTGCGGGTTTCGAGGGCGTCTTCGAAGTCTTAGTGGTCGCGACTCGTTTTTTAGGTCCGTCTATAACAGGTGCTCGTTTCCTTTTTTTCTGAGCGCCAGGAACTGTGAAGAATGACGACATTGTGGTGTTTTACAATGTTTAATTTAATTAATTCGAACGCGTGTTAGTCGTCTTGTGGCCTTAGAAATTTTCCATATTTGAAGCAAAAGACTTGGTTCGTAGCTAAGGAAAAAAAAAAAGTTCAACGTCCTGCGGGACACTGACAGGGGACCCTAGGGGTACAAAGATACCTAGGTATGCTGCTATGTTCAGTTATGTGATCTAGGCTGCTAGGTTAGCCATTGACTTTAAGGTGATCTCAGAGCGGGGCGCGGCTGAGGAACTGTGGCTAGTGTTGTCCGACGTCCGACCTCCACTAGGTACCTGATGATGTTCCTGTCTGAAGCTCTAGATTTGGCAGCCAGCTGCTAGGCTGTAGCTACCTTGCGCGTCTACATAGTACACATTTGCCTACAGCGCCAGCGATTTGGGAACAAGAGCTTCTTCAACACCTACAACCCACATTTGAGTCCATCACCACCCGAGCAAATATCCCAAAATGTATGCCACCCAGCATTATAAAATCACAGTTAAACAGATAGACTAACATTAGCCAAACTAGGGAGGTATTGTTAGGAATCACCGGCAAGGACTTTACCTTAATCGCAGCTTCTAAAGCTGCGATGCGGGGAGCAACCATCCTCAAAGCCTCTGATGACAAGACGAGATCGCTCAACAAGCATACACTAGTTGCATTCTCCGGCGAGGCTGGCGATACAAGTGCGTCAATTCCGAAAAGAAAGTGCGGCTTCGAAAGCTAACTAGCGCTAGTCCAATTCTCTGAGTATATCCAGGCAAACGCGCAGCTCTATTCGATGCGAAACGAGACAGATTTATCACCTACGGCGCTGGCACACTATGTCCGCGGTGAGCTCGCGTCAAGCTTAAGATCTAGGAAGCCGTACAACGTCAACCTGCTACTAGGAGGTGTCGACCCCATCACCCACAAGCCCAGCCTATTCTGGCTGGATTACCTTGCGGCTCTCGCATCTGTTCCCTATGCTGCCCACGGCTACGCACAATATTACTGCCTCTCGATCCTAGACAAGCACCACCACCCGGACATGACACTTGTGCAAGGACTTAAGGTGCTCGAGATGTGTACAGACGAACTGAAGCGACGTTTACCTATTGATTTCAAGGGTATGACGGTCAAGGCGGTTACGAAAGACGGCATTCGGGAGATTGAGTTCAACGACGATAAGATTGTTAAGTGCGCATAAAGGAATATCATTTTCTGGCTGGCGACCCCACGTGTAACATTAGGATTCTAGGTTGGGCGAGAAATCGCACAATAGCCTAGTAGTCAAGTCACAGGCTGGCCTATCAAATCTATCAGGTCGGTCAGAGCTGCGACCATCCAACATCTTTTCGGTTACTACGTATATGGTGAGGGGTTCAAGTTATTCGTCACCACAGAAAGCCCTTAAGAAATAAATGCTAGCTAGCTGAAGGGGTATGATAAAGGGTAGCTTAGTAACATGGATAAGATATGCGACGCTATGATAAAATCGTGAATGGAATGACAGGTCCTATTCGATAGCCTCGCACCCAATAATGACAAAACTTTATAATTAAGATATACGTTGGTCTTCTATGTATCGACAGGGTCGTCATTCGAATCTGGGTTGAGTATAAAATATACGTGCATAGAGGCATAGAAGCTCAACCCAACCGCGGATCGTAACTCTAGAGGTTCCCCCCAGTAGTCGCATTCGGCAATTAGGGACTCCTGGCTGAACTGTCATTTATATTTAACTACCTAAATAATGATCCATACAGTATACGTCTCTCTCCACCATTCGCGGAAGCTGGCTTTGAAGCAATTTTCCAGGCGGTGTATTTGATTTTTGGGCGGTGAGACTCCTGCATGATGCTTCACCCGTTCACCACGCAGGCGGACTTCCTATTGGAACACCGCAGCCTCGTTGCAGGAGAGTTACATCCGCCTTCCCCTGCTAGCCGCCAATGGTTAGGATGTCTATAGTCTGTACATAGTAGAGTTCCAAGCCTTATCATTACTGTGGTACTATGCTATGTTGTAAATCTTAGCTCGAAAGGAAAAGGAAAAAAAGAAGAAAAAACCTTAAGCGTCCAAATCAGCGGTTTTGATCATGGTTTGGTCATATAACGCATATAACGGCAGCTGATGATCCTCCGAACCCTATTACTTATGCATGGCAGCATCTTGAAGAGAGTTGCAACTAGGGCTGCCAGGGGCTTTCTCTAGTTGTCTTGGGTTTGTAGACCCGGGACTTTGGTGGCGACATGAATTAGGCACGCATCATCGAATTGCCTAACAAATAGCAACGTGTACTTTTGACTTTGCTTGCTACGCTTTCTATCTAAGCTGAGAGAAAAGGTTGGCAAGTTGGGTGAAAGTCAGCTAAAGGGTGCGAAGGGTGTGATAAGTGACCCCCCATCGGACCATACCGAGATTCGGATAGATATAACCTAGAAGGTGTTCACTCCACGGGGCGAAAAATGATCAAGCTAAGACCTACTACTGTATGTAGGTTGTAGGTATGTAGTTGCCACTGGAACGTAGGTATTGAACTATCAAATTATGTAGTTATTCATATTCTCACTTGGTTTATACATACACATACCATAAATAGGTGTAATAATAACTTCTAGAATATACGAGATGATTCTATTGCGTAGCAATCTTTTGACGGGAAGTTGACCAACTTGGACTTGGTGCATGCTTGAGCAATCTAAGGTTGCAGTAACGAAGTTTTCTAGGTAGAGATTTGGGTTAAAGGTGCTGCAGTATGTATGTAGAGGTGGTATTCTAGCCGATTTGGGCGGGACTTCTCGACTACCTATTTGCAACCCCCAAGTTTCGATTGCTACAAGGCTCTTTCCTCACAAAGGGAGGCAAAGGGAATAAAAATTGTCGCAGTTACCCGAACCAGGAAGGGATAGATACATTGCAGACATAGAGCGTATAGGTACATACTAGAATGTATAATAAACGTTGTAGCCAAGATAGACTGGGGGTAATCGCTAGGTACTAGTTACTTGATAACGTTAGCTGACATCCCACTTTCCGTGATACCACTTATGTTGTAATTGCATATAATTGCTAACAATTTCCCCTTTAGGTATATCGATATCGAATAATTGCCCCCATCTCCCTTGTAAGTCGACTGCTATTGGTAACTACAGTTGCAGCGTGCCTACCCAGTCTAGTCTAGGTACCTTAGTCACGGACCCAGCGCTAACGCGTTCTCGATTTTCGACACAACTTCAAAACTTCCTGAATTTTTTTTCATCTGATCCGATTCTTCTTCTCCCCCACAATCCCTTTGCCATACCCAACCCTCAAACACACGGCATAATCACATCCTTCCCCCCCCCTGAAAAAGCATTCTGTGTTTTTTTTTCTCTTCCGTTCAGGGCCTTACTTTTCCTTGAAAAGATCTGGTTTTACTTTCTTTTCTCAAGGGACCTCGGAAGGCATCTATTACTAGACTCTGGTGTGTGATCACTTACAGGTTCATACGTCGACTCTGAGCAACGACCCTGCATTTGAGTCTCTTAATAATATTAAGAGAGAAGGTGCATACCGTCGTAGTTTCCTCTTCTACCGACAATTAATACCATCTTTGTTGGTTCCTTACCGACGACATCAGGTTTTAATTTTTAAATCTGCCCGTACTACCTTACATCGCCTTCCCCTTCTCTTCTTCTGAACTTCTTCGTTCTTTTGAGAGAGAATTAATCGGCTGGGTTCCGTACGAGAAAATTTTCTTCGACAAGCACATACATCGACGTACAATACCTATCGCATCTATCATCTTGCAAATACTACGTCAGTATGGCTGATCAACTTAACATGGGCGGTTTGAGCCTGGGCGACCAGCAACAAGCCTCTACAGCTCGTTCTTACATCCCGCCTCACATGCGAGGCAAGGTCGGTGCTCCTGCTAACGGTCCTCCTCCCATGGGCGCTGGCGGTCCTCCACCTAACATGAACGGTCTCAACAGTAGCGCGTGGGCTGGGTAAGTAATTCACTCTTCATTATGTACTTACACTTGATTACAACCCTTGTCAACATACCATTTCGTCGAAGAATTGAGCGTTTGCTAATATCGCATCTATAGTAACAACAACTTCGACGCTCGACCCGCTCCTGGATGGGCAGCCGGTCCCGATTACCCGCCTCCTCAGCAACAGCAACAGCCGCAGCCGCCGCAGCAGCAGCAGCAGCAGCAGCAACCGCGTCAAGGAGGCTGGAATAACCGACAGTTCGATCGTAATGCCTACGGCAACCCATCTACTGGTGGGAACAGCGGTGGCGGTGGCGGCGGCGGCGGTGCCTACGCTCGAGGTTCTGGCGACGGACAGTGGCGCGACGGCAAGCATATTCCTGGTCCCCCCAACCCCCGCATGGAGCGTGAGCTATTCGGTACGCCGGATGACCCTTCCAAGCAGCACACTGGTATCAACTTCGAGAAGTACGACGACATCCCTGTCGAAGCCTCGGGCCATGATACTCCTGACCCTGTTCTTACTTTCAGCAATCCCCCGCTTGATGACCACCTGATCCGCAACATTGAGCTAGCTCACTACAAGGTTCCGACCCCCGTTCAGAAGTACTCGATCCCCATTGTCATGGGTGGCCGAGATCTGATGGCTTGTGCCCAGACTGGTTCTGGAAAGACTGGTGGCTTCCTTTTCCCCATCCTCTCCCAGGCCTTCCTTACCGGCCCTTCTCCCGTGCCTGCTGGTGCCCCTGGTGGTGGTTACGGTCGTCAGCGCAAGGCTTATCCCACATCTCTTATCCTTGCTCCAACTCGTGAACTGGTCTCTCAGATTTACGACGAGTCTCGCAAATTTGCCTATCGATCTTGGGTCCGACCCTGCGTGGTGTACGGTGGTGCTGACATCGGCTCTCAACTTCGTCAGATCGAGCGCGGCTGTGACCTCCTTGTTGCTACACCTGGTCGCCTTGTCGATCTCATTGAGCGAGGTCGCATCTCTCTCCAGAACATCAAGTATCTAGTTCTAGATGAGGCTGATCGTATGTTGGATATGGGTTTCGAGCCTCAGATCCGTCGCATTGTTGAAGGCGAAGATATGCCCGGCGTTCAGAGCCGACAAACTCTCATGTTTTCGGCCACCTTCCCCCGGGATATTCAAATGCTTGCCCGCGATTTCCTTAAGGACTATGTTTTCCTTTCAGTTGGACGTGTGGGCTCAACCTCTGAGAATATCACTCAGAAGGTCGAGTATGTTGAGGATAGCGACAAGCGCTCTGTTCTTCTGGATATTCTACACACTCATGGCGCTGGCCTCACCCTTATCTTCGTCGAGACAAAGCGCATGGCGGACTCTTTATCTGATTTCTTGATCAACCAGAACTTCCCCGCCACGTCGATCCACGGTGATCGCACACAGCGCGAACGTGAACGTGCTCTGGAGATGTTCCGAAACGGACGATGCCCTATCCTAGTTGCCACTGCTGTTGCCGCACGTGGCTTGGATATTCCTAACGTCACACACGTTGTCAACTATGATCTACCTACCGATATTGACGACTATGTCCACCGAATTGGTCGTACCGGTCGTGCAGGTAACACGGGTCATTCCACAGCATTCTTCAACCGAGGTAACCGTGGTGTTGTACGAGACCTCATCGAGCTATTGAAGGAAGCCAACCAAGAGGTTCCGGCCTTCCTTGAGACTATTGCTCGAGAAAGCTCCTACGGCGGTAGCCGTGGCGGCGGACGGGCTGGTGGCGGTCGCGGCCGTGGCCAGGGCGCCAACCGCGATTTCCGAAAGTTCGGTGGTAGCGGCTTCAATGGCGGCGGTGGCGGCGGCGGCGGCTTTGGTGGCCCTCAGCAGTCCAACGGCTTCAGTGGCGGCGGAGGTGGTTACAACGCTCCTCCTAGCCAGGGCTACGGCGGAGGCTACGGCGGCGGTGGTGGCGGTGGCGGCGGCAACGCACCAGCCTATGGCGGGGGTAGCTACGGCAATCCTGGCGGAGCAGGCGGCCAGGCTTCCTGGTGGTAATTTTGATGATATCGTCAGGCGCGCCGATATATTCCCTCTATTCCGCAACCCGCATGCGGCGACGGAATTGGCACATTTGCAATGCGGTACATAGATTTCACGGACTCATCTTCTGTTTTTTTCCAATCGAGTTACGCAAGGTCTTTTCTTTTTTCAGTTGGCATTTCGACACTTCCCTCGACATACTCCTTTCTACGGCATACCCGACTTCCAGCCTTCAATCTGGATCGGCAGATATGAGTTCTACGTGATAGGACTCTGGCATACGATAGATGGCATCTGTCTTTATTTCGGCTGCTCTCCTCACAACTTGATACCCATAGAAGACTGCGAGGGGGCATATGCGAGCAGCTACGTGAGACGTTTGGAGGTCAAATCAGTACCTTGACCAAGCATCCTTCGGGGATATTCATCACTTAGAGTAGTGCCGTGCTACAGACGCGGCGACACCTTACGACGATGACGATCTTCCGCTTCGATGTACCCCGTATTTGCCTTTTGGAAGCCGGCCGAGATTATTTCTCGTTTTCCCATAGAATGGGGTAATGCGTTTTCGCATGGCCGTGGAATTGTGTTGATAGCATATTCATTCATAGACAAAAGTGGATTTCTCGGCTCTCTGGTTGGTAGGGCTCTTACTCAAGAAGGCTCGCCATAGCGAGGGAACCAAATAGAGGGCAATGAACATAGAATGGTAATCTTCGGTGGATCGAGCAACAAAAAACGGCGTCTCGGTGAGCAGGCATAGGCTCCAGATCTCTCCAAAGTTAGGAGAGTAAGTAGTAGTTCTGGAATCTGCTCTGACGATAAGGGCATAGGGAATTATTTTAGATTCCATCTGCCACCAATGGTAGTGCTGTCGCAGACATTGGCTGAGACGCTTTCAGGCCCTTTGAGGTTCTTCGCGCTGTGGTGGTCCCGTTAGAGGATCCATCTACGACGGACTGAGAACTTCCAAATAAAAAAAAGTTCTTCTTTACTACAATTATCAATGCATCGTGAAATTGTTCAATTTGTTCTTAGTGATATGGAATGCTTGCCCAGGAGATTTCCCTCGTTTATAGCCATAGTAAGGGATAAGGTAACATATTAATGTAAATGAGCTAGTTACGCTGAATATTCTTCGAGGTAACATTAGAGATATTTTATACAGCGTAGGCTATGTTTACTCCACCGCGATGATCCTCTTTCACTCTTTCTTTTTCCCATCCAAGTTTTCCCCTAATCATTATTATTATTATCAAAGTGAATATTACCTACCTATGTCAACTTTAAGTTATTTGGAATCCATTGAATTAGGTGCCTAATCTTTGTTGAGCTAGCCTTCTGTGGCGCCGTGCTGTGGCTAGAGCCCATCAACCTAGGTCATGCCCCACTGCAACATCGAATGCGTTTAATTGATAAAGTTACCTAGCCTGCCTACCAAACTGCTAGAGCAACCGGCGCCCAGTAACTTTCAGGTATGCAAGGTACCTACTGAATAAGGTGACGCGACGTGAGCAGGTACGGCGTGAGCACTTTGATTCCAACACAGTTTTTTTTTTCCTTCGTTTTCTTTTCTCAATTTCATCAACCCATCGACCCATCGACCTTCGCATCCTTCATACCGCAAGGCTTTGTCATTTCATCTTAAACTTTCAATTCAATGATGCCTTGACGATACCTGTCTGGCAACCCTTGCCTTAATTGAAGGCACTTCTTCTTTCTTTAGTTACGTTCCTTAGACCTTTACCATAAAACTTGTCGCCCGACTGTTGTCCTACAAAATCGGCCTACACTACTCTCTCATTTACCTACCAAACTAACACCCTACATCGTTTTTAATCACCGTCCGAATTTGCGATGGCTTCGAGAGACGGGACACCCGAGCCAAGCCGCTGGTCGCGCGCATCCAGTGCTGCCCCAAGAGACAGCACACCCGGCGATAACCTCGAGGCTAGCATCATCAGGTCTGAATCCGGACATAGCAGCAAGCGACCCAAGAACAAGTCTACCGGTGGCGCAGCAGCATCATCATCATTCCCTACAGTAGGCAAAATCAGACACCTAAAAAAAGAGGATGGAGAGCCGCTGTGGAGAAGAGATATTCAATACGATTTTCTTAAGTCTGTTTTCGATGATGATAGAAAGGTCTTCACCAACAGCTACGAACCTGTAGGAGATGGCAAGGAGAAGCAGAGCTTTGCCGACCTATACATTGATACGATGGCCAGAAGCAGCAAGACGAGTAAGGTTCTTAGGGATAAACTACTTAGTGACAGGGAGGCCGCAAAGAGCATGGCTATGGTGTGCTTGCTTGTCAACGTGGGTCGTATGAATACGACGCTTAACTGTAATGCCATTCCTACCGCTCGCTGATATCATTATCGCTAATGACATTTCCTTAGTTTTCCCCGAGATGCGAGCTCAACTACGAACATATCATGCTATCCCGTCGTTACAGGCCCATCAAGATGCATCGGCCTACAAACAGCTCCAAGATGCGCCAAGATTGAAGTCTATCTTGAAAGGTGCCGCTGAGGATCGACCTGAACCACATGAGCTCGGAGAATTCAAAGGGAAGGACCCGCCTCGATCGAACCCAGTGAACCTCATCTTCCTGATATGTCAGCAAGCATCCTATATCGCAGAATTACACTTCCCTCCCGGTGGTGAATTCCATGACTTAATTATGAAGACAAATTACACGAGCAAATCCCGTGCGAGAGCATTTTTATGGCTAATGTGGTTCTATCTCGAGTCAGACTTCACTGAGGAAGGCTGTGAAGAGAATCCATTTGGCCCCGGTGTCGACTATGGCACTGAAGTGGCGAATCAAGGCGTACCGCGAATGGAAGAAATGACGGCAGACGAAGAGGATCGCGAGAATATTGACCCGCACGAAGAGATTGACTTCGGTCGCGAGAAACAAAATCATAGGGCCAAAATAATAGCAGCCGATCAAGCCTACTTAGCAGACCATCAGAATAAGCGCGGCTCCAGAGGACGGGTCATAGCCGACGAGGGACCAACAGCCGCTATCCTCCCTCGAATACGCCCATCGAAACATGAGTCGGATATGGATAGCACACGATCTACTCCGCCACCAAGAGCCTTGTCCCGCCTTGGTGCTAGCAGTACTGGACGACGAGGTGGGGCATCCCTAAAGAACTTGCTATTCGACGGTTCGTCACCTGCAGGGCCGGGATCCCACGTTATCGAGGGCATCGTTCCTCGAAAGCCTCGTCCTCCCACGGCGCACCAACTAGCAGTAGAGCGGAATCGAAACCAGCGAGTTGAGCATATCCTCGGTCGCGGGCTACGCAAACAGCATCATCGTGCGCGAAGGGCGCGTCGGCAGGAAGGCGCGATCATACGTGCCAAGCGTCGTCTAGCTGCCATGAAGGATGCTCTCGTAGACAGTGATGAAGAGGAATATATGGTATCGCATAGGGAGCATAAGCACCTCTTCATAGACCGAGGTTTTGGTGGTCTTTGTCAACTTCATCAAGAAGACGACGACTTCGGCGAAGAGTTCGCATCGTACTCAGCGGCACTGAGAAGAACGGATCGGCGGCTTCGGCGCTGGGATGGTCGACCCGAATTAGGTGTCGTACTAGCTTCTAAGAAGCGTACTGCAGGCCCACCCTCTGATTACGCCTCTCCTGAACCGCATGGCGAACGTGGCAGAAATGGCAGCCCGGGGAAGGCAAATACAATCAAGATCAAGCAAAATGGCAACACCAATGGCGATGCCACAATGGAAGACGCAGACGACCTGGATCCTATGGAGAAGGAACTCTTAGGTATTGGCAGCGGCGGCGAGGAAGGTGAAGGTGAAGGCGAAGGAGAGGGCGACGGAGAGGGCGATGGTGAAGGAGAGGGTAAGGATGATTCTGAGGATATCGACATTATTGGTAAGGCGTTACTTGGACTCGATGGTTCGGATGGCACGGACAGTTCGTAGTGCTTTTACGGGAGGCAGACGTTCGATTTCGGCATGATTGATCAATATCATTCATAGTTGACGATGCGTTACTGCTGTTTATTCTACGTCTTCGGCGAGCTTGGTAAAGCTTCGCAAGACGCTTGTACACCTAGGTGATTACGGAAAAGGATGGCTATCAGGGGTGGCTTAGATGAAAGAGCTAAACAGTGAGCTTTGAGCTAAATGATAATACGTGAGACTCTATTAAAAAAAGGGGGGGGAGAAAAAAAAATATGCCCTATTGGCTCCTTTGCCTTAGGCTTTTGATATGAGTGATAGGGTGTAGCACCCAGGTGTATAATAATGAGTCCCCTTGACTAGCAGTATAATAATTCCCCGTTGCAACTTAGCACAGTAGATAATGCATAGCTTTGCTGGAGAGAAGAGGATAGCCTCTAATACCAAAATCGGCTATTGATGATTTTAAAGACTTACTCCGAGACCTTTACTATTATACCAGTGAACAGTAGTGAAGCTAATATATTGAGAGTAAATTATAATGGGAACCAGCAGTCCTTGGTACGTAATGCTATATCTTAATACAATTAAAGGAGTAGGAATACCAACTAATACAGGTTCCTTTATTTTCACTTATTAAACCATCGTTTTTAGGGGCTGCAATCTATTCGGTTGAAATATATGAGACATATCAATCGTGAGATTTTGCAACTAAGCGAATCATGTCTTTCATTTAGAAAATATCCGTCGTGTTTAACGACGGGGTCGTGTAGCGTTGCGGCTCTCACCTCGTACATACAGATCCTCCCGTAGTTAAACAAGATTCTAGGTAACAAATGATACATGTCTACATAGGATCAACTTACTTAATCAGAGTCTAGCAGAGGGAATGTTGTCATTTGTAATCTTTCTCGCAACATGGGTATACGATGCAGAAATTACGTCGGTTAGGCAGATCAAAAGCCGCGTACATAGTCAAAGACGTAGGTTAGAGTTGTTTCGAGTTGTATTATAAATCAGCAATTCTTCTTGCAAGTTTATTATGCAAGAGCTAGTCCTAACTCTGCAGTAGTGCGAGCCTAGACCTCTCGGGGATGGAACTTGTTGGCCCGGGACCGCTCACGGATACGGCGTTATTAGGGCGTCCGAAGTGGCGGGTCCGAGAAAGCTTAACTCTTCCCCAGATGAAACAATTGGTGTGTAATGCATAGGTACATCGTAAGTTAATAGGAGAGGGAAGTTTCTAAAACGCCACTGGAGACGAAGCGCATTAATAATGTATAATATTGCCGGAGACTTAAAAGAGATGACTAGGCGAGGAATGTTTCCGTCTGCCTACCGACTACTAGGTAATAAAATTTCTAATGTAACAACTACCATTGGACGTTCTAAAGTCGAACCCGGGATTCGGATTAGTGCGGCACGGGTTTGAAGACTAGAGAAGGTTAATTTATATTAGCCAGGAGTTTTACGGAGATTATGAATTTCGCGAGGTATGTATGTAGTATGTAGGACACAGAATGATGAATGAGATGGAATTCTTCTGTCTTGACCGACATTATGACTGCATTCTTCCCGCCAATGTGTCAGTCGCAAAATCCTCCTATTCGTGGTGTCAGATAGGTATGCAAGTGCTATCACCCATCCTGCCATCTCTGAACACTAGATTCGTATAATAGGGGTAGATGTGGTTGGTAAACAACTGCCGGGATTGGCTCAACTAGGTATCGAGTCGAGTTGACTTGCGTATAGTCGTATTCCTCGCGGCAACCTCGAATCGGTGTATTACCTACCTAATCTTTTTTTTTTTTTTTTTTTTGCGCTGGGTTAGTATGTAAACTAATGTAGGCATTATATGGGACCTGGTTAGGTAGTTCTTTCCAGGTGGAGTAGTATGCCGGGTAGTATGTATTAAGTCCGGCTAGCGGGGCCGATGAATCAAGGCATCCTGGAAGGTCCTTCCCAACCTTGCCTGGTTTGATAAAATGTCGGAATTCCCATTTGACCGTTTTTTGTCGTAGTAATTATTCTAATTCCTTCTGCTCCCGCTTACATACATAGCTCTCAGTTCCTCTAGCCTAGACTACCTAAGGTAAACAGTCGTATAAGTGTGTAACTAACGGAGAAGTGGCCGGAGTTTACTCTCATGTGTTGGTAATAGACTATTACTACCAGACATCCCCCATTTTCACTTGCCGCTTATATTACTTTTACTACAGTCTACTACTACGTTGCTACCTTATTCTTCCAAGATCATCCCCAAACGCTACTTTTTGCTTCATACTCAATAGACAGCAATTTATTAAAACCTATCTCCAAGACCTTATCCAAGCTATAAGATAATTGTGTAACAACTCACTTATACTTGCTATACCTACGTCACTCTCGCATTGTCTTTGCGAGTAAGTCTAGGCTGCTTTTTTTGGCTATACCATGGCAAATGAAGCTGAGGATAAGGAGACAAAGCCCGCCGATCCACTTACAGATGTCAATAACACCGCCAACTCTGAGCCGGCCTCAGTCTATGAGGATCCCGACGAGGAGATCCGTAGACAAGAGGAGTCCGATGAGAAAAGAGCCGACCGCGAGGAATTAAAACACACTCAAAGCTATGCCACCGATACGAGCGCAATCACTCGCACAACCTCGAGAGCTTCCGTGCCAGTGACTAAGAAGCCATGGTATAAAACACCAAATCCGCTACGATGGGGTTCAATACCCCCCGTTCCTAAGGAGCGCCAAGTCTCGAGGGAGTACAAAGCTAGCTTCTGGAGTAAACTGACATTTCAATGGATGGCTCCCATGATGGATGTAAGAACTCGTACTAATATGTCCCGCTTGGTCTCCCTATATTGATAGAATTATCTAGGTCGGGTACAAACGGCCCCTAGAGCAAGATGATCTCTGGCTGGTGAACCCTAATCGGAAAGCCGATAGGATGACGGGTAAGGCGAGAGAATCGTTCGAAAGACGGAAAAATAATGGTGACAAGTACCCCCTACTCTGGGCGCTCCACGAGACCTTCTTCTGGGAGTTCTGGGTCGGTGGTTTCTGTCAACTTTGCTCGTCCATTTTTCAAGTCATGTCTCCTTTCACTTTACGTTACCTCATTGAGTTCGCCCAGGAGGCCTGGGACGCATCTCAGACCGGCTCGCCACCACCGCAAATTGGCGCGGGAATAGGCCTAGTTATCGGCGTAACTGCCATGCAGATCTTGCAGAGCTTGGGAGTCAACCACTTCATATATCGCGGTATGATGATCGGAGGGCAGACGCGCGCCGTCCTGATTAGTCTCATCTTCGAGAAGTCCATGGTACTCTCTGGCCGGGCAAGGGCTGGGGGCAAGGAGGGTGTCGATAACTCAACAGAGAATGGCCAGGGGGAGAAAGGAAAAGAAAAATCAGAAAAGGACATAAAAGGAGATAAGGCAGGCATTTCTGGTGACGGCACTGGCTGGAGCAATGGAAAGATCGTGAACTTGATGAGCGTTGACACCTACCGTGTGGACCAAGCCAGTGCCATGTTCCATCTGATTTGGACGGCACCTATTTCATGCATTATAACTCTTATCGTCCTCTTGATTAATCTGACGTACAGCGCTCTGGCTGGCTTCGCACTCCTCGTGATCGGTATTCCGGCCTTGACCAGAGCAATCCGCTTGCTGTTCCGGCGCCGTGCTGCTATTAACAAGATAACGGATCAACGAGTAAGCCTAACCCAGGAGATTCTTCAGTCAGTCCGGTTTGTCAAGTATTTCGGGTGGGAAGGAGCTTTTCTCGAACGCCTCAAGGATATTCGGACTCGAGAGATCCACGCTATCCAGGTCCTCCTTGCTATTCGAAATGCCATCAATGCTGTCAGCATGTCGCTTCCTATCTACGCTTCTATGCTTTCTTTTATTACCTACTCGCTCACCGATCACGGTCTCCCAGCCGCCCAAGTCTTCTCGTCCCTCGCGCTCTTTAACGGGTTACGTATGCCCCTGAACTTGCTCCCCTTGGTGATTGGTCAGACGGTCGATGCTTGGTCGTCCCTCAAGCGTATCCAGGATTTCATGCTATCTGAAGAGCAGGAGGAGGACGTCATCTTGGAGCCCGAGGGAAAGAATGCGGTTGAGATGCACAATGCTAGCTTTACCTGGGAAAGGACGCCGAGCCAGGAATCTGAAAAGTCAGTGGTTGCTGGTGGGGACAAGAAAGGCAAGAATGGACGACCTCAGCAAAAGGGAGCGAAGCAAAACCAGAAGCCAGGCAACAATAATGGATCATCGGAGGAGAACGCCGAGGATACAGCAAGCACGCTTGTGGAGGAACGTGAGCCGTTCAAACTACAGGAATTGAATGTTGAAATTGGCCGAAATGAGCTGGTTGCTGTTATTGGAACTGTAGGAAGTGGGAAGAGTTCCTTGCTTTCTGCGCTTGCTGGCGATATGCGGAAGACATCAGGTGAGGTAGTGCTAGGAGCATCTCGAGCTTTCTGTCCGCAGTATGCTTGGATTCAGAACACGAGCGTCCGGAATAACATTCTTTTCGGGAAAGAGATGGATCGCGAGTGGTACAAAGAGGTCATTAGAGCGTAAGTCATATTGAACAGTATTAAGGGGAGGGAGATACTAACCTGTTATTAGTTGTGCTCTACAACAAGATTTGGACATGCTTCCCAACGGAGACGCTACCGAAATAGGTGAAAGGGGAATCACTATCTCAGGCGGACAAAAGCAGCGACTTAACATTGCTCGAGCCATCTACTTCGATGCTGATATCGTACTTATGGACGATCCTCTCAGTGCTGTCGATGCCCATGTTGGTCGACATATTATGGACAACGCTATCCTAGGTCTCCTTAAAGACAAGTGTCGTATCCTTGCCACGCATCAATTGTGGGTTCTTAATCGCTGTGATAGAATCATATGGATGGATGGCGGCAAGATGCAAGCGATCGACACATTTGACAACCTAATGGCGAACCACTCGGGTTTCAGGCACCTAATGGAGACAACAGCTTTGGAAGAAACGAATAAGGAAACGCCGGCTACCGTCGAAGAGAAGACAGGTGACGATAAGGACAAGAAGAAAAAGAAGCGTGGTCAGGGGTTGATGCAAGCGGAGGAGCGAGCAGTGTCAAGCGTCCCATGGTCTGTTTATATCGGTTATATTCGAGCTTCAGGAAGCATTCTCAACGCTCCTCTCACATTATCTATCCTTTTGCTTTCCCAGGGCGCCAATATCATGACAAGTTTATGGCTTTCCTACTGGACGTCAGACCATTTCGGCCTAACGACGGGAGTATATATCGGCGTTTACGCCGGCTTAGGCACGCTACAAGCCATGCTAATGTTCGCCTTTTCTATTCTACTAACCATATTCGGCACAAATGCTAGCAAGACTCTTCTCAGACAGGCCGTGTCGAGAACCCTCAGAGCACCGATGTCGTTCTTCGACACGACGCCTCTAGGTCGTATTACGAATCGGTTCTCCAGAGATGTCGATGTTATGGATAACAACTTGGCTGATGCGATGAGGATGTATTTCCTCACGTTGGCCATGATAATAACTGTGTTCGCGCTGATCATTGCTTTTTTCCACTACTTTGCTATTGCGTTAGTTCCGCTCGCTATTCTCTTCGTGCTTGCGGCATCGTACTACCGAGCCTCGGCGAGAGAAGTAAAGCGCTTCGAATCAGTACTTCGATCTATCGTATTTGCTAAATTCGGCGAGGGTCTTAGCGGCGTGGCATCTATCCGCGCGTACGGGTTAAGGGATCGTTTTATCGGCGACCTTCGAAACGCTATCGACGAGATGAATTCGGCATATTACCTAACATTCTCGAACCAGCGGTGGTTATCCGTGCGCCTGGACGCTATCGGAAACGCGCTCGTGTTCACCACGGGTATCCTCGTGGTCACGTCCCGATTCGACGTTTCACCATCGATCGGCGGTCTCGTGCTCTCGTACATCCTATCGATCGTGCAGATGTTGCAGTTCACGGTAAGGCAGCTAGCCGAGGTGGAGAACGGCATGAATGCCGTGGAACGCCTCCAGTACTACGGCACACAGCTCGAGGAGGAGGCGCCGGAGCACACGATCGACGTCCGTCCTACGTGGCCTGAGAAAGGCGAGATTATCTTCGATGACGTCGAGATGCGGTATCGTGCGAATCTGCCCTTGGTTCTTAAGGGTCTGAGTATGCACGTCCGCGGTGGCGAGCGTATAGGTATCGTGGGACGTACCGGAGCCGGTAAGAGTTCTATCATGTCGACTCTATTCCGCCTAGTCGAGATTTCAGGGGGCCACATCTACATCGACGGCCTAGACATTTCCACAATTGGCCTACATGACCTGCGCTCGCGCTTAGCCATCATCCCGCAAGACCCAACGCTCTTCCGCGGGACGGTGCGCAGTAACCTGGACCCCTTCAACGAGCACACGGACCTAGACCTCTGGTCCGCGCTCCGCAAAGCCGATTTAGTCCCCGCCGACGCAAACATCGACGACAAGGACCCTTCGCGCATCCACCTCGACAGCGTAGTCGAAGAAGACGGGCTGAACTTCTCGCTCGGACAACGACAACTAATGGCGCTAGCGCGCGCCCTAGTCCGCGGGTCCCAGATCATCGTGTGCGACGAGGCGACGTCGTCGGTGGACATGGAGACGGACGACAAGATCCAGAAGACGATGGCGGTCGGGTTCCGCGGCAAGACGCTCCTATGCATTGCGCACCGGCTGCGCACGATTGTCGGATATGATAGGATATGCGTTATGGACGCGGGACGCATTGCGGAGCTGGATTCGCCGATTGAGCTTTGGAGACGCGGGGGTATATTTAGGAGTATGTGTGATAGGAGTGGTATTCGGGAGGAGGATATTTTGATGGCTATGAGGGGGCTTAGGGGGGAGGGAGAGGAGGAGGGGGATCTGGGTGAGGATATAGGGGAAGGCTCGGGGGGGAAGAGCGAGAAGGATGATGAGGTTTAGATGATATAAAAAGCTGGACGAAGATAAAGTGATGGGTGGTGGGTGATATGATACAGACAGGACAGGATACGATACGATACGATGGGTCTTGGATAGAAGTTAATATTGGGTAGATGTGGTATATACCTAGGTAGCGATACACGGATATATATGAGGCTTAGATGTTAATATTATGCCTGGCTATGCGGTCTTGGGTGTGTTGAATGGATGGGAGTTGGTGCTGTTGGCGTTGTCGTCGTTGAAGTGATGTCTATGTCTTATATATACTTACTACGTACTAATAAGGCTATGATGATAGGCACGGTTGAAAGGATATATGTATAAGTGTCGAGGGAAATGAGTGAAGAAACGGTTTATTTATTTTTTTATAAGGGGGAAACATACAGGAAGGTAGGTAGGGAGACGTTTCCAGCTCGTTATTTTTCTTTTTTCTTGTGATATAGACGGGAGAGTTAGGTAAGTGAGAAAGAAGGCCATGGCGGAATATATTCGTACGCATAGATATATAACTACGCACGAAAGAAACAAGAGGGCCAGGGCGGTTAGAGACTTACTATATGTACATAGCCACCACGTGTAAAAGCCCAAAGACGCAAGGGATGATAATACTCGGCTTGCTTATTTATATTTGCTCCAAGTGTCCTCTCTTTGACCCGTTCGTAGCGCAGGGAATTTCCTAGTATCGCGTTTAAGCTGGTTGTTATAACTACCTAAAGTATATATTTGTATGTTATTGGTGGCACTGCTATGAAGGCTTCAGTTTATATATTATTATTGGATTACGTGGTTTTAAGTAGTCGAACTATACGGAAAATATAAGTTAAATATAGTTGTGGTACGAAGTCACATAACCGCTTTACCCAAATATGAAAATTTTAAAAACTATCCGGTTACTATTATTCAAGCCTGGTAGGTACCTAGTTATTTAATACTTAACCACCTAAGTTCTTAAGTTATGATTATATCTAAGAGGTAGTCAACTATAAAAACAACATTAAAGCATACGTACGTACATGTATAAAGTTGTCAAGTTGTAGGTATTCTTACCTGCACTTATATATCTACCTTAAACAACAACTATTTTGTATATCGGAATATACCTACCAGATCCCAACGCAAGCCATCTCACGTATACTTGCTTTTCCACACCTACCTACCTAACCTAAGTACTTACATATGCTACCTACTTGATCTGGTAGCCCTTACATGGGATCCCGCATCCCATCTGCACACAAGCGCATTCGTCATTCCTGCAGCTATCCGTCCGCAAATATGTAGATACCTACTTGCCTCACTGCCTCTCTGCCTTAGGTACATAACCTACCCAATCTACACCGGTAACCTGTTTCGCGGGTCTTTACACAACTTCCTTACATCAGGTAGTAGCAGGTAGTAGATTACACACCTAGGTACATACATGTATGAAGCACCTGTGTACCTCTACTTGTGTATCTGTATATCTACCCATCGCTCCACAGCATATGCATATAGGTACACAAACATTAGGTGCACAAACATAGGTACCTACCTAAATACCAACTACCAAACACAGCACATCCCCCCGATCCGCAAACTCCACATCTAACATCACTGCACATACAAAAACCGATGAAAATATGTATTATATTGGATAACAGCCCTCAAAAGGGGAAGACTACACCACGCCAAGTCCTATCCTACGTCTAGTATATCTCCAGCTGTAGTGACATATCAGTGACGTAGTTAGCATGTGAATCTCTGCTCTTTTCCTCTCCCTTTTTTTTTTAAAAAAAAAGTATGTAATAAGTAGTACTAAACTATGCTATACTATACTATACCGTAGTAATATATATAGTAGCACCAAGGCCGACCCAATGTTGCCTTTGCCTAAACTCCAACTCTAATGCCCATTACACACACGTACACACGTACACACGTACACGCATACGCCTTTGTTTATTTTACAGCGAGCAACGGTACTCGAGCCAGGGACCGAAACCGAACGAATATATTTGTCTGTTCGATCGATCGACGATTGTCCTCACCGCCGGATACCCAATCCCCTTTCCCCCCACTGCTTTACAAGGATTGGTTCGTCTGGCCCCGTCTCGGATCATTGCTTGGAATAATAAAAGCTTTGCCTCAGCGATATTTTGCGTGGAAGAATTTGTAAATGCCCAAACACCTTAGCCTTCCTTTTCCAGACTCCGCTGAAGCAGACTCCTTGCCAGATATCTAATGCCGGGGTTGTGATGAACTCCAGGTGTGGTGGTGGCTAGGTGGTGGGAACTGATTTTTCGGGTCGTCTAATAAATCTTCCAAGAAAGCGCTAGGTGCCCGTCCACTGGGCGGTCGATTTAGATTCAGCGAGCTCGCGCTCATGTTTCGTTGTGCTAAAGCCCCACGGGGTGCTAGACTGGGAGACTCGGGCGGAGTATGTCCAAGAGGTCGCGGGTGACCGTGTGAATCAGGCCGCAAGTTCGTTAAGCTGATATTATGACTGTGGCCCTGCGGAGAGCCTGCCCCGGCGGCATAGAAACCGGAGGGTAGGAATCGGGACTCACGATTACCGCTGGACGCAGTGGGAGCAGTGGGCGAAAAGAAAAGATTGGACTGGCTCGGGGTTTGCGAGGGGATGGGTCCCCGCGTTGTTCTTCGTACGCCACGGCCTGATCCGCCGTTACCAAGCGAGGCCGAGGATGCCTGGTCGGTATACTTGTAGAACGGAGGCGGTTGCGGCGGAAAGGTAGCCTTGTCGTTAGCAAGTTGCTGAGCCAATGCCGCCTTCTTGACCGAGCGGTGCAGAAGACAGGCGACGACCGCGCGCCATATCAAGACGGCAACCCCGAAAGCACCTAGGATGGCTCCGACTGCGATGAACACGGTGCCTTCCGGCACGCTTGACGGCTGCATAAACGGGGCATTCTTCGTAGGAGGAACGGATGGAGCGGGATAACTATATTGGCCGGGGATAGTAGGAAGCGGTCCATCATCATCGGATGAAGTTGAAGTGGTAATAGGTGGAGGAGTATCGGTGGACGAAGGCTCCGTTGTAGTACTGGTCTCGGAAGGTTCCTCGGATGTGGAAGAGTCCTCGTCGGTGTCCGCCTCGGTGTCCACCTCCGTCTCCGTCTCCGTCGGCGTTGGTGTTGGCGTAGGAGTAGGAGTTTGTGTTGGTGTAGGAGTTGGCGTCACGTCGCCCGTCGTATCGTCATCATTATTATTCCCTTGGGCGATGACGTTAGAGGCGAGAAGGGCGACTAGAGCGAAGAGAAAGGGTTGCGTGCGCATGATGGGCGAGTTGGCGAAACAAAACAACGGGAGTAGTAATTAAGCGAGGGAAGGGTCTCGAGGTCGTTTATTATGCGCAATCGCGAGCGCACGGGGAGTATAGGTGATGGGTACTAGTATTCAAATGCTGTCGGATACAAAGTTTACTCTGTCGTGATTGTGGCTGAGCGAAGACACGATCATCTGGAGTCTCTCTCGTATTTGGCCCCAACTCAATTACGCAAAGGGAAAAAGGCGCCCCCAGCTTAGACACGAACGAGGGTTCAAAAAGAGGTCAAGTTACGATTGTAAGTTTATAAAGAAAAAAAAAAGAATGTGGGTTTTAACGACGGACGAGAAATAATGTTGATTAAAAAAGTTTATGAGTTTTGCATTGTTGTTGTTTATTGCCGATTTCCTTATGAGCCTCCCACCACTTCGTTTCGCTGATGTCTGGCGAGATGGTGGATGGTGGTGGATGGACGATGGGCAATGAGCGATGGGCGAATGGGCGATGGATAATGGATAATGGATAATGGGGACGAGGGACCAACGAGAAAAGGAGGAGAAAGCTAAGAGGATAACTAAGCCAAAAAAGCAGGCACGTTCCATGCACCATGCTTCTATGCTCCATGCCCCATACGAACCTAACCTAGTTTAAAAATCCAAATTGAGTGAAGACGAGATGAGAAAAGGCTCGCGTAAATGATCTAAGTGTACTAGTACCTCATTAGTACACATTACTAGCACATCTTACTACGTAGTACCTACCTAATAGGATACCGCGTGGCTGGTTTGACTTAACAAGCGCCGCCTAAATTGTGTCAAAACCCCATCGCATCGTACAAGGGGTCTTGATGGATGTACAAAGTAGGTACAAAGTAACAGTACATTATAGACTTACATGCGCGAAGCACGGCATCGGCGAATATGGAAGCCCGCAGCTACATACGTTGTGCGACTCGGTAGTACGGCGCACAGCAGCTATGGACATGTAGCCACCCTGCCCCCCGAACGATTGAATCTATCAGAGTACATGTACGCAATTGCAGGTGCTCACTTCCACCATGTATGCAATTCCTCACTTAAGTACATATGGACTTGATCTAAGATTTCCGATACACAATAACCTAGAACACTTTCAAATTCCACGTGGTGGCTCTTCGTTCTAGACGTAAATGTGAGACATCCCCAGCCCATCTTTAAGTGAGAACCAAAAAAAAAAACTGGCTAAGACGCAATCGTCAAGTGGGCTGGTAGGTAAAAAGTATTGGTACATGCGATGACTTACATAAGGTACATACATTACCTAATGTACCTAATGTACATCAACGCGTCGGAACGTGCCCGCGCACTGACCAAGTTTAGACGTTAAGATTAGCAACTTGAACTTTGGGTAGTTAACTACTTTAGGTACTTACATAAGGTCCGGCGAAACATTAGCAGCGGCTAATCTGATATTCCACTTCCCAGGGCGGTCAAGATTTTCCCATTGGGCGGCAGATTTCCAATTATCTTGATACTCAGACTTGCCCACCAACTTTGACCTTGCTTGACGTACCCGTGCGAATTCAAGTCCCTCGCGCCCGCAATCGAAAATACTATACGGATCCGAGACAAGAATTACTTCAATCATGGGTGTCGCAAAGAAGACGCGCAAGTTCGCCCAGGTCCGTCCCATCCACCTCCCCACCCACCACACTCACCATCATATCATCTAGATATCCCCTTATCGATAAGCACCAAACAGCATCACCACCACCAGTATGTATACTAACCCGCCATCCAGGTCAAGCGCATAATCTCGCGCCGCGACGCGCGCCTCAAAGAAAACCAGACCAAAGCCGCCGACAAAGTCGCCGTCGCCGCAGCCGCCAAACCCTCAGCCACGGGCGACGTCGTCCGCCGCGAAGTCCCGCAGCTCCCCTCGTCGCTCTTCTTCCAGCACAACGAAGCCCTGGTACCCCCCTACAGCGTCCTCGTCGACACCAACTTCCTCAGCCACACCGTGCAGCGCAAGCTGCCGCTCCTCGAGTCCATGATGGACTGCCTGTACGCCAAGTGCACCCCCATCATCACCAGCTGCGTCATGGCGGAGCTGGAGAAGCTGGGACCCAAGTATAGGATTGCGCTGAGGATTGCGCGCGACGAGAGGTGGGAGAGGTTGCCGTGTGATCATAAGGGTGTTTATGCTGATGACTGCATTGTCGATCGCGTTATGTAAGTCTGATTTCGAGTCTTTGGATCGGCTGTGTGGTGGTGTCGATATAAGTCAAGTAAGTTAGTAGCTGACCACAACCGAACAGGAAACACCGCGTATACATCGTCGCGACCAACGATAAGGACCTCTGCCGCCGGATACGCAAGATCCCCGGTGTCCCTATCATGAACGTAGCTCGGGGGAAATACGTGATCGAGAGATTGCCCGGCGCTCCTCAATAGTGAGGATCTATAGTTATAGGACATATAATACATACGCATGCATAGCTATTTAGAGGCATCCGGCGTTAGGGCAGACATTATTATATCAAGTTAGGTTGGCTTAAGGCATACCAGACGGCGTTAAAGGCAGATAAAAGCAAAAGCAGTCAATTCAATTCAATTCAAGGAAGGCTACAATACAAATTAAACGTTGCTAATCAGACGTGTGTGCTCGATAAAAATCATGTTGAATAACGGCAATGCAATTATTATCCTCATCTCATTTCGGGGGTCGAGGCCACCTAGGATGGGTTTCTATGTACACTGATAACCTCGTTCCGTTGAAGGGTCTCTTATACCCAACAGCTCTCGTCGTAAAAGAAAACCACCGGGTATAAATGGGTGGTTAGTTACCTTTTTGATTCTATAGTCCACGTCACTGCCACACGCACACACATGAAGTGCAGTCATACCGTGCCGTTCCACTTCCTGAAAAGGGCTCGAGAGAAAAGAAAAGAAAAAAGGCCGCGCAAGAACGCCATTGCCCCCCGTCTCCGGTGGAGAAAAACAATCGACTACTGTACACCCCTTTTTTGTTGCGCCCTTCGGCGAGAGCTTACTCCTTAGATGCATATATATCAAGGCGGACATCTAGAGGCGCGCCACCTTGAGATGAAGAGGATCAAAATGCAGTAAAAACCGCCCCGCGCCAGACAAATGTGTAACAAATATGCCGTTCCAACATCGGACTGCAGGTCATTAGGAGGACTAATTGAGGAAACCTTTGCAAGCCGCAGTTCCGCAGAGGCAGGGTATACGATCCAAGCTCCCTATTTCTCTCTCAAACTTGTAGTCGTATGTCAATTCCTCGTCTATACAAGTTTTTGTTAGTACCGTATGAAACTATTAGATGGGTATCTGCGAACTTACTCTGAGCAATATCTCGCAGGGCATAGATGACAATCCTCTTACTACCCTCCACCTTGATAATCTTGGCTGTACAGTTTGGCATGCAGCTGTGGTTGATGAAACGCGCAATGCCACCCTTCTTCGTTGCGTCGATGACCGTGCTGTCGTCGATACGGAAGAGGTAGCTGCTACCAATGCCACTCTTGAGATAACGGTTCTCCCGAATCTCGGAAATGGACTGTCGAACCTCTTCGCCGACATACTCAATGATCATGTCATCCTTGTTAATGTTCTCCATCGCGTAGAGACCCCAGTTATGAATGGCAGAACGAGCAAATTTGACCGGCTTCTTCCGCTTCTTAAGCTGGTTGAATCTAAGAACCTCCGAGTCCTGACCTAGAGTTCTCTTCTGATCGTTCAGGTCGGCGACAAAACGGCGATTGTTGACACGATTTGCTCTCGAGTTGCCCTTTGCTAATAACTTCTCTGCTGCAAGCTTCGCCGCTTCCGCTGCTGCAGCTGCGGTGTCTTTGCCGTCTTTCTTGGCTGCGCGGAGCTGTCGCTCTTCCCTCGCCTTTTGGACCTTGATATGATGAGGAAGATATTTAGACTTCTCCGAGTTGAGGATCTTCTTCACGCCTTCCGTACGAGCACACCCAGTAGGGTTTGGTACGTAATAACCCTCAATGGTAATGGGTTCATCAGGTGATGACTTGTCAGTGTTAAGCTCCCGCACGCGATTGTGCCTCCATACCCAGAGTCTGGGATCGCCGACATCAACAGGCTTAAATTTCTTCTTTAACTTGCCAACATCAGGATGATCTTTCGGTTGGAGCTCAATCTTTGACATGGATTTGACCGACAAAGTAAATGGTTCTGGAAGGGCCATTGCTGGGAGTACCGCATCAGAAAAGCGCTCGTCCTTTAGAACTGGTTTTTCTATTGCTTCTTGCACGGCTGGCTTTTCTGACTGCTCTTCAGGCTCTTGGGTCTCTTCCTTGTTCGTTTGCTCCAAAGCTTCCTCAACGTATGCTTCCTGTTGTTGCTTCTTCATGGCCTCACGCTCTTCGAAAAGCTGCTTCTTGGTCTTCTTCTTAGGCTTTGCTATGGTCATCTTCTTCCTTCCCTTGACAGGCTTCTCGGTCGGTGTGGGCAGCTCGGTAGGGTTAAGACTCTTGGTATTGTCACGTCCAGCATCGGGCATAGGCACGTCGTCGGTTGGACTTGGGAATTCACTCTCAAGCGTATCAATGGTAACACCAAAAAGCTCTTCGTCGGACTTCTTCTGTCGCTTGATAGCAGCTTCGATATGCAAGTCGAGCTTCCGCTTCTTTGCTTTAATAGGTCCATCGTTGACAGGGAAACTAGCATCTGTCATGGAGTCTTCATCACCGAAGCCGTCTTCGAAGACATCATCCTCCGTACTCAATCGGCTACGAGGGCGCGAATCTGGCTCTTCGGCATCACGAGCAACAGAGTCGCGATTCTCGGTTTCATCTTCGGATGCCTCGTCATCGCTATCTGGAGGCTGCAGCCGATGGTGAAGAGAACGGAAGGCATTGTGTACCACAGAAGATCTTTTGCGCGCAAACGGGTCCGTAAACCCATAGTTCCGCTGCGCAGCACCTTGACCTTTAGCTTTCCTGATACGGGGTAGAGCAGTAACATCGAGACGAGCAGTACGGCGTTCGATCGGGTCGGCTCGCGAATTGGGAGTACTAATCGGAGTTTCGTCGCGCTCTTCGACGCTGACAGCAAGTCGGGATGAGCCAGCCGGGTTCTCGAGGTTCAATCTTCGCCTTTTAGCTACATGATTGTTTGGGTCTAGAAATGTAAATAGGGCAGGTATAGCGACTTTAGTCCTAATATGTCTGATTAAATGCTCCTTCATCTCGCGACGGACAACTTCAACAGCCTCAAGTACGGGATCGAAGTTCTTCGCTCTTTGTTTTTTCTCTTCTTCCAAAACTGCTTCTTCGTCGCGACGTCGCTCGTCGCGGGGTCTATACTGGTGTTCGTCTCTATAGCGGGTATCTGCCAATGGCCTCTTTTCTGGCTCGCTTCTTCGTAGAGGACCAGTAGAGTTGGAAGATCCTGATATAGTAACTCCATGGAGCTTCATTGTCATAGTATAGGTGAAGAAGGCACTGCCATCTGCTGATCTGAAGCACCGGTAGGCCTCATCGCGACCGAAGGTAGTATTGGGGAAGATTATATAGTAACCAACGCGGTCGGCTCGTATGTCCTCAAATTGGAACGCCTTCAGGCGTTTTTTCATATGAGGTACCGTTGTAATCATCACCGGAACGCTAGAGTCGGGAACAAATACGTATGGTTCGCCTTTGAGGGTAGCCGGAACAGGTTGCATATCGACCGACATGGAATAAGCCTTAGGCTTCGTCGGTGGTGCCCAGGCAGGCTCTGTTCCTCCTAGTGAGGGTCGTTGTCGATCGGCAGCAGGACCTCTCGGGGCAGCAGGAGGCGCTCGGCTGAGCAGCTCGGGAGGCATTAGCCTTGGACCAGTAGGTACAGGCGGCGTAGCAGTTGCACGCTTCGCTTCGACTTGATCCTTCTTAAGGATAGTCTCGAGCATGAGTCTACTTTTCTTGCCATCCCGATCAAACTCTACCTTTATATGGTTCGCCTCGATCTTCTTGCCGTTCATGGCCCTAGCAGCTCTTCTTGCGGCATCGATGGCCGAGATGGGAGGCCGTCTTGGTTGCTTCGAGTCTCGGTATCGAAAGGTCGCAAAGCCCAGATAACTGCCTGTGTGAGGATGCATCTTATTGCTACTCTCAGCAATATCGCCAAACGAGGTGAAAATAGTCACGACCTTAGAGAAGGCGATCAGGGGGTTAAATCCGCTGACGACGATCTGGGTTGGCGGCCCAGGGCCAATAGAGGTGGCAGCATCATACGGGTACGGCTTAAGATTATACGGAGTTTGGCGTAGCCTCGCCTTAGGTAGATGGAAGTCGACATTGATGTAGTCAAGCCAGCTACCCTTGGATAGGCGAGGGTCTAGAGGGGGAGCGTCATCTTCCTATTCAGTGTATTAGCCAAAGTTCTCACGCAAAGCAGATGACGCTCCCCCTCTATCCATATAATATATTATACGTACCAAGCCGATATTCTTGTATTTGGGTTTCAATGTTTTCCTATCGCTCGAAGACAAGCTCTTGTCGGTTGAAGGATCGTGTATGCACTTGGTTCCCTTTATAGTAAGGTTAGGGTCTCGAGCTGGGAGGCGCTTGACGACGCTGGGAAGACTAGACGACGACCCCGTGGCCATTGTGGGATTCGTACTATCAGATCTGCTGGTAGTATTGTGAATGGCGGAGGTGCGCTGCTTCGCGGCTTGTATATGTGGGGGGTTTGTGGGCGAGCCCGATATAGTAAGAGGAGTGAGGTTGCTGTTGGATGCGCGTGAAGAAGCATTTAAGGCAGCGGAAGAATTGAAGGTGGTGAAAACAGAGGATGCGGTACTCGCATGGGAGCTTGCGGAACCAACACCATTGAGGATATCCCCTTGCAAGGACTCGGTATCATCTGTCGGGGGATGTGCGGCATCAGACAACGATGAATCGTACTTGGCGCCATCGCGGTGAGCAGGTGTTGCCGTTTTGGAATCATGTTCGATAGCTTCTGATGTCCTCGAGGACTTCTCGCGTTCCCGTTCATTAGCCTTGTCTCTGGCAGCGCGAGGAGCGTTAGGAAAGAACTCCTTATAACCAGCGCTAGGAGCCATGATTCGGAGGGTCGAAGTTGGCGGCTCCGACTATCCACCGACCATCATATCTCGAACCGGCAATGGTCGAAAACACCATTCATTTATGACGCGAAAGGAGGGTGTGTGATGGATGTACTGAAGTCGGGGGTGGAGGTGGTAGGAGGATACGCGAAACTTCTGCGTCCACGCGACAGGATCGGAGATCTGACGTGTGGACTCGTCAAAAGACAAGTATCTTGGTCTTGACGACGTGGAAGGCGAATAAAGAAGGGTATATGACTAAAAGCCAGCCCAGTACGGTCGCAAATAAATGTAGAATGTGTGCCTATGAAATTTGCACCGGCGAGGTCGAGACTGGGCCTTAGTTGAAAAAGGACGGGCGGCAGATGGAGAATGAAGAGGCTGATGCCGAAAAGTTGAATTGGCGGTTGATGGGCAAAGCCAGATTCTGATTTCAGGGATGGGGCCAACCTAGTCCGGGGGACGGTAGCCACACCTGAGCCACATCTCTGTTCTGTTTTTGTCCTCAGGTCTATCCGAAGGATGTATGTTTCGTAGCCGCACTTGTACCTACATGTGGCGTTGCTAGGCAGCTAGGCTACATTAGGTACGTGCATAAGTCTGTATTGGCAGTCGGAACTTCCTCCTTATGCATTACAACGTCACCACTATTTGTTATTCGCTGTTTTCTGCCTGCATGTATCGTGAACAATCATCCAGAGCGAATAGAATCGGCTTTGTCCGTCAGATCCAGAACCTGATGCGACTCCTTTTTACCTAGTCAGGCACCCGCCTCAGAGTGATTTGACTATCTACTATTCAATATGCATCTCTGCCTTCAGGGGCTGCAAGGGTTCTACCAAGGACTGTTGAGCAGAAAATTGTAGCCTAATTCAACTGAGGCTTATAAGTAATTACTAGGTACACTGGTATTCTATAGGTATAAAATAAGATATTTTAATATCAGCTCTAGATAAGAGACGAATCTAGTCAAAGAAAAACTCACGAAGAGTTATTTGATCTAAAATTACTCATTGGGACACATGTTGATAAATATTCTTGTAATTCTTATCTTCTAGCAGTCATTCAAGCCTCCACGTCAGCCAGACACACGGCCAGAGCAATTGCTATTTGTAGATAACTATAACTGGTGTGTGGCTCAGCCACTTGTCAGGCTTCTAAACGGAAGCACCGGAAAATCTTGAATAATACAAATATATAATCTCTGATCTGATTTTAGAAGTTCGCCTAATCCTTCGATGCCAAAGTATTTTTTGCACAATTTAACTAAAGAGTGAACTGAGCGTTTGCAGGGCCAACTTAAGACATAGGTATATTCATTAAGGCTAGCCAACCTAGCTCACTAAATGCAACTTGATCTAGGACCGGTGTTTGAAAGGTCTCATTACATAGTATAGGTAGAATACTGTAACCAACTGCCTTAATGAACTATCAATACAAGAAGAGCCTTAATACTGTCAGAGGCATTTTTTTCTGCATGTAGTAAAGTCTAATGCGCACGCGAGCAGACGCCAACTCCATTTCATAAAATCAACCACCGACTCCTATTATAATGTGCATGGCAGGAAACTTCTAATCAGCAAGTTTGAACTCGAAATCTTCGTCTTCGTCCACACATGGACCTTTGAGCGTACTTCCCGCGAGGAGATCGAAGTCATCGTCGTCCTCGTCCTCCTCGGGGTTGAAGATGGAGAGGAATGGAACCCTCTCCTTCCACTCCTGATCTTCGGCCGCGACTACAGCTTGTGTGTGAGCGTATCGAGCAGGAGTGATAGTTCGGTCAGACTCGTTTGACAACGTCGTGTTAGTACGGGAAAATCCAGTCTTTGATGCAGGTCTTTCGGGCTTCGTGGTCCCCTGAGCAAGTATCGAGGCAGTAGATCGACCTTTGTTATAGCCAATTGTAGTTCGTGAATTTGCCTCGATCTCCGTGGATGTTTTCCTAGGGAGTACCTGGGACTGGGTGCCGACTTGTCGTCTGAAGCTAGGTATAGGAAGAGATGTAGTCTTCTTGGCCGGGATTCTACTGACTTCCACGGGCCTTGCTGCCTTTCGCTGTAGTGACTTAGTCGTATCATCTATCGATAGAGCTCTAGCAGCCTTCTTTGCTTGAATAGTGGATGGCGCCCTGTTCATCGCCGTTCTCTTAACCCCGAGAGGTGCTCGAGTTGGAACGAAGGTTGCCTTATTAGTGGTCTCCGGTTCTTCTTGAATACCCCACTCGATGCTGTCGATATCTTCCTGGATGCGCCTGTCGCATTCCTCCATGGCCTTTCGGTTTCTCTCTTCCAACTCTCTGTCAGCCAATGAGACGCCATTCTCATCAACAGGGTTAAAATAATGGTCATAATAGCCCTTGAATAAGTTCTCTGGTTTTAAGGCGTCAAATTTGAGGGCACCATCAGGAAACACGTCAGACTCATAAGGGAGGTCCTTCGGTTTAGGAGGACAATATTCAATCTCCTCTTCACTTAGCGAATCCGCCCCTTCGGCGTGAACTACTAACTTCTGTAATTCGGCTTGCGGTTGCTTCTGCTTGGGTCGAATAGTTCCCGGTGCCTTGCCCTGGGACTTTTCTAATTCGCGAGCAGCGCTCTTAACAGTAATTGCCTGCGAACCCTTTGCTTTTGCGTTGGTAGTCTTGTCACCCAAAGGTGCTCTGCTACGCGGACCTACTCTTATGCGTTAGTCTCGAGAGAAAATATGACAACTTCGAGGGTTAAACAATAGCAGAGCGCATACCTGAGGGCGTGGCAAGGTTGGACTTATTCACACTTTTGCCTCCTTTGGTTGTGAGTGTATTCTCATTGCCTCTTGATCTACCACCGAGGATGCTCTTGGCACCACCTGCACCGTTTTCGTCATTTAGAGGGACTTTAATAGGTGTGTTCGCATATCTTGCACCGGGTGTCTTGGGCTGGAGTTGGCGCTTCGCTTGCCCTTGCTGCTGCTTCAGGGCAGCACCATTCTGGTGGCTAAAAGCCAAATTCTCTTGATCTCGGGCCGCTAACATCGTGGGCAAGGTTGACTGAGAAAATAGGCGGCAAATACGCTACTGTTACCTGTGAGAACTGGATGCGATGTCGTAATTGCTGTATGTTTACGTCTATATTGTTGAGGAGAGCCGACTCCCCATCAGCACAGACTTCTGCTTTAGCAACAAACAAAATCCAATGATTGGTAGCGTAATGTGAAGTTGGAGAGTAGTATTCGGCGGTGGACAATTATTGATGAAATGGATCCATTGTTTGCCTCGTTCTCATTTCTTTAAGAGAATGGTTTGAATGTTGTTCTAACTTTATTTGGGTGGAATGGCAGTTGCCAAAGCAACTAAGATTCGGTACATAGTGACATAGGCCCCTTCCGTTGCCATGCAATTATGTACAGTGTGGGTTTAAAAATTAATACAGTACGTTTCTAACCAAATATTACGAGGTAGGCCCACATGTGATAAAGCTAGAGGCACTGTGCGCCCAAAACAAATCATGAGACGGGTCCCTCTATCCCCTATCGGTCACTTTCCAGGGCAATAAGCAATAGGGAAGGCGGGGCAATCTAGTACCAACCCACTCGCCTTACATATGAAATTCCACGACTATTCAACAAGCTCCTTTTCCCTTATTCTCTTCAAAGTCTCTAGCCTCCCTTCGTTGTCTACCTAATCCAGCACCTAACCTGCTTCACCGATCGTCCCAATAAACCTTCTTGTCTTTTCCCTTTAGCTTTACTTCTAAGCACCCATCCCAAAATGGCGGACCGCATCAGAGAGGTGAGTTGATCTATCTCTCAGATTTCCCCCTTTACCCCACCATCAAGCAGAGCGCGATATCAAAGGGGTACTCGAGACCAAACTACAAAGTCCAGCAACGCAGCATTATGAAGCATATTTTTATATATAAACATCGATTTACGATGATATTAACATCTATCTTTTTTGTAGAGAATGAACCAGCTCCGTCTGGAGGCTGACGAGTCTGCTGCCAAAGTCGAAGAGTTACAGACTAAAGTCAAGGCTCTCGAGCAGGAAAACCTCGCCAAGGAGCAAGAGATTACCTCCCTCTCCCACAAAAACGGTCTCCTCGAGTCTGAGAACGAGAAGCTCGACACCACTATCAAGGATTTGAAGAAGACGGCCGATGAGGGCTTGCAACATGGTACGCACAACGAGACCCTTCAACGAAGACTTCAGCTGCTTGAGGAAGAAGCCGAGGAGGCAGACAAGACCCTCCGTGAGACAAATGAAAAGTAAGTCGCAAAACGCGCTCGAGACACTTGGGGGTTTTACGGGGTTCTAACAGTCACAAACTATAGGCTCCGCCAGACTGACGTGAAAGCCGGCCATTTTGAGCGCAAGGTACAGGCGTTGGAGAACGAGCGAGACCAGTGGGAGACGAAGTACGAGGAGATGTCCAAGAAGTACCAGGGTCTCCAGAAGGAGTTGGAGGACCTCCAGGCCGAGATCAGCAACATTTAGGGCGGTATTACTTTCGTCGAGACCGGTGTCGCGAGACGTCGAGGCTGTGCCTTAGAGGCCAAGGATTTCTTTTTTCTTACCAGCACTGGCACTATGTCAACTTATACGGCGGAGGCCTGGCTTGATCGACCGACCTTACCGACAATTTTGAAAGGGACAGAAATGTCGCGGTGGCAGTTGAAGAGAAGTCAAGTTTAGGGCATGTTTATTTGGTGGACGTTTTATGTTGGTATTTGCTGCAGCAAAGCCCGCGAGACGGATAGGGAATGCGCTAATCAACCACTTGGTTTCTTTCTAATCTTGGCTGCTTTCTGTTTCCTCTGGTTCAGTTGCCTATCCGCCTTGGACTCGTATCTGAACTTCGGTTTCTTCTTCTTGGGCGGCCTGGCTTTCTCCTTGCTTCCTGGAGGAGCATGTTCCGAGTCTTGCTTTGCTGTCTCTTGATCCTCCTCGCCCGAGTCCTCTGGTTTAGTGCTCGACAATCCATCCTTAGACACACTGACCGACTCTATTGTGACCGTAGTATACCGCTCTTCGTCAATGTATTCTTCCTCGTGATCAACGGGTTCTAGTGCAGGTGTATCCTTAAACCCTCCCCATTCGTCTGCTTCATCGTTTGAGGCTTCTTCCCCTCCCACGTAACCTGCCTCTTGTGCTTGCTTTAGGATAGCATTGACGTTTTGGACATGCTCTTCGACTTCTCTCTTTCGATCTTCCCGTATCTATAGAAACGACTCGTATTAGCGACCTAGTAGTTCTGACTTTCTCAATAACAAATACACAAATACACTCCACATGCCTTCTTTCTAATCTCGATCTTTTCCTGCCTGGCCCTCTGAGCAGCCTGTTCCTGCGCATTCTTTATCCTTTGCAATTTGCGCTTATGGAAGCCGGTCAGATAATCGGAACGAGCATCGTTATCAAATTTGATCTCTTCGATCAAATGCTGAGCCTTGCGTTTCTTCGGCGGCGGTACGAGTAAGCCCTTCTTTGGCCGTGGGCGTGCAAACATTTTATTTTTCCAATGCGCAAAGACAAAAGACAAAGTTGATCAAGAATAAGTGTATAAGATAGAAAGTTCGATTTTAGATCGGAGCAGAGGCCGGGCAAAAATCTAGGGGATATCAAAGTGAAAGTGTTGATTGTAGCTCGAAGCCACTGTGATAGGTAATAAATTTTAGCGACTTGGACCGTTGCGTCCAGTTCATTAATCTATCACTATCTGATTGGCCCCGCCTTGCATATTGGCGGCCAGCCTGCTAAGTTCCAGCACATTTAGGGACCCTGCAGAGGCCTACAAGCCCCCCAAATGACGCCGTAACCTGCACCCGGAATTTCATAGGCCGGAACATGCCGCGTCTCTAAAACAGGTCAAACGTCAACTTCCAAAGAGCTTCACTTTAGCTCAAGCCCCGTCTTATTTCATCTATTCAACCATAAAGCATTTTCGCAAGACGCCCGACATCACGATGCGTCTTTCTCGGTCTGCGGCAGCGCTGGCAGCGTGCTGCACTTCTGCGCACGCCTTCTCCGACTCGTCCCCTATCGTTATGTTCTCTAGTGCTAGGTACGCAACACGACTCTTATCATCCCTTCGCCTCGCATGGACGATGTAGCTAATCGCGTGTATTCACCAGCCTGGATGTGCCGGCCAACGGGGAATTAATACAATCGAATTCCGAAGTCCTTGCGACTCTTCAAAAGGCTCTCAAGAGCTGCCCGACCGATCGATACCTCATTGTCTCGCAACCAAACCTCAACAGGGCCAACTTGGTCGGGGATGCAGTACCGAACCTCCTCCGTTATCATGACAAGGCCCAGAGTCGCTACTCACTCCCAGAGGTAATTGGGGAGTTGAATACGGACGATGTAGTAGCATTCGTTAGGAAGTCCTGTGAAGGAAGATCGCAACTATTTGTCGACCAACTCGAATTAGCTCCTTTACCATCCGTTAACGACGCTCACGCATTAGGGGAAAACGGTAAATATAATTATTGGACTCTCTCTGAGGATACAATGCTGATGGGATATAGATGACGAACTCGGAATGGTGCTGGAACAGTTCGATAGGGACGGTTCTTACACGGTTATCTACGCCGGTGCTCCGCGAAAGGAGGTGCCCCCGACCTACACGGCCGTGTTCCAGGATGGCGTACCCGCGGAATTGAAGAGAGACGTACATTCTGTTCAGCAGAGAGCTCTTAATGACACCAGCAACCTACCTCTATTTGAGAAGTACCAGTACTTCTCACCAGGTCAGTCCAGTTACCCATTGCAGATTCGTTCCGATACTAACCAAACAACAGGCATCTTCACGGCTCTCATCGCTCTAGTCATCCTCCTATCGATTCTCTACGCCGGTATTGCTGCAGTCGCCAGCCTCGAAGTTCCCTACGGCGCATTCGACAAGGTGATGGGTCCTGCCGCGCATAAGAAGCAGTAGATAGACGATACACGTAGGAAAGCGGTCTAGTCGGTAGATGTATCAAGGCTGCGTATAATTTGAGCAGTGTGTACGAATTACTATTGGGTCATCGGAGTCAGGGTAACGGGTAGCATCACGGAAGAAGTCGAATAAGACTGACTTCACCAAGCAAGCAAGGTATACATCAATATCATTTATCGAATCGGAAGGAGACTGTAGTGTAGATATAGGTATATGCAACTAGAATTGACCACGGCCTTTTCCTTTTCCCTTTCTCCTCGCCCCTTTTGAAGGTTCTCTCCGCCGTGCCTATAGAGTAACCTCATAGGCCAGATGTAGTTTTCGCGCCTCAGCTTAACTCCGGAACGCCCACCCAAGCCTTATGTGCTTGTAGTCGTCTAGATAGATTCCAAATAGTAGCACAGTTCAGTGCCCACTTGCCATGCCTCGCCTTGCCTCAAGCTCCCCCGTCCTAGCAAATGCTAACAATGCTAAACCAGGTGACTCGGCAAAAGAAAGTTGGCGATGCCCTCACGGACGGCATACTCGTGGCCACAGTTGGCGCACACGAGCTTGCCCTCCATGATCTGCGTCTCCATGAGCAGGTTGTGCAGGTCCTTCATCTTCTGCTCGTCGCCTTGTAGCTCTTCCACTGATGGCGCTTGAGGCGGTAGGGCTGGGAAGCCGAGCTAGAAATTTTTTAGTTTTGGATTCAATAGGCCCTTATTTACTTTACTTGTTCACAGGCTTATGAAGTGATTTAAAAAGAGCTTAAGAAAAGTTACATACTTCGGTAGCCGTCGTAGACAAAGCTGTCCAATCGATGCGGGGCAGTACATTGAGCAGCAGTTGGGCATTCACCTCGATATCGTCCTGCACCAGCTCTGCATCTTTGGGATGAAGGGGATACGAATTCGAGGAGCTTTTGCACGCCTTGACCGCGCAGGTCAGGAAATTAAGACTGAGGACCTTCATCTTGATGTAAGAAGTTGAGGTTATGTATAAGACTCGACAAGAATTTTTTCAAGTTCGTAAGGTCTAGAAATTGACCCGGCGCAAATAAAATTTAACGATTTTTACAAGTCACACGTGATGGGAGACGACAATAAGAATAACGAGCACAACAACTACGCTTAATAAAATAAGACATCATTTTTATCAGATATGCCATATATTTTTCATTTGAAAGAGTAAATAACCACAAGTCTAAGCCATCGTCTTCTCGTAGGCAATGTCGTCCCGGTCGTTTCTCCTCTTCGACAGGCGAATGTAGAAAGCGATAGCAGCAAGAATAACACCGAAAAGAAGAGCCTTCTGGAAAACGGACCATTCAGCAGAGAGAGCAGCAGTCTCGTCAACTACGGGTTTCTCCTGTTCGGTTGAATGTCCCGAAGCCCATTCGGATTCTCCTTGATTATCTGGAACCAGGTGGTAGACGCATCAGTAAGAAAACGACGGAGACAGGCGGGACGAATACAGTGGTTTGGGACTTGTGCTTATAGCTCAACGTGGATACCTTCAGGCGGCACCTCGAGCTCTCCGCTCTTGGCAATCTTGATTTCCTTCTCGGGCTTGTCGCCGGGCTTAGTCTTGACATTCTCAATCTTCTTGACAATGTCCATGCCCTCCAACACTTCACCGAATACAACGTGTCGGCCATCCAGCCACCTAGTATACGGTTAGTTTATTACGATACTCTAACATTATCTTCATGTTCATTGTTAAATTGGGAAGCCTTACGAGGTGATAACGGTGGTGATGAAGAACTGAGATCCATTGGTGTCCTTGCCAGCGTTCGCCATGGAGAGGAGACCCTCCTTGGAGTGCTTTAGCTTGAAGTTCTCGTCGGGGAACTTCTCACCGTAGACTACAGAGGCAAATAATTAGTACATTCTCTTCCCCCCGTTGAACAAGAGTATTAGCACTTACTCGACTTGCCACCAGTGCCATCACCCTTGGTGAAGTCACCTCCCTGGATCATGAACTGCTTGATAACTCGGTGGAAAGTAGATCCTTCGTAACCAAAGCCCTTCTCGCCGGTAGCAAGAGCTCGGAAGTTCTCGGTGGTCTTGGGGACGGTCTTGCCGTAGAGACCCATGACAATTCGGCCTAGAGGCTCATCGCCGTGTGTGATATCAAAGTAGACCTTGTGAGTAATCTTAGGTCCCTTGGTGGCGGCGGCCGTCTGGGAGAAGCAGATGACACTTACACCCACCAGCAGTAGGGCGCTGGCGAGAAGTCGGCGGAGGTTAAACATGTTTGTTATATAGACTGCCAAGACCAGTCAGGCAGATTGAAAGAAATCAATTGAAGTATGATGATGGTAAATGCCCAGGGGAAATGGCACTATTTCAAAGACGAGAAATAGGATGAAGGATTGGAAAGGACACAGAAGCTCAATTAAAAGGCGACGTTTCAGTGCAGGAGCTGTCGCAACGTTCTAAGACCCCTGAACTACCTAAACGGAGCGACCTAACAGCGAGACAGATAGCGGCGGTTGAATGCGGGGTCCACTACACTAACCGGTTAGAAGCCTATCAACTTATCGACCAGCTTATGTATCTAACAAAGGAACTTAGCCTAAGAGGTACCTACCGATAACACTTCTCAAATTCGCGATTAGCTAATGACCAGTGCCGACGATCTAAACCAATTATGCGCAATTGGTAGAAAGCCTTGCCCTGCCCGTCGCGAACTTGGAGGGGAATATCACGACCATATTCAACAGAGGCCCTTGCTAACTTTGCCCAAGATGGTGAGCTCTCTGAAGCCAATTTTTCACTTACCATGGAATATAACCACTAACCAAACTCAGGTGTTCATAATGGGAGTGAACTTCCACGAGAAGAAACTCGTCAGGGTAAGCTTCCCTCCAAATCCACCACTCCACAAGAAGAAGCCGCAGTCCTAATTCAAGGAACCGTACAGAAAGCCCTCGAGAGCTTCTACGGTCTAGGGCCGCAGCTATCCGCGCGCATCATGGCCAAGTACACAATCCACCCTCTAGCCCGGATCGGCACAGTCGCTCCCAAGACAGTCACAGCCCTAACAGCCGAACTATCGACGATGACGATAGAAAACGACGCCAGGAGGATAGTCCAGGACAACATCAAGCGGCTGCGAGATATGGGCACGATTAGGGGAAGGAGACATGCTATGGGTCTGCCGGTGCGCGGACAGCGGACGAGGAACCAGATCGAGACGGCGAAGAAGCTGAATACCCTCGAGAGAGGAGGCACGTACTCCAAGATTTAAAAAAAGACGGCATGCTATTCTTGGGGGTATTCCGCGTGGCATTGCGGGAATAAGCTGCTGTTGGCCCCATTGAAGTCATTAGGGAAAGGCGTTAATGAGAGGTTTGCGACGCATTTTCGGTCGTCTTCAGCCAGGACCTATTCCGGTATATAAGCCTAGGGGTATTGTTCCTTGTACATTTAAATGTAAACATTTACATATTACATTTCAAGAGGACTAAGAATCTCCTTGAGAGGCAGTACATGAACTGGCGATTTCGGTTTATAACCCCCCAGTTCCGTCGAACAGGAGCTATCGTGAAACTGGATAGTTACTGGAACTTCTAGGCTCTGTTTATCAGACAAGCCGACTATTCTTCATAAATATCAACTATGACGGTAGGTAGCCAATGAAGTAGTATAATTAGAAGTGATACGCTATCAAAACCTTATATCCAAGTCGTACTTCTCCTTTACTCGAACAAGCCTGATAAATCATCTTCCAAAACTGGCTCTCCGGCTGCCTGCAGTTTCGCAGCTATTTTCTCGGCATCTTCCCAGACACGTAGTATGTTGCCACCTACGACCTTGCTGGCGTCTTCATCCGAAACCCCTCGCCGCAGCAATTCTGCCACAAGGTCCGGATATTTGGATACGTCAGCCAACCCCTCAGGCGTCGCTTCGATGCCATCAAAGTCGCTTCCCAAACCAACATGATCGTACCCTATCAGGTCGCCAATGTAGGTGATATGACTGACCACCTGGGAAAGAGTATTATTGTCAGGGAAGAACTCGGGGACGCCGTTCTCGGCACCCTTGTCGATACAGCTGATGAAATCAGGTGAGAAGTTTACTGTGGGAATTAGCAAGAAGTCAAAATCATAGGTATACTGAGGGGAAATATGTACTCATGACAATCGAATTCTTCTCTTTCACAAGTTGGAGCACATCGTCCGGGACGTTACGAGGGTGCGGGCAGATTGTGTAGGCAGAGCTGTGACTGAACATGACGGGAGCCTTGCTACCTGCCCATTCTTTGCTGCCGCCTAGGACGTCTCTCATGGTATCCGCGCTGACATGAGATAGATCGACTAACATGCCGATGCGGTTCATCTCGTTGATTAGCTGTCTGCCCTTGGGAGAGACGCCGTTCCATACCGGGGGCGCTTTGTGGAAGGGGTTTTCCCAGAGAGCTGCGTCGGCAAATATGTTACCGCAGTTATGCGTCAACGTAGCATAGCGAACTCCCAAAGCGTAGAATCGCCGTAAATTGGCTACTGAGTTGCCAATCTGATGGAGACCCTCAATTCCCAGGGGTGAGATGAATTTGCCCTTCTTCCAGGCTGCTACCGCAGATTCGGAATCTACTGGGATCCCGGAGAAGTCTTTCGGGTAAGCATTCTGGAGCCGGGTCATAAGATCAATTTGTTGTAGGGTCAGTTGGACACCTAAGTACTATTATTAGCTGGTGAATTTGGCAGACTAGACTCAAACACTAACTAGGAGCGTAGTTCTCATCTGAGTAGTCTGTGCCGTTTGCTGGACATGGTGTAAAGACACTCCAGAAAGCACCTCCGTTCTGTCCTTCTCTCAACCTGGGTAGGTCGACGTGCATCGGGAGCCCGCCCTCTTCGAATGGGTTTGAAAAGGTCTCATTGTAAATGTGATTATTGTACATAGCACGGATGAAGATAGCTAAGTCATTATGTCCATCTTAGAAGTTATTAGTTATTTAGGTACGTTTATCAATTGAGGTATGTAATTCCATCTACCTATCAAGGGAGTTTTAAAGAGGATATTCTGAACCCTCTGTTCGATAGACTTCGGGCGGAAGTGAGAAGCTGCTCCTGAACAAGGAGAGCTTGGGTGGAGCAGCGCGTATAAGATTAATCCGATAAAGAATATCGAGGCGATATTCGCATTTGGCTTCTTTACGCGTGAAGATTGAGAACGGACGGGAGTCGCGCTCTCGAGGTCAGGAGTTTCTTTCTTTTCATACATGGCGTGGAATGGACTCTTCATTGGTCCCATTTACGCCCATGTGATGAAGAGAAAGATTGGAGGGTTGGGATGTTGATAATGATGAGATCAAATATGTTAAGTTGGTTGATAGCTTACCAAGCCACTTTACCGTATTCAATTATTCAATATTCTGGTTCTAATCCGAGCTATACTGTTACAGTATAATACATATCTCTTACATAACATGTGCACATAGTACGTTTACTTCGTAACGGAAACCGGCAATTTGCGACATGATCGGGGTCATGGCGTAAACCTCGTCAACCCGTCAACTCGCAACTCGGCAACTCGCAACTCGGCACGGGGTTGAAGGTGTTAAGTACTAGGTTAGTTCTAGATCATGAGAATGATCTGTTGTTCTATCAGCTGGTTAAAATGTCTAACATAATTCTATCATGCACCATGCACCTTAGTGTATATTCCTGACCGCCTAATGCACTATTCCAAGTATCTAAGTATACTTAATTACAGAGTACGAAGTTTTGTTAATTATGTCGATCATCAAGAGGCCTCTTATGGCCTTGGTTGTTCCGTAGGGCTCGACAAGGCCGATGCCCGAAAAGATTAGATGAAACGAGTTGTTACAGGGTCGCTTTTACTTGCTTTAGGTACTTGCCTTTAGTGGCTTCAGCTAGCCTAATATGGCACTTGAACAACGATGTAACTTGTCTGGTAGCCTATAGGTAGGTAGGTACTTACTTCAGCCCATACGTAATGGCTTTGAGGTTGAATGTACCTCTTACCTACCTAACGCAGGTAGTACCAGCATAGCGCTCGCAGCAGGCGCGCAGGACCACAAACAAAAAGGAAACCCCCCCGTCGCACCGAAAACTCCCCCTGGAGGGGGTCTGCAGGTCCAACCTTGGACCAATGAATTTTTGACTTTCATACGCTTTTCGTGTCCGAGCTTCATCTAAAGTGCTTTACCTATTGGCGAGGAATTCCGTTAAAAAGAGGCTGAGACAGAAATAGATGGAGCCATTCTACATTCTGTCTTAATCGCCCATTCTTTCTGTACATTTCGCATCTGATCTTGTTGCTTTGTAGCACATCGACAGCATCACAATAGCATCCTTCTTCATTCTCCTCATTTCCTTCTGTAATAGTGACACGACTTCCCGTTCTGTGATACCCGCCGCCGACATCCCGACATCTAATCTTCTTTGCCCCTCGGCCGTCTTTAATTCTTTATTGGCTCCCTTGTTACTACTGGGCTCGAAATCGCATAGCCAGCCAACTTTGAATTCGCGCCTTATTACGTCTCTCTCCTTCGAAACTAGACCCTGCTTTCACCCGATTTGAGTCAGTATTAGAAACCCCAACCCGGCTACTATAAATCGGTGTTTTTGGAGGACTGCGTCATCACCATGCCGGGGTTCGCAGACTCTTTTTGGTCGACAGACTATGCCGCAGGTGAGCGCGAAACAACCTACCCAACCTCCCCCTTATGCAAAGACTAACCATTTTTAAGGCCTGGGCGTCCTGTTTACCAAGCTCCAGCAAGGTGTCCAGGAGAACAAGCAAGTCTTGACGATCGCTCGAATGCGAGCCGAAGCCGAAGAGATCTACGGCCAGCGACTTGGGGAGATTGCGCCCGCAGCCGACAAGATTACTGGTGGCTTCTCGCGTGACGACGGCGCGAGTGTGCGAAAAGTACGAACCGCATCTTTTTCTCTATATACAGTACGGGAGCCTCTAGCTAACTTTTGTTCTTCCATGTCTAGGCCTACGATGGTGTCCGATCCGAGATGGAGGATGCTTCAAAAAGTCACAAGAAGATCGCACAGGGTATTCGAGACCTGGTCGTGAACCCCTTTGCGCGGTGGTGCGACGCTCACGAATCCCGCATCCAAGATTCCCAAGATGACTTGCAAACTCGTATAAAAGCTCACGATCGCCAAGCCGAGTTGGTCAAGAAGCTACGGAGCAACTATTTTAATAAGTGCCGCCTAGTCGAAGACCTCGAGGAGGAAAATAAGCTAGCCTTTCAAGACCCGGAAACGAGCCCCAAGCAGAATCAGAATATACCCGAGATCAAGGTATCGCCTAATGAAAAGGAAGGTGAGGAAGATGATGAGATATACGAGATCGGCGATGAGACATACCAGACGGAACAGGTCAAGAAGATACTATCTCACATGTTGAACACTATAAAAATGGGTGAGACTAAAGTACCCATCCTGGGAACATACCTCAACACCTCGTCCGGTTCCGATATAGTTGAGTACATGCAACGGCATATGGGATCGACCAGTATCAGCTACGCCGAACGGATTGGACAGGATTTAGTGTCGAACGGCTTCCTTCGTCTGGTTGGTAATGTTGGCAATAACTTTGCGAACAGCTCGAAATTCTTCTACCAGTGGCGACCGAAGGCATTCCAGCTAGCAGGTGTTCCGGAGAAGAAGGCGACGTTTGGAAGGACGTTTTCCATGCCTTCAAATCCCGAGAGCGGGTCCGACTCCCCTGTCGTGGGCGCCGTTAGCGAATACTTGTCGGGCTGGAATGTTCTCGGTAGCCAACACCCTAACGAGACCCCCCCGGAACGTCTACGTCGCGAGGCTAGGGAAGCCGATGAGAAGTACAAGGCTAGTGTTCAGAAGCTAGACGAAATGCGCTGTGAGCTAGAGGAAGCTATCTTCGTGCACTTAAGGTTCCTCGAGCGCTGCGAGCTGGACAGGCTAAAAGCCATCAAGACGGTCATTCTCGATTTCTCGGGCACCATTGGAAATGTCATCCCGAGCTTACAGTCTGCGGTGGACCGCATGGTTCTATACCAGGAGACAGTTCAGCCCATAGGAGACTTGCGATATCTCTTAGAGAATTACAGGACAGGTCGCTTTGCGCCGCGGGTTGTCACGTATGAAAACTACTATAACAAGGTTGACGAGCAGACATTCGGCGTAGATCTAGAGGCTAGGGCTAGGGCGGATAAGAAGCGCGTCCCTATTATCATCACAACGCTGCTGACGTATCTGGACAATCACTACCCGGATCTCGAAGGAGACGAAGCAAGACGAGGGGTGTGGCTTACGGAAGTTCAGCTCCCGCAAGTTCATAAATTGCGTACCAAAGTAAATAATGGCAAACCCTTTACTACCGACGAACTCTCAGAATTCGACGTTCCCACTGTTGCGTATCTGCTAAAACTATATCTCTTGGAACTCCCAGGTATGTATTTCTTAATTTAGAAAACGATATAACAGAGACTGACAAGAGACATAGATTCACTGGTATCCTCTCATGTATATGAGATCATCAGGACTATCTACCAAACGCCAACGTCGGAGAATACTGACGACGCACGTATCGCTGTTCTGCAGCAGACTCTCTCACAATTACGACTCACGAATATCGCTACGCTTGACGCATGTATGAACCATTTTACGAGACTAATAGACCTAACGTCAGCGGACGAGCAATACGTCCAGGAACTCGCGACATCCCTGGCTCCTTGCATCTTGCGTCCGAAGACTGAAACCTCGTTAACAATGGAGGAGAAGCACACATATCGCTTAGTCCGCGATTTATTTGCGCACAAAGACGCTATCTTCAGCGAGCTGAAACGTATGTCGAGCCTCACACACTCGGGGTCGGTTAACAACAACCGACCTCGAGCTATTAGCACGGATGAGAGCAATAGGAGAGCCCACATGGAAGAGAGGCAACGGGCCCTGCTAGAGAAGGCAGGCCCACGCGGGCGCGCTACTAGTCCGGCGCCAGGACTCCGCCATCGACGTGATAGGAGCACGGGTGGACCCGAGACCCGATTTCCCATCGCCAGCCCGACGACGGCTAACGAGCGCCAACGGAGTAGCCTTGGCAGCCTCGGTACCGTGAAGAGGTCCAGTCTCGAGGTTCCTGATGGAACGGGACAACCGCCGGCGGAGGTAAACGGAAGCGCTAACGGAGACTCCCCCAAGACGGAACCCGAACACATGGTTTCCAAGCGAGATAGTCTGAACCGAAGCAGCGCTAGGTTCGTTGGCGGCCGCAGAGTCACGACCTCTTCGTCGACAGGAACTGGGAGCACACCTTCCACTCCTGTTAGCAAGGCAGCGGATAGCGGAACCCCGATCCACGACCGCGGTGTGCAACTCGTCGACGCACCGATGGACGACTAGTAACGCGTGAGCTGTCCACATACCTGGGGTCATGTGAGCCGGTACCGGAGGCCGCAAGGTGATATCTTGACACGCATCTGGCTAGTCGGCGTCTATTTTTCCAGTATAAGAAAGGGGTTCATTTCCTCGTATAAGGGGAAAAGGGAAAACTTGATGGAAGGACTTATCGGCGGAGCCGCTTAGCCTACGTATAATGTAAAATGTCGCTATACGCATGTACAAGATTGTCGTTGTTATTGCTCTCGTTGCTGCTATTGGTGTTGTACTACGTATCACACACACATATCCGCCCACCCCTACGACGGAAAGATCCCAAGGCTCGGCTAAGATAGGATGGTTTAGTTCGTCTATTCTACATATCAGCCCAGCCTAGGCGTATCCCGTCTTCCCCTTTCCCCTCGTCATTTCTTTTGTCTTGTCTTACTTCTAGTTTTCCGACTACTATTAACTACTACTACTACTAGAGCGCGTTTACAAAAATTCGGAGGGTGGATAGGCAAAGCAAGCAAGCAAGCAAGCAAGCCAAGGGGCTTGTTGGCTTGCTCTCGTACGTTTTGTACGTTGATTATGACATACCTTAGGTATATAGTTGAGTTGAATTGAATTGAATCTTAAGATGATTATTTGGCTATATTTATATTTATATTCATATTCATGTTCATGTTCATATTCGTTGATCTTATGTTTGCTATTTAAGAGGTAGTTATGCTCGACATCTAGTTGTAGATGAAAAGGAGTTAAAATATGAAAGAAAAGATTAGATATGTGATGGTCTTAAGAATATACCTTTAAACCTGTCTCGACTTGGTTGCAGCAATGCTCATAATGATATTTCATCTATATACTAGCCAGTACGAATGTCTAATTTACTATTCATACTACCTCTATTTATGTATTTATTTATGCATTACACTCCCCCCCATCTTCACGCCGCACCCGCGTCCTGGATCTCAGCCGGCTTCGCCTTTTTCTTCTTCGGTTTAGCCTCGACCACATCTCCAGCGGCATCCCCCTCGTCTATAGGCGAGACCTTCTTCTTTTTCTTCTTGACCTTGACCGCGGTATCCCCTTCGCCGTCGGGATCCGTCGTCTTCGGCTTCTTGGCCTTCTTCTTCTTGACGACGGTGCCGGCGGCATCGACGCCCTGGGCAACTTGTATGCGCTCATTTGCGCGTTGCATCTCGAGGCGTAGACGCTCGATTTCCTTCATGGCCTGCGCCATCTCGGCTTCCTCGCGCTGCTGGGCTTCGGGGTCGTATGCGCGGCCGGCCGGGTCATCCTCGAGGCTGAGCGCGCCGATACTAGTGGAGTCGACACCGAGAAGCGATTGCTTGAGCTTCTTGCTGCCGGCTCGGACCTTGGCGGCGGTGTCCGAATTATTTTCGGAGTCGTAGTTCTTTGGCGTGCTTAAGCCGCTGCCACCCAGGTTTTCGTCTGGGGCAACAACGATCTTCTGCCGCGGCGGACGGCGGGCTGGTTTAGACGCTACATGTCGAGAGTGATCGACGCCTGCGCTAAGTTTATCGAGATCGAGTTCCATGATGGGAATCGAGTCAACGTCTAAGTCAGGACCATTCGAATTCTGGAGGATATTATGTATCGGCGTTGATGACCTCTGAATAGAATTGTTTTCCCCGATATAGAATGGGTCATCTCGATTCCTTTCCAGACGCTCGGCCTTTCTTTTAGCTAATATATCTGCATCCAAATAGGTCTCCTCGGTAGGCTGCTGGTAAGAGCTAGTGATATCCTCGCGAGCATCTACCAGCTTGTTGATGGCTGGCTCGGAGGCTATACTCGTCGCGGGCGGTCGTTGATAATAATAACTCTCAAACTCATCTGACTCGTCGACTGGTATCGATATCGAATCAGCGGATGCGAGTAGGAAGTTGAGGTTTGGATTTATAGGTTCGTCAAGGTCTAACCCTTCTGGAAGTGGGACGTTCTTCTGAGCTGTTTGAGCAACCGAATTCAATTCCCAGCCGGCAAAAATGGAGGGTATTGCTTGGGTGAGTAGCAAAGGAGGATCTTGGTGGACGGTTTCTGTCGAAGCTTCCTGACTAGATGCCGCTTCCGCAGTAAGTTTTAGCAGTTCCATGAACTCTACTGCTCGTTCTTGAACCTCTAGGTTTGGATGTTGTACTAAAGCCTCGAAGGAATGAATAATGCGAGCCATTAGGAGTGAGATCTTGGATTTACGCTCAGGTGTCCAAGGGGTTAATTGATCTCCGGCAACCAACGAGAAAATTTTCATGACCGCTTGAAGGCAGGCTGCGAGAGATTCTGGTGGTGAAGTCTTTTGGGATAGTTGTAACAGAGCTCCAAGAATATCGTCTGGGGAAGATAATTCTGAACAAAATTCACCGAGGATCCAAGCAGCTGGTTTTAATGTTCCCGATGCAATCGAGCGCCCAATTCTAGTCTCGCTATTTAGTTGAGATATAATCGCCTCGGCGGCGCGAGCGCACGCGGGACGAAGCGCCTGAACCTTGACGGCAATATTCCGTAATTCGTTCCCTATTTTCTCAGATATATCACCGCTACTTGACCTCCTAGGTGTAGAAAGTAAGTCCATATCGTCGACAGGTCGTGGTAGCGGAGCAGTCCGAACAAGTTGCGTTAGTATATCAATATACCACTCGAAATCTGTTAAGAAGCCGTAATTATTTTGAGAACACATATTTAGTATTCTGTTGATCACATCGGCTCTGTAGTCATCTGGAAGCGGCGGGGATTGGTTCGCCGATTTTGGAGCGGAATCAATTGTCCTCTCCAAGTCTTCGTCATCTGAATCCCCGGAGCTTGGCCCCGAATGATTCGTAGTCCTGCGATCTCCTGAAGACAGCTTGAGTTGTCTCATGAGACGGCCGACAATAGACACGAGATTGTCACCGCTGACCATACCCTGCACAAGGTCTAGCGCTTTGATACGGATAGAAATGTCGGCACTGTCTATACACTCTAGAATGACGTCTTCTTGCTGAGCTACAAGCCAAGGATGGGTTAAAACGATTTTGTTGAAAGCGAGCAGCGCCACATATTTCACTATATCCCCAAAATTAGCAAACCGAGTCATTGGGGTCAAGGGGCAAGCTCACAATTTGGGTCACCATCTACCATAATCATTCCTCGAAGCTTATTAACGCAAAGAGATGCGATCTCCTCTCTCCCGTCCGCATCTTCACCACTTCCAAGAATCCCCCCTTGAATAATTCCGCTTATACATTCGTATAATAAAGACATGGCAGGGGTTGTCTGGATGATCTCTGTCAGAGGTGGTAACAATTTGCGAACAAGCCTCGGCTCGAGGGGTGTTAATGTAGCAAACTAGTTGAAGGTCAGCTAATATTCAGGTATGACCGAGACGGTATGCTGCCTACTAGCTTGATCAGTTTTATTGCCATCCAGTTGTTACCGCTATCGACCAATAGCTCAAACAGCCGGGGTGCTAGAGGAAGGAAATCATGGGGCCGCCGCCATCCCAGTTCGCATATGACATTGATAATTGCAGCCGTTACGCTGGGGTCTTCAGTCCTATCCATAAGTCTCTCCTTTATCTTCGGCCAGGCAGCCCGTAGGGTTTCGGGATAAACCAAGGCAAGCCTGTATAGCGTGACAATCGTCTTCTTGCGAATCGCGGGGTGGGTATGGCTAAGTCGAGGCAGGAGATCAGATAAAACGGAGAGGGCGAGAGATGGCGTAATAACATGCGGAAGAGTGACAATCGGAAGGGCGATGGTAGTGGTTGATGCCGCCGTCAAATCCTGGAAGACAAGTTCAGCATATTCGTTTTGTTGCGTCTCGGGAAGCTTATCGCAAGACCTAACCTCGTACCTTCTTGAGGAGATTTGTTGCCAGCATGAGGACCTCGGTATCAGGACGGAAGCTCTGAATTGCGCCAAGATATCCTACTCGTTTTTGGTGGTATTTAGGAGAAGCCATCACCTCGAGTACGTTGAAAGACGCCCATGACATATCGTGCCCGAACATTTCTAGGTAAACTAGCTTTAGTAAAGCAGTAGCCTTGAGATCTATAACAAGAGGGTAGGTATGAAGTCAGCTATAGGCCTGGTATATTTATAATGGGAGGCATCTAACCTAAGTCCTGGCTTCGAATTTCGGAGCGGCATTCTTTCAGGCAGTTTTGTATGTACTCCTTCTCGTTCCCCTTATGGTTCCTCAGACCTCGGATGAGGTCGTACAACGATTTTTCGAACCTGCGATGAGATTGTCAACGGACTCTAATTCGCACGAAATCATGATAGTATAAGGTGGGCTGCGTACATGGTTGTTGGTAATTTCGGAACGGTGATCAACTATGAGTTAAAGGCTGCGAGCTCAGAGTGCGCCTCGGACCACTCATCATCTTGACAGCGCGACGATAGCTTGGCGATATAGAGGCGTCGTAGGAGACCTGTTCATCTAGGGGGGTTGTGTTGGCGGATAGCTACTAGATATTTCGCAACACAGATTAATGTTGATAGTGCAAGTATCAATGAATATGCCCCACGGCTTGGGGGGAGCACGCACGTCAGCGGACCATTTATTGAAGCTAAGGCTAGGTACCTAGGTACCTTAGTACCTAGCCTTAGCACTTGCTAGACCTGGATGTTTGATACGGTAGAACATGACTTCCGGCCCGTGCACCACAACCTAGGTACCTAACCAGCTAACGTAAGGACCTCCATAAGGATCGGTAGGTACGGGGCTGTAACTACCTCTACTAGGTACCTAACTTAAATTATCACGAACCCGGATCCTTAGTTTCCTTCAAATCTAACCGTGTCTTTAATATCCACCATCTCACTTAAACCACTCTAAGTACCTAATTTAATAACAGCAACATCAGAGTGTAAAAGAAGATCAAATACGTTCTCAAGTCAACAACATGTCTTCTTCCCTTCTTCATCCGCCCAGCCACTTGCCCCCTGCTGTAGCCTTGCAGCATTCACAGCAAGCTCCGGCTATACTTGGGAAGTCTACAGGTGCCATCTCAACCTCTCTTTTCCAATCTCTACTCTCAGCCCCCGAAACATCTGAATTATGGACTACATATGAAAATCTCTTATTATCATGCCTTCGGACTGGAGATGACGAGTCAGCCCATCAATGCCTCGGAAGACTAGTGAATAGGTTTGGCAATGACAACGAACGTATCATGGCCTTGAAAGGCCTCCTTAAGGAAGCTGATGCCAGCGATTCCGCTACTTTAAATGTTATCCTGAAAGAGTATGAGCAGATCTTACAGGATAACCCAACTAATATCGTGAGCTTTCTTCCCCGCGACTCATTATACCAAATACTAATGCAGCCCATACAGCCCATTTTAAAGCGCCGTGTGGCCTTGTTGCGGTCTATTGGACGGACCTCTGAGTCTGTCAGTGTTCTGATATCGCTTCTCGATATCTCCCCTACGGACGCAGAGGCGTGGGCTGAGCTTGCCGACCTCTATTTTTCACAAGGACTATACTCCCAAGCCATCTTTGCGCTTGAAGAGGTTCTTGTCCTGCAACCAAATGCTTGGAATGTTAGTTTTCCTATTTCCCTATTTCCCTATCTTAATTTTACCCCTGCTAACTTTAACTGTGCCAGGTACACGCTCGTCTGGGCGAAGTATTGTTCATTGCTGCAAAATCGTCAGATAACGCAGGTCAATTAGGCGAAGCTATAAAACGCTTCAGCCGAAGCATTGAGCTCTGCGATGGCTATTTACGAGGTTACTATGGTCTTAAACTGGTATAAATCCCTTTGTTGGTTTTCAAACAGGAAATTCACTAACTTGAATAAAAAGACTACGAAACAGCTTCTGGGTGACCCATCCAAGGTATCACAAAGCCGGACAACTTCTGACGGGTTTGCCATACCCGATTCGGTTACACTTAGCAAACTTGATGAAGTGGCCACCGAGAAACTCGCAGAGATAGTCCGACGCTATTCATCAGGAGAAAAAGGTTGGCAGGGTTACGATGAGGCTGAAGTCAAGGCAGCCAAAGAGCTTCTTGAGAATGACACAGCTGCGGTCATTAGATGAGAAACTACCGTTATGTTCTAAACATCGCATTAGGGATTTGAGTAGTTCCTCTACGACGCTCGCCTTAGCCTCATTCGCGTGGCCGGGTTTCTTGCAGGAGTTGCAAGTCATTGGGTGACGAATAGGGAGAAGCTCCATTTGCCATGCGCAGAAGGGGGAGAGTCGTTAATTGGTGCCCTAGGTAGATTTCGTATCTGGAGCGGTGGGACTTGGGCAGGCAGACGTGTCCACTAGTCTGGGTAATACTGGGTAATGCCGATTTGGCCAACAAGTACCCTGCCGGACGATTGTTCCTACAGTACGAGTAGCACGTGGCTCCAGTCGTGCAATCTTGGTCGTCGTGAATCAGAAAGGCGGCGTTGCAATCGAATGACTGAGAATTTATCAAGTGGCTCGCATTCTTAGTGCCTTACTATTCGGCATGTATATATGTCTGGATGCACTGTAACCATATAAGTACCATATTATGATATTTGGGCAGCAAAACCGCCACATCGTCGGGCAGTGTCTAGCCATAAACTAATCGGAGTTCCACAGTTAGAGACATCTAAGACGGGTCCAGCCGCAGACAAGTTTCTGCATCCATCCTCCACTTCCGAATTGGTTGCGGTAAGGTTGCCATTCCTAACGCCCCTCGTTCGGGATTGGCCCTCTCAGCAAGGTAGGTAATGAATATGTCTTGAGCACGCTGGTAATTTGCACATCGATCTACGCGGAGGTTAGAGCAGCAAACAATGCTTCGACTCCATACTTCTAAATCTAATCATGTATCTACTAATAACAGGCCGCTTACGACACCACGTATTATAGCTTCTAGAGACTAGATGATACCAGATCCGTCAAGACCTGTGGGTGAGCGAAAGGTCTTATTAGTAGAGGCGAACAGCCACCGCCCGAGTTCTCGGCTTGAGATCTGAAGTCTGTTTCAAGACGACACAGGAGACACAGGAAGGAATACTTCCACTCGCTATCTCTATCTTACAGGGGAAACGCCAGTCTTGCTCAACCTCCGGAATTGGCGTCTTAAACTTTTCATAATTCTCCCCGGTGACCAATGGCTTGCGATTCAGTCTCAAAGGTTTCAGTCGGACATGCATGTGTTGCCTGCCAGTGCAAAGTACCGAGAAGACAGCAATCAGTTTATCAACCTTAATTCTTGGGAACAATACAATGTCCAGCTATCATGGCAACGTCCGGAGCAAATTGCTTCGGCAGAGCCCCGGTCAGTCAACCCGATATGAAGTCTACCCTATACTACAAATATAAGGGTGAATAGCCCGACGGCCAGAGATTAAGAATTCGGCCAGAGACCATACAGCAGACGACGAATTTGCAAAATAAAGGGTACCAGTCATGATCATGCTGTCGTGTTCGGTGTAAGTCCAAGGATCTCGATCATTGGTGGTCTGCGGAGTGTGCATCGGCCCCAGCAAGCGCAAGCGGTGTGGGCCAGATTTTCTGCTTTTATGCTGCGTGCTGTTCGTGTAGGTAGGTTATTTCTTCTGCTCTCAGCCTGCGTTGCTCGGCCCCTCTCTCGCCTTCTAACCATTCGCCCTTCCTTCTCCTAGACAGGTATTTGTACACAGTACGACTTCATAACAATAAACAACCACCGGGACCTACTTGAATGCTACCAGATCCAAATTGGCTCCGGAATATTGACAAGTTTAAGATACCGCCATCATTCCTTTCCATTTTCTGCCCATATTTTCTCTTTTGCTACCACATGATACTGTCTATACATACCTACATACATACATACATACATACATACATTCATACCTACATACGGACAACACCGGGTCCCTCGCACGGAGACAAGAAAAAAGAAACAAGAGACACTCGACTCTCACCGGAGCATATCGCAGCTCAACTCTAACGCAAAAAGCTAATGTACGTTAATTATTTTGCATTCCTCGGAAGTATATACGTATGGCCCCGGTTCCTATCTCGGTAGCCGTCTTTCATCTTTCAACACCCAGCATGTCCATGTCCTAGGCTAAGCTAGTGCTGATGACCCCCTGTGGAGGAGGGATCTATGTACAATACGTCTGGGATGAAGATTCTAGAGCATTGAGGCCTACATGTGCGCCGTAGTACGGGTACGTGTTTATGTGTAGTGTGTAGGTAAATGCAAATGTAGTATGGTATTAGTTTTTTGGCCCCTCTCTATCTGGGCTGTGTCACCTGTCCCTCGTCCCCCGTCCCCGTCCCCCGTCAATCTACCTCTGCTTGCTTGGCCCCTCGCTGACGATGGGATCGTGGGCTCTAGTATTAGTGCCACTAAGTATTATAAGTTCCGGGCATCCTCCCTGTTCCCTGCTCTCTCGTCCTTCCTAACGCACAATAAATACAAAAAGTGCGGTCGGTCGTACTTCGATCTGCACGCTCGAATTTCGAAAGTGCTGACCGCAGACTTTCGTTTTAGCCCTTGGAGGCCGAGACGATATAATACGTCTCTCTGTGTTTACGCCGGCGACATCAAAGTCTCCTCCGTCGCATTCACGATTAATAGTTGTACCTTCCAAACGGGTGCCGACCGATAGCGACCGATAGCTACCGATAGCCGGAGTTCCTAAGTAGGGTAAGTGTGTCTCGCACCTCTCGCACATTCCATATTCATTACCGTGCCTTCCTGCCTTACAGGTATAGCCTATACATGTAGCCTATGCGCATACCTGCTTCATTCAAGGGCGAAGTTGAAACTGCTTTAAACTGTTTTATTGCATACCTCTCTGAGCCGAGATCAATTCACATCACATCACAATTCACCCCGCTTGAATTTGGAGCCACTTGCAATTCCACACCTTTTTCCAACAGAAACCCAATTCGATATCCCTTTGCGCCCAACTGAGCCAGTCTTATTGGAAGACCGGGATCCCCCAGATAACTTTTTTGACATTTGTATACCGCTCACTTGTCACGAGAGACTTGTCTACAAAAAGCCATCCAAATTCCTCATTCAGATTTATCCTCGGATTGTTCCGCACGACAGTACACACGTCCTATCTACATTTCACCTTCACTGTGCGACCAGCTTTCATCCTAAAAAGAGAGAGATAAAAAAAAGCTACAGGACAACGGTGGATCAAAATTGCTAACACTGTTGCTAGAAACTTGGGTTAGTCCGCACCATTATTACTTGTGATTCGGAGTTCTACATACCAACGGCGACGCCCAGTTCAGAGAGCTGAGCTATAAGTCAATTCAAACTCGCTCAGTGAGGTTGGCAACTTCGGCTACCGCCTAATCGCTAACCTCCCTTTGCTCCGACTTTCTTAGGTAGATAGTCGAGGGGAAGGGGTATCTAGACGTTAAACTATCACCAATGTCGTAAGTAGCGATAGTCTATTACTTATTCAACTCGCCATTGACCTCCTCATTTAAGTCGAAGATACACCACACGCACTCCACGCCACAGCGGTCCCATCTCGGACGAAGTTAGCTACTCAGAAGAGGAGGATTCAAGGCCTAGTGGAGGATCATATAGTCACGGACGAGAGGTTTCGGACGAGGACTCTTACGAGAGTGAAGAGGAAGAAGAGTTCGACGACGACGATATTGATCCAGAAGATTCAGCTTCTACTAGCCCCTCAAGGCGCCACCACCAAGAAGCTCGTCCTCATCGCGCCCCATCCCGTGCCCCGTCTCGCACGCCGTCTGGACAGCAACACAGGAGTGTTGCCCATAGAGTGCCCCCCCATTACGATTACGATACTTATCGGCAGGCGCCGAACCCCTCTACCAGTCTGGATTCAGATTACGATTACTACGGCCGGGGTGCTGCCTACCCACCGCCGGCCGGAGGGAACCAGTATTATGCCGGTGGCCGTGGCGGTTATCCCCAAAGCCACGTTGGCGGCTATGCTCCCCCTTATGGTGGAAGTGGGCAGGTAGTGCCATACGGACCACCCAACCCGTACCAAAATCCTTTCGCCCCGATGAACGGAAATGCTGGTAACTATTTTAATAACGAGCATAGGTGGCCTGGTGGTAACGAAATGATGCCGTTTGGCGGAGGTGGCGGTCAGAATTACTTTGGTGGTCAGCCGCCGTATCCTATGCCGCACGGCATGGCACAATACCAGTGGTCCCCTCCTCCGCCTCCACCGACGGACATCGGTGGCCCGTCTCGAACACCTGCCCCAGCCCCAGCTCCAGAGCCTCCGAAGGAGGACCCCGAAAAGGAAGCCATGAAAAAGAAATTAGCTGAGATTGAAGCCGAGCAGAAGCGGAAAGAGCAAGAAGCTAAGCAAAAGGAGCTCGAGGCTCAAATTAGACTAGAGGCAGAGCTAGCATTCCAGCGCAAAATGGAGCAGATCAAGAGGGACGAAGAGATTCGTGCTGAGGAAAGAAAGATTGCCATGGAGAAATTGACCAAAGATATCGAGGATGCAAAGAGGGCAGCCGAGAAAGCCGAGGCGGAGCGTGCCCGTAAGGAAGCAGAAGCTCTCGAAAGAGCTGAACGAAGTGCCCGTGACAAACTCGAAGCGGAACAGAAGGCCGAAGCAGAAAGGAAGAGGAAAGAAGCAGAGGCTGCCGCCCTTGCAGAGGCTGCTCTTCAGGCTAAGCTACAGGCCGCTATCAGGGCTGAAGCCGATGCGAGAGCGGCGGCGGCGGCCAGAGCTGCTGAGGAGGCTGCACAAAGAAAGAAATTTGAGGAAGAGGCTAAAGCAAAAGCTGAGCTAGAGGCCCGCAAAAAGATAGAAGCTGAAGAGGCGGCTAGGGCTGCCGCCGCCGCAAAGGCTGCGGAAGAGGCCGCGCAGAGAAAGAAATTCGAGGAAGAGGCTAAAGCAAAGGCAGAGTTAGAAGCTCGCTTAAAGTTAGAGGCCGAGGCGAATGCTAGGGCTGCAGCAGCGAAGGCGGCGGCTGAAGAGGCGGAAAGGCAGAAAAAAATAGAAGAAGAAGCTAAAATCAAAGCTGAGCTTGAAGCTCGTAAAAAGATAGAAGATGAAAGGGCAGCGGCGGAAGCAGCCAAAGCTGCCGAGGAGGTTAGGAAGAAGGAAGAAGATGCGCTGAAGAAGAAGCTCTTAGAAGAGGCCAAGCTCAAGGCTGAAGAAGCGAATAAGAAGAGCCTTGGTAAGGACAAGGCGCCGATTCGGTTCAAGGACGCCGTGGGAAGAAAATTCAGCTTCCCTTTCCATATATGCCAGAGCTGGCAGGTACGTCAAAGGCCTTGTATTTCCGCTTAAAGCCCGCATGCTAATTTACTCTCTAGGGCATGGAAGAGCTCATCAAGCAAGCTTTCAGCCATGTCGATGTTATTGGTCCCCATGTACAAGCTGGGCATTATGACCTTATCGGTCCGAATGGCGAGATTATTCTCCCCCAGATATGGGACAAGGTGATTGAGCCAGATTGGGCGGTGACGATGCATATGTGGCCTATGGATCGGCCGGCTATGCCTCAGGGAGGAGCTATGAGATCTATACCTGGTAGACCAGGGGTCCACATGGCTGGTGGCCCATTCCCGCCTCAGGGTCTTAGGCCGCAAGGCCAACCGCGCCCGGCAAGCAGTGGCGGACCTCCACCTCCGCCGACTCATCCGATGATGATGGGTGCGGGCGGCATGCCCGGTCATATGAGGAGTCAGGTTCCTTTCGACGGACGCCCAGTTGGGGGCCCCGGCGGAGGGATGCCTCCAAATATCATCCAAGTTAACAAGCCTCCTGGTAAGAAGCCAACCAAGAAAGTCCAGAGCGGCGTGCTCGGGTGGATAGGTGGAGGAGCCGCGAAGCCCACTAAAGGCAAGAGGTCAGTCGCCGCGTCCATTATGTTTTTTGTTACATGAGCTCACAACTGAATGTGTAGTAGTAGAACTAAACGATAAGTTATAATCCATTCACGTGTGCTCCGGGGATACCTGGGCAACTCGATCTAGCCACTGTCAATTTCCACTTACTCCCGTGCCTTTTTCGCCAGGCACCAGTCCTGATTTTTATTCCCATCACCAATTTATTTTTTGGGGAGTTCTGCGACGGTCTCCAATAACAGATTCTGCATTATACCCCGGCTCGAGACGACTTCATTGTTTAAAGCGGCATTTTCCGCGGGCTTTTTTCTTCGAGCACGTATTATGGACGAAGTAATAATTACCACGGAGAACCAATATTTATTCATCACCACTTTGATACCGGTAGACGTGTATCATTTCTTACTACTACCGCGTGTTTACATCTAGGACTATATTTTTCTCTCACATGAGGTGACGATGTCTCATTGGCTAAGAATGACGAAATGTATGAGGAGGAAAGGCAAGTACATGGATGTTCTTTCAAGACGGCGAGCATTTTTACCTTGTTGAGATTTGTTTTGAGAGGCTATATTCTCGGATGGCGTCGTGGATGAGAAAGATTGGGGAGACCAAGACACATCCGGACTGATCTGTTACACATTTAAATTAGGAGTTACTATAAGTTTTGAATTGAATTTTGAGAATTGTATTCGTAGGACTTCGGTTGATGTGAAGATTTATTATGATTTTGACCGTCTAATTTTAAGATAGTGTACATAGGTAAGGTCTATATAGACAAATCAGTCAACGCCAGCGGACCCTATAGGGAGAGTTGCTCAGCAGAGAACTGATTCGCGGTCTTCTGTGAGTGATAGGAGTATGGTACATTATTACATGGCATTAATAAGCGCGGTTCGGGACATAACAAAAATCCAATCCCTCACCGCACGACCCCCGGATCATTCCTAGTCTCCTTCAACACCCTCTGCGCCTGCTGCACAAACGCCTCCACCATAACCCCCGCGACCTTATCCGCAACAGCCGAGCTCACGGCCGTGTACAAAGGGTTCGCGAACTGGTACTTTATCGTGAGCCGGACGTCGCTCCAGCCGTGCTGGAAGCGGTCTTCGCGGACCGCGTCGCGGGCCGGGAGGACCGTCCATCGTGTTACTAGGCTCTTGAATACGCCGCGACTGCCGATATCCGGCCCGGGGTCTGTTAGGCCGTGTCTGCGCAGCTCGGGAACGGGGATCTCGGTCCGCGCGTCGCCGCTTATGGCTTCGACGATGCCGAGGGTGGGCACGCAGAATAGCCGGCTCGTGTAGGTCTCTTCGAAACCGCCCCAGCCGGCGGTTAGGTCGGCTTGGGTGGGCCAGCGGCGGGTGGGGTGGGGGGTGGTAGTGGTGTGCTGGTTTCCGGGAGATGAGGGAGGTGTTGGGTCGGTCCACCGTGTCACGCGCGAGACTTTGCAGTATGGTAGGAAGCGCACGTAGGAGTCGACGTCGGCGATGATGTCGTAGAGGCGCTCGTGGTCGTAGGGGAGGCGGCGCGAGGCGGTTAGGATTTGCGGCTTGGTGGGGTCGGGGATGGAGATGAAGGTGCGCCGGGGAGGGTGCGGGTGTGTTCGTAGGGTGGAGAGCAGGCGCGGTGGGCGTGGGAGGAGGCGTGCCGTCGCCATTGGAGACTCGGAAGCGAGGAAGAGTCGGGAGGGAGCCCGGGTAGGTAGTTCAACGTGAGTTTAACGTGGGTTACGTTGTTTATGAGTTATGTACTTGGGTACGAAAAGAGAGTTGTAAAATTGATATGTAGAAATCTCGGAAAGTCTATAAATCTTGCATTTTTAAATCACACCGCCGTCTAGCTGTCTAGGTCTATATCACGACGCAAGGAAAAAAAAGTAATATACAACAGAATTGGTGCTCCTCTAGCTAGAAGCGATAAGTACAATAAAAAGTGACGTCGAATTTCACCGCGGACATCGGTGGATTATCGATAAGGAAAAGCGCGCTACTAGTAAAGCCCCACTCCATTCTGTGCTTAAATTTTCTTGGAATCTTTTTTTCTTCCCAACCCAATCTTTTACCAACTCGTTTTTTTCCACGAGCTCCTAGTATGCCAGGAAACACACCTTTGCGGTGACCGACGAGAGGACTAGTGAAAGGACTCAGTCGACAAGCACCGCATTTATATATCGCGCGATGGCTTCTGCTGTCGCAACTACCACGGCAGCATTGCCAGATGAGGAGCTGCTGGCTAAGGTTGAAGCGTTGACCGTGCAGGACGGTACAGAGGCTCCGTTGCCTGCCCACAGGAACCATGATCCGCAGAATAACTTGAAGAGGAGTGATCCTTTTCAATTTGGGTCGCGCTACCTTCAGGAAAATGATGATGTCTTCGAGTTCAATGCTTGGGATCATGTGGAGACTGACGACACTTATAAGGAGTATGCTGAGCAGCAATATGCGATGCAACGAGAGTCGCCAGTCTCCGACTTCGACAAAAGTGAGTACACAGCCTTTTCTATCACCTTCGGTGTTGTGATGATACCCCATTATGCATAGTTCATCTGAATATCTCTGATGACCACATACATCAATTCTTTCGCTCCCATCTGACACACCTTGCCCTTACAATTTTAATGTTGCTACGTTTAGCAGATGCAGCTGCTAACAGACGCGATCATAGGTAGATTCAATTCCGATCCTGCTAAGTGGTGGAATCTATTCTATAAGAATAACACGGCCAACTTCTTCAAGAACCGTAAATGGTTACAACAAGAGTTCCCCGTACTTGACAAGGTTACTGCAGAAGATGCCGGCCCAGTTACAGTGCTGGAAGTCGGTGCCGGTGCCGGCAATACGGCGTTCCCCATCTTGGCCAATAACAAGAACCCCAAGCTAAAACTGCATGCTTGTGACTTCTCCAAAAAGGCTGTTGAAGTGATGCGTAGTCATGAAGAATATAACACCGACTTCATGCAAGCCGACGTATGGGATGCCGCTGGTGAGGGCCTGCCTCCCGGTCTCGAAGAAGGCAGTGTAGACGTTGTCCTTATGATATTCATATTCTCTGCCCTGTCTCCGAAGCAGTGGGAGCAGGCCGTGCGGAACATTTATCGGGTACTCAAGCCAGGCGGCGAGGTTTGCTTCCGCGACTACGGCAGAGGTGATCTAGCACAGGTTCGATTCAAGAAAGGTCGATACCTGGAAGAGAACTTCTACATTAGAGGGGATGGTACCCGGGTCTACTTCTTTGAGAAGGACGAGCTAGCTCAGATATGGACGGGAACGTCTGCTACTGTAGATGATGCGAAGGATGATAGCGAGACTACTGAGCCTTCGGAGTCGAAGGTACATGAACCCTTGTTTGATATAGAGGAGTTGGGTGTTGATAGAAGGATGCTCGTGAATAGAGCCCGGCGGTTGAAGATGTATCGCTGCTGGATGCAAGGTCGCTTCCGTAAGAAATAGACATGATTTCATAATACTTGTATGCATGCCAAAACGTGATTTTGTATTGTGTTTTCTAGTCTAACTTAACGATGTTACTTTTATAAAACCACGTAGGGAGGTAGGTATATATCCTACGCACCCAACACCTCAACTAATCTCTCCCGTTCCTCTTTTCCAAACCCAATACCATCCAAATAACCCTCAATACTGCCATACTTCACATCCAAGTGCCATTCAATCCCCTCCACGAAATTATCCGCCACACCTCCCCACTCTGGCGAAAGGCCAACATTCCGAATCTCTTCGAGTCGAGCTTCGTGGTCGTCTGCGAGGGCCTCACCTGACAGCCGGTAGTCGTGCGTGATTGCATCTGATGGTACGCCGAGGATCATCAACGTTAGGGCGACGATGAGGCCGGTTCGGTCTTTGCCTAGGGCGCAGTGCACTAGGAGAGGGAGGGATGAGGAGGATATGAAGGTGCGGAGGGCCTAGAGGAGGGAGAGGGGGAGGTTAGTTTTTTTCTTTCTTTGGGGCCCAGGGGTTGGTGAGTATGGAAATAGTAGGGGGTGGGTAAAAGGTAGATAGATAGATGGATGGGTAGATGGAGAGAGAGAACTTACCTCAGCGATCTCAGGGCCAGATTCATCCAGCGTTATGAGACCCATACCTACGAGACCCCGCGGCCGCATGACTTCCCGGCTTAGGATGCGGGTAGCTTGATCGCGGTTGCCGAAGAATAAGAGGATGAGTATTTTTCTACGTATAGTTTATGGGTTGTTAGTTAGGTAGCTATAACTAGAATCGTGTAGTGAGGATGTCCATCCATTCGACGGTGAGTGTTGTTGAGGACAATAAGCCAATCACCTCTCACATATCCACGCCGGTCTATTGAAAGAAGGAAGGAAGGAAGAAAGGAAAAGGAAAAGGAAAAACAACGGGGTCTTACAAGGAACTCGACCACTTAAGCTGTCCCGTGAGAAACGCCTGGAACCGCTCCCCCGTCACCTTGATCTCACGGTACTTCAAGCCGGGGATCTGCCCGAGCCTGAAGGCGTTGGTTAGGCCTACTCGGCGCCCCTGTTGTTCCTTCCTGGATGGTGTTGCGACTAGTTAGTATCTGTGGTGTACGAGAGGGGGGTGGGGGTATCGGGGGGGGCTTACCTATTCCGGAGATCGATGACAGTTCGGATGCCCAGCTCATCTCTGATTCTCATGCGGTCTTTGAGGGATGCTTCGTCTAGCGTGCGGGTTAATACGGTGGTTGGTGGTATAGAGACAGGCAGACAAATAGGGAACTTTTCTCTTACCCGGTTGCGCGGATCGGAAGAACACGCCTTCTCGGACTACCCTGAGGTAAAAAGTTAGCTGTCTATGTCTTTTACTGGTATTGAAGAGGCGACTTGGTCTGCGATAGCTTACTTCTGGCCGAGATGGTCGTTAATGGTCTTTCCGACGTCTCGGAAGTTGTGGATGTTGTCGAAAGCGATGGACATTCTGTCGTTGGTTTAAGTGGCCAGGTTGGTATTCTTGGGTATACGTATAGGCGGATATAGACATCAGCGAATAAATCAGGATAGACCTGCGTGGTATCTTAACGAGCTGGTTTTATGGGATACGTTGTACGTTATATAGTTGTTAAGTAAGTTTATAGAGTTGTTTGGTTGTAAGTGCGCTCAACAATATAAGGTTGGTAAGTAGGTACGCCTTGACCCTATTCTGTTTCGTGAATGGGCGGCTGATACTTCTCTAGTAGTGTACGACGTGTTTGGAACCTCTTACCGCCTTCTATAAGATATCGAATATTGGCTCTTAAGAAACTTTGCATTAATCTCACTAATGGGCGCCGTTCTTCTCCATTACTATAGTCCTATACATGTGTTTCTAGATAGTCACGGTCCAGTGTCCATTGAAAACACTCCCCTCCTAGTGTCGTAATCCGTACCTTTTCTAGCGATGGCACGAAAGCAGCTCTGTTCTCTGATATCCCAATGAGCCAGGTAGGTCCTGAAGTCTGAGTACACACTATACGGACGATATTCTCGTCTCCACCATGGCGAACCTCAAGAACCTGTAAGCTTCTCGGTAAGCGTTCCCATGGAATCTCTGAATAATGTTTCGAAAGTAAAAGTAACGGACGAGGAATAGCCAAACTTTTCAATCTGCTGAACTGGCGAAGGTCGATTGGTGCCTCCTCTTCAAAGGAGAGGTCCGCCTCGTTTGCTGTAAAAATAAGTGTTTCTAGCGAGTCTACTTGGCTTGCTATTGCCCGTTCTAGCTGCTCACAGCTAAAAAGGTTCAGAGGCCATTCAATATAGCTTTCCGGGTCGTAATCGTACCAAAGTTCCTTAAGGGCCGTTGGCCAGCTTAAAACTTGAGCCAAGGGCCCTTCGATAAGTGCGCATTTCATCAATCGAAGGGCTTGGACGGATGATGTATGGGCATAATCCTGGTTTTGTAACTCCCAGTCCTCCATCTGTTCCCAACGGTGCAAGGAAATAGTATGGATGTTTGGGAGGCAAAATAGAGCTCGCACATCTATTTGTGAGGTGCCGGCACAGCAATGGAGGTCAAGGTCGACGGATCTTATATGAATCGCTAGATGAGGATGTAGCGACAAGGTAGAAGCAAAAGATTGAGAGAGATTTTCGTGGAGGAATAAGGGAATGTGCCGATACAGAGCCCCGATTGCGATACCGTAAAGCCGGCGGCATACTAGTAGAACCGGAAAGAGACGCCTTGCCAGGGTTATGCCTTTATAGTCTGTTGTGCCAATATCATACTCCCTACGGTAGAAGGGGTGGTCATATAAGGAAGCTGGCAAGATTTCCGGAGTAGGCTGGAGATATGAAATGATCTCGAGTAGGAGCTCGTCCGAGAGGCTGAGAAGACGGCTCATGGATTCTGCGGTAGCCATTAATAGTCGAAAGAGCGTTAGATAGAGGAAGGGGATCTCAGTACGCAGGCTAGAACACAAATAACTAAAGAGGTAAGCATATGATAACGTGGGGAATCACATATCTTAGTTGGCCTTTCGTATAAATGCTCCAATGTAACGGTAGCTTTTGATATTGATTTCTCTTTTTAACTGGTAACTCCGTTTGCAGGGACCGTCGAGCGTTAACTATAACATCTTAAATTGTAGACTGCCTTCGAACCTGTATCGATAACTGTTTGTATCTGCATCAAACCGAATTACTTATGTAATCAAGATTTATGGGGCATACGTTGATGGGAATATGCGCTAGCTTCAATACCTAATACATACGAACAGAGGCTGGTGTATGACAATGACGTAATAGCCATTGGCATCCTCAAAGCCACAAGCGATGATGAAGACAATGATGAATCAACCACACATGATACAGCCATAGTTCAAGCTACACAAAAAAGGAATTCATAGCTGTTAACATCTTATTTTAGCTCATAGGATTATGTCCCCATATTTATTCTTCTTCATCCCTAGACATCAAGTATCAGATACTTGTATATCAAGATTCAAGGTAGGGATCTATACAGATTTCTAGCCTACGATCCCCAGCATCATCACACATGTCTTTGTCGTCGTGTAAACGAGCTATACCCAGGTAGTTGATTTGTATCTCTCGACTCATCATACCTACATCATCCCACCTTCGATAACTACCAGGACCTATTTCATTTATCATTTATCTTTTTTTCCATTCTCCATTCTCCATTCTCCCTCACCTTAAACTCACCTTGATCCCACCTCCGCTCACGTCTCCAATCAACCAGATCTCTCAATCATATTATCTCCAATCAGACCGGGCAATTCTGTGCTGATCCTTCTAAAAAAAAGAGAAAGAAAGCCGAGAAATCTAGGTGAGGTCGAATACGACTATACGCGTACAGATGCAGCTGAGCGTTCGCCGTTCTCAGCCACACAATATATAATAATATATAACATGGCCACAACCAATGAGACGGAGACACAGGGGGGCTTGGGGCGACAGCTACATGATGACGACACCAAATCGACAGGTAAGCTTCATGTCGCAGACTCTCTTTTTTATTATCGCGACTTTAATTTATTATTTTTCTTTAAAATGAAATCATAAAAAATGCTACTATCCTTGTTAAATTTATAAGTGATAGCTGATTCTTTGTTAGTTCACTCTGGAAAGCTCATTTATGCAAAACCCCAAGACCTTCCGAGCTTCCCGTCTATTGGCCTCTCAAAAAAAGGATCCGCAGCGAGTGCAGCAGCTGCTTTAGGTTGGGTCTCCAATACATCACCTGAGCTGTGGAAGCCGGACAAATCCGCTCCAGCTTCAGCTGCCGCTGTCATGGCGAAAGATTATAAGCTGAGTCCCGCCTGGGAACCCGTTCCTAGCCAGCACAGCGCCAAAGCCGCTCTGTTCGCCTCACAATCTGCCATGAGCGTCACCAAGCCCGCGAAATCCACAACTCCCGATCCTGGCCATTCTGCCGCAAATCTGGCTTTCAAGTCGGATCGGAGCGTACCTGGTTCTGCCTATGGGAGCACTCTGGAGCGCCACAGGTCGCTACTTGCTGCGAAAGGTGCCATGGCGAACCGCCAGAGAGCGAAGTCCTCGCCGATTCCTAAGGAATCGTATCCGGATGAGGCGAATGCTGCTGCTAATGCCCTAAGCGCTGCGACCCGAGCTCATAGGCCAATTCGGTCACCGACAATAAGCGAAACCGGCGAGAATGCCGGCTCTGTCCCTTACACTAATATGAACAGGCAGATGTTCACATCGCGACCACCAGTTAAATCCGAAGTTGACGATCAGAAGAGAGCAGATATTCTTCATGCTTCTGCTGTCGCAATGGCCAAGAAGATGTATACTCAGCAGCAAAAAATGATTGATGCCAAAAAGGCACATGATAATGCTAACCCTCCTCAAGAGAATGCCGATGCTTTTAGCAGCGTCAGCGATGATGCACAACCTATACATCTTACTACTTTGCAAGACGCGGCTTACAAGCAAGCACAAGCACGTCTAGCTAAGATGCACGAAGAGCACTTTAAGGGTCGGGAATACCAGGAATATTACGGGGCTAAGCCGCTCACGCAACGGTTTTCAATCAGGAGTAAGCTCAGGAAAAGGGCTTCGAGCGACGGCGATGTTATTGAAGACCGCAGGCGATCACAGCAGATTAGGCAACAGATGTCTTTATTCTCCAGCAAAATTTCTGAAGTCGACGACCAAAAGCGGCAGCAGGATCAAGAGATATTACTCGCTGCAGCTCAGAGGAACGTGCACGAACGTTTGAAAGGGATGGACGAGAAGATATCCGCCGAGACGGGAATGGTCCACCCGTCCACTCCAACACAATGGGAAATGAAAGCACACGCTATAGCCCAGGCTAAGGCAGAGCAGCGCATAGGTCAGAGGCACGGACAGATCGATATTGGTGCCGGAAAGCATATGAGCCAAGATGAAATCGACGCAATCGCCGCGGCGAGGGTCAGGCCTATTTTAGATGAAATCAACGAAAGGATTGAGGAAGAGCAGGCAAGGCAAACAGAATTACGTCTCGAGATGGAGAAGAAGAAAGAAGAGGAGGAGATCGAAAAAGCTCGGCAAAAGGAAATCCAGGATATCAATAAACGACTTAAGGGTCAGCTACGTTTTATATCCCCTAGATTTCATACACTAACAACCTCTACAGAACAAGATAAGCAAGAGCAGAAAGAGAGGAGGGCAGAGGAGAAACACGAAGCCAAGGCGAGGAAAGAAGAAGAAAAAGCAGCTAAAGCAGAACAGAAACGGCTAGCGAGGGCCGAGAAACGCAGATCTACGGCTGAGCGATCCGGGGAAAGTCAAGATGAGCCGGACCCTACAAGTGGAACAGTAGTCATGAATACCGCGGGCCAACCTGTCAGTATGCCTCCACTAGAACCGGAATTCGCCGCCGCCGAAAACGCCGAAGACGGAGTAGTGGATCGGGAGTCGGTGTCACCCGGCGAAGGGTCGTCGAGAGGCGGCGTTAAGACATGGTTTAAAAACCGCTTTTCTCGGGGCGCGAAGCAACCGGAAGACAAAGGCAAATCGGTCGAGAGGGGTTTCGTCGGTGGGGCCGCCTTGATGGGCGTTAATAGCTCTACGAGCATAGATAATCGTAGCGCTAGCGTGCGTGCTGTTGCGATGGCGGGACGCGGGCGGACTACTAGTCTGGAGGACGAGGCTGCCGGCGCGGCGATGCCGGTGAGCAGTTGGAGCGATGACGAGAACGAGTATTTCCGCGACGAGGCGCGAGATCGGCCCGGGACGCCGTTGACGCCGCCTAGACCGCTTCGCTCGTCGGTTGCGAGTCATAGTCCCAGTCGGGACTCGAAGTTTGTGGAGATGGTGTGAGGCGCGAAGGTTACCCAAGGTGTGCTATTTTATCGCGATATACACGTTTTGCGCGCGGATGTAGTTGTTTCTAAGACTGCTTTCAACTTGCAGTCGTGTATGCGTTTAGGAATGGTTGGTCGTCAACATATTTCATTGGGAACTGAGGACATTTTGGCTAGTATAATCGGGTAAGACAACAACCGCAAGGAAGGATATAGGAACTTTGGTTTTCTTGTGCAGAATTGGTTTATTGGTTTTGCTTGCTTGGCGTTGATTTACGTACTGCGTTTATGTATAGGGGGTGGTGGTGGTGGTGGTGGTGGTTTGATCGAACATATTTGTATAACAGCGCCAATACCCCCTTTTCTTACTTCCCTACATAGGTGAAAAGTTGACATTTTGAATCTCAGTCCGTCGATGTTTGATTTATACGGTTTGTATCCAATATCTTACAAATGACACTTGCTAGTGCCTAAGGTTTGCCTTTGGTGGGATTATTTATTGTGTCAAATGCGAGTAAATTTTCTTATTTGGGACATATGTCTTATTGCCTTTGCGAATTTTCCCTGCCTTGTAAGAAATACATAAGAGATAAAAAAAAATAAACGACAAAAAGCTGGAATCCTATTAGGGTATAAGTGACTTAGGGATAGATTTAGGGGTATATTCAGGGGTACATCTATTAGGATTGGGTATATAAAAAGCGCACAATGCTCTTGCAAGAGGGTAGAGGGCAGGCGTTAATAGTTCAATTTATATATCCTGACATTTACTTTATGTATAACATTTATCAAGGGTATAATACCTGACAAATATGGTGCAGTATAAACCTTAGGCTTTTGCTACCCGAAGGGTGACACCTAGTTTTACTCCACGTTTTAACTAAATATATTTGTATTATTCAATACACATCTTTCGCTACCATACAGGGTGGTGTTATACTATGAAAATGCCGCTATTGTCTTCTATCCATCTCGGCCATGGCGGCCAGATTAAGCCGACATATCGACGTTCTAACCGTCTAACTTAAACCCTCAGAATCTTGGCTAATGAGGAGCTATCGTACAAGGTTCAACTTGTACCTGATTGAAACCCCATATCTTTCTACTCCAATGGAGTAACCGAACGCCGTGAGAAAATGTCGTGCCCCAACCCTTCTAATCCCTGGTATCATCATTATCGTGATCTAGTGCCACCCCTAAACTAGCTCGGCGCGGTTGTTCTACCGAAAGGAAAACTATCCATAAATACTGTGAACAAGCAGAGCCTCCTAGAAGTCTCTCTGGTCTGTTCTCACTTTGTGCTGGTGGCCGTGGCTGTCTGTCAGCGTCCTCTGGCTGTCCTGGGTATGCCTATCTCCGGCAAGGACGGTGGGATGCGTCGCATAGTATGTCTCCTCCATCCGTCGCGCGGGATCCTCGATCGGGTGGGGGTTGTTCCGCGTAGTGATTGCAGGATACAAGTCGACGTAAAAGGAGAAGACGTAGAAGGAGAATATGAAGGCGATGATCCACTCGATAATAGCAGATGTGTTATGGTTGCCCCTGAAGTTAATCACGCCGAAGGCAACCGCTAGGCCTAGCTCGATAATTACGAATATTAACTTGATCCAGAATGAGATGCGGAGGACGCGATGTTGACGGTTTTCTATGAAGAGATTTCTTGTTAGTTTCGGTTCTAATTAAAATAGGTAGCATGAGGACTCACTATGACCTAGACGCTGATATTCCCAGCAGACGAAGATGGCTGAGAATAGATATCCTGCAATGAAGAGTAGAAGGAAAATATCGTGTAGTCTCGGGTACCGGAGGGTATCAAATCCGGACAAACAAGTCAGACCAATTGTACCAATCAAGGCGAAGACGATGCACAGGCCGCTCAGCACCTTTTCACCAGTAGAGGTGTTGGGCACCAGTCGACCTCGATGCCGTAAGAAGCGGTCAGCGCCAAAGGATAGATCGAGAAATATCGTGGTGATGATGCATCCTGTAACGAACAGGGGCTTGAGCTTTGAAGCGCCGACGTCTGATATATAGGCGATTGTTTGGTCGTCCGTCATAGAGTCATAATGAACTCGGTTTGTATTTATGATCCAGTATAGAAGAAGTCCTAATAATGTTGCCAGCCACATAAGGCCGGATATGATGGGAAATACCTTTGCGGTAATGTTAGCTGGGTACGAAACGTCAATTGGGATAATTGAAGTGTCCTTTTGCTTACCCAATACGACAGGAACCGCATCGTGTATTGATTTCCCAGGTTTTGTGATACTCTATAATTCCTCTATTGTGGTAATGTCTAAGTAATTATGTAGGTATAAGGGAAAAGCAGGCTTATAATAAACGAACGAAAGAGGTAAGAGAATACAATACAATACGATACACAGCCCGGACGATAAAAGAACACGAGGACAATGAATTGCGACGACAGAAAAATAAGATTGCGCGTAAGTATACATAAGATCTAAAGGATCACGTTGTTGACGACGATGATGATGAGTAACCCTGTGAAAGCAAGCCTGTGAAAGCAAGCCTCAACAGGGATCGACGTATGACTTCATTCTACTATGTACAGACGAAACTCAGTCGGGCATCAGGGCGCTACAAATTTTATCTCCGGGACCTACGGGAAAGAACAAGGTCCGACTTAGAACGACCAAGACAGGATTCGTCATTAGCGTAAAATGGAGGCTGGCTATGATAGGACTTATATGAGCTGGCTCGGGGTCTGTGGGAACTAACAGACCGACTCGGGCTCTTCTGGAGATGTGATGTTTTGCTCCTACCGCTTGCGATTCGAATCAAGAAATGGTGACGTCAATAGAGACTTGCGTGGAATGAAGACGCACCAAACTAAGATAAGTCATACATGGGCCACATCATGCTGTGCTCACAGTAGTAATCGGGCTGTGCATAATAACTTAAAAACTGTATGGGGTAAATATAATATGGAGAATATAGTAATAGTAACGATCTAGCCAACCATAGCGCTTCGCATCTGCAAGATCAACATTCACCAATCACACTTAACCAATCCCTACCTTATCTTTTGTATTCGGAATCATAGCCTTGTCTCTTCTTCCCAAGGCTGACAAAGAGCCACTTCAGCTTTTACAACCTTCTGTCCCTTAGTTTTAAATATCCGAGGGCGAAGGATAATATATCTCGCGATGGCGGTTTCGCCTGTGGTCGTGCATCCTACAGATGCTCTGCCGAACCCTAGATCTCTATCGTCGCCTCTCAAGACCGTAACTTCAGCACAGGCGTCGTCCAATGGAACACCCGTGGTCTCAACAGCTGCGCCGAATGTAGTCGCAGCAGCACAAGCAACCTCTCTAGATTTGGCGGAACAACTTAACGAGGAGGAGAAGCGCAAATATGTTAAGGGTATGTTCGAAGATATATTAGATGACTTAGAATAGAAGAGCAATGCGCTAACTCGAGATCCCTTTGAAGGCAAGAAACTCGGTGAAGGTACCTACGCCAACGTCTACCTCGGTTTTCTTAAAAGCGATCCGACGAAGCTGGTAGCCATAAAAAAGATCAAGATACAGAAGGAGTACACGGAGGGGATGGCGCCCGATGCCGTCCGCGAAATCAAGCATTTACAGGAGCTATCGCACCCCAACATAATAACGTTGCATTCCGTCTTCTCTTCCAAAAACCAGAACCTCAATCTCGTTCTGGAATACCTCCCCCTCGGCGACTTGGAGATGCTCATTCGTGACGTCGACCGCGTCAGATACGGCGCGGCCGACATTAAGGCTTGGATGGGCATGCTTACGAGGGCGGTGTGGTTCTGCCATGAGAACTTTGTGCTGCATCGTGATATCAAACCTAATAACTTGCTTATTGCAGCTGACGGAGAGGTTAAGCTTGCTGATTTTGGTCTGGCCCGAAGCTTCTCGGATCCGTATAAGCCAATGACGGCGAACGTCATTACGCGATGGTATAGGCCTCCTGAATTGTTGTATGGAGCTAAGCACTACTCAGGCGCAGTAGACATCTGGTCTGTCGGCCTGGTCTTCGCAGAACTGATAATCAGAACGCCATACATAGCCGGAGAAACAGAGATGCGGCAGATCAGTCTTATCTGCACCGCCATCGGTACGCCCACGGAGGAGAACTGGCCGGGGGTCACCAAGCTACCGGCGTATACTACGGAAGGAGAAATCCACCCCGTGCGGGGAAGGGAGTACTACATGTCGTTCTTCGGCACGGTTGGCACCGAAGGTGTTGATCTCCTGATGAAGACGTTGATACTCGATCCTAAGAAGCGTATTACGGCCCTAGGGATGCTAAAGCACGAATGGTGGAACAAAGACCCCAAGCCCACGCGCAAGCAAGATTTACCGAAGAAGTCAGGCGGGCAGGAAAAAATCGGTGCTGATTTGAAGAGAAGGCCTGGCATAATAGATGACGATAAGACTGCGAAAGTTGCTCGGAAGCTGGAATTCGGCGCGGCGAAATAGAATTCTAAGCGGCAAAAGAGAGATTCTAGTGACTTGCAGTGAATACCGGTCTGGCGCTTAGGAGTTTAGGGGTATAAATGAAGCATTAGAGGTTAGGCGCTTATGAATGGATAGGGTACTATAGGATAATGAATTACAACATGATGATTCGGAGTTTGATACAGCACGTATAGAACCTGTGGCTATGGCTATGGTTATGGTACATAAAGTACAGAGGTTTTTTTTATATATGTTCAGTTACGCTACGCATCGTCTACAACTCGCCCCGTTCTCTCATCTCGCGCCGCTCGGCGATACGCTTCTTGTACCGGACTTCGGTCCTTCTCCTCTCACCACCGTCGATCTTGTGGCCCCGCCGGTCCTCCCACATGCCCTCCGTAATAGACACCCGGACGCCTTCGCCGCCCTTAAGCGGCAGCGCGTAAGGGCCCACGATGGTCTTGGCGCCCACGACTTTGTACCCGCGCACGCGGGACATCTCGTCCAAGCTGCAGTCCTTGACGGAGCGCCCCGCCGGCACGTTCACCACGTACTTGTGCGGGTTAACCACATCCCGATCCGACTCCAGGATCCTAAGGTCCGCCTTGCCGTCCTCCACGTGCTGCAGGTCCCCTCCGATCCCGTATTGTCCCAGCCGGAACCGCTGCCGCCACTGCAGGAGGTACCGTCTTGTTCGCGGGGGCTCGACGCCGAGCTCGCGTAGCTGGTCGGATGTTAAGGAGAATAAGGCCTCCCAGGTGGGGAACTTGGAGGCGTGCTGGCTCAGGCCTCGGCCGATCACTGTGAGGAAGGTCTGCACGTCGGGGACGAAGGGCGTGGGGGAGGGGATTTCTCCGGCGGGCCGCGTCGTGGTTGAGGAGGATGCTCGGATGGCTGATATTGATGGCTGGAAGGCTGCTCGGGGGGCTATGGGCGCTAGGGCGGTGCGCAGTTGTTGCGGGTTGAGAAGGGGCTGTGGTGTGTTAGTTGGATATGTCATGTCTAAGTAACATGTGGTATATATATAGTTATATAAGTCTTAGTAGTAGTATGTTGACTTACCTTTAAGCGCACCATTGTGACGGCAATATACCGCGCTCTCTCCTAGTCTTCAGGCCTCAGACGATGTCCCCAGATGACCATACCCTTGAGAAAATTGGGCGGATAGCTAGAACTACTTCGCAATTATAGGATATCCACGGCGCAGTTGTAGCTTAAGCAGATTATCTAGATAGATAGGCTCGATATTGAAAATTCAATGGAGAGTCGGCAAGGGAAATTTGTATCCTCCGATGGGTCCGTGCAACCCTGGCGCCCATCGATTGCGGGATGTGGATATATAGTAACGCTCTTAGGCTTAGCGCTTGTAAGCCTCACTGCGCTTATGAGTCAATAGCGGGTCGTAGCTCTTATCGGATAAGAGCCGCCTGTATGTATGTATGTACCGTAGTGGAATAGGGGGGTTACTTAGAACCGTTCTAAAATTACGAAACCGTTCCGTGTACTAGGACCACTATATAAGGAGCATTTAAATGTAAACGTTGGAATAGTTTCTATTGCTAGAACAGTTTCGTAAAATAGAACGATCTTGCTATTCACGTGACTTTCACGTGACTTTCACGTGAAAAAGTGGGGTAAAAGTCAAAAAAGTCAAAAAAGTCAAAAAATTAGAAAGACTGGTCCTCGAACCCACAGCTTTTGCGTTTGTGTAACCATAAACCCCACAATTAATTAATAAGGTTTAAAGTTTTAACGTTTGAGCTAATGGGACGAGGTGGCCAATCTCATCGAATTATTTCGGAATGGAAATTCGTCTGATTTTAGTCCTTATAACCTTTACTTCGGAAAAGTAAAATTTTGACTTAGAAAAAAAAAAATTTTTTTAAATTTTTTTTTAATATATTCCGTTCTTAAATTTAAAAACGTTCTTTACGGCGGAATAGTTTCGAGTAAATAAAACGATTATTTTAAACCAGACCCACAAAAATCAAACCCAGACCCACTATTTCCGGATTCCAGCCAATCAGAGGCCTTGAAACCCGAAAGCGTTCTTTTATACAAAACCGTTCTTATTTTAGAACGGTTCTTAAAAACCCCCCCCCGCCGGTATGGTACATATGTAGCTGTGCCCCTCGATGAAGTAACTCGGTTGGCCCCGCGAGTTGTCTGGTTGTCTCTGCCTGCTCCCTCAGCCTCAACACCTTTTTTTTTCCAAAGTAAACTGCGTTTTCGAGTTTACCGCGCCACTATGTGTTAACATAAATCCCTGCGTGTTATTCTTGTGAAACCTCGCAGGTTATCCCTTGTTACTAACAGGCAGTTTGTGTTATCGCATTCACGCCTGTCGTCTCTTACGCCATGGGGCGCCCAGGCTTATCGCAAGCTTCCAAGGCGTCGGTTAACCGACAAAAGGGTCCTGTTCAAGTCCGTCGCGTGCAGTCTGGTGGTATGTGAAGATGGGATTATATTGAAATAACACTGCTTACCTTGTTCAGATCCCTTTCCCACGGATTTCCTCAGTTTCTTGAATGCGCTTCCGTCCGATAGCGCATCGCGCAATGCAACTGAGCAGGCTGAACCTCCTAGAAAACGCCCTCGAGTCGAACGCGTTGAAGCAATTCCCGTTGCAAGAGACTCGTTAACTCTCAAGCGACCCGTCCAATCCGAAGTATCCATCGATGAACTAATCTTGCGCGTGAATGTCAACCACCACGTGAAGCTACACCATGATGAACGACAGCGCGTCTTAACTATCTCTTCTAATGCGCGATCTCCCTACGGCGCATTTAAGTCTGAGCTGGACTTAGGTCGCCACCAATTCTCCAAGGGCACATTGGCAATATTGAATGTGATGAGCCGCAGCCGAGACTCTGACACCGATGAAGGCGCACTTTGGGTAGGCGTCGGTGTTAGTCTGGAGAGGAAAAATAACAGAGACCAACTCCAACTCTCCCTTCAGCTGAATTGGAATTCATCAACCCATTTACTACGAAATTCCGCCCAGCGCGCTCTTAGTCAACAAGTTCTAGATACGTTCTTTACAGGTCAAACCCAAGAGCAAGGTGCTGCCAATGAGAAGCTTTCGCCTCAGGCTTTCTACGATGCAGCATTTGTTCCGGAAAAGGATCCCGTAAACTCATTACCCCTTTCAGCTCCCAAGTTGACCTCAAAGCTGTTCCCCTTCCAACGTAGGGCACTGCAATGGCTTTTGAATAGAGAAGGTGTCAGATGGAGTGATCGTTGTTCAAATGGGGAGCCCGGCCTAGAGCCATTATCTCCACCGTCAACCAACAGCCTGCCATTGTCATTCAGCACGGTAAATGATGCAGACGGGCGATTAGTATACATCAGCAATCTCTATCA